GCCATTGTATTGCCTGTAAGGTGACTGTTATTGTATATTGTCTCTGTTCCTTCCTGAGGACCCCTTTCAATATTTCCTGTAGAGCTGGTTTGGTGTTTTCAAATTCTTTCAGTTTTTGTTTGTCTTGGAAGATTTTTATCTCTCCTTCTATTTTCAGTGATAGCCTAGCTGGTTATAGTATTCTTGGCTGCATGTTTTTCTCATTTAGTGCTCTGACTATATCATGCCAGTTCTTTCTGGCCTGCCAGGTCTCTGTGGATAAGTCTGCTGCCAATCTAATATTTTTACCATTGTATGTTACGGACTTCTTTTCCTGGGCTGCTTTCAGGATTTTCTCTTTGTCACTAAGACTTGTAAATTTAACTATTAGGTGATGGGGTGTGGACCTATTCTTATTGATTTTGAGGGGGGTTCTCTGAACCTCCTTTATTTTGATGCTTGTTCCCTTTGCCATATTAGGGAAATTCTCTACAATAATTCTCTCCAATGTACCTTCTGCTCCCCTCTCTCTTTCTTCTTCTTCTGGAATTCCAATTATTCTAATGTTGTTTCATCTTATGGTGTCACTTATCTCTCGAATTCTCCTCTTGTGGCCCAGTATTTGTTTGTCTCTCTTTTGCTCAGCTTCTTTATTCTCTGTCATTTGGTCTTCTATATCACTAATACTTTCTTCTGCCTCATTTATCCTAGCAGTAAGAGCCTCCATTTTTTATTGCACCTCATTAATAGCTTTTTTATTTCAACTTGTTTAGATTTTAGTTCTTTTATTTCTCCAGAAAGGGCTTTATTCTCTCTGGAGAGGGTTTCTCTAATATCTTCCATGCCTTTTTTGAGCCTGGTTAGAACCTTGAGAATCATCATTCTGAACTCTATATCTGACATATTACCCATGTCCATATTGATTAGGTCCCTAGCCTTTGGTACTGCCTCTTGTTCATTTTTTTGTGGTGAGGTTTTCTGCCTTGTCATTTTGTTCAGGTAAGAATATATGAAGGAGCAAGTAAAATACTAAAAGGGTGGCAAAGACCCCAGGAAAATGCACTTTAACCAAATCAGAAGAGACCCCAAATTGTGGGAGGGAGAACGGGGTTAAAAAGAAGTTCAGAAAAAAAAATTAGAAAAAGAAAACAAACAAACAACAACAACAACAACTATATATATATATATATATATATATATATATATATATATTAGACTGGTGGCTAGAACAGGGTCACCCACTTAATTTTGGGAGTATTTTGGTCTCTTAGAAGAAACTACCTCCCAAAATTTTAAAGAATGAAAAACATATATAAGGGTAAACACAATGAATGGATGGAATATGCCTATAAAGATGAAAAAAAAAATTTCTAATTTCTAAAAAAGGAGTTGATAAAGTAAGTTGTTCGGAAAAATAAAGAAAAAGAAAGTGGAGAGAATTTGCTCGGGCTGGAGACTAGAACAAGCTCGGAGCTAGATTTAGGGTATATTTTGATCTATTAGAAGAAGTTGTACCCCACATTTTTAGAAGAAAAAACCCTATGGGTATACAAAAAATAAAGTTAGTTACAATGAAGGATAAAGTATGACTATAATAATGAAGGTGCAAAAAAGATTTTTTTTTTTTATGAAAGATATTGTTAAGATAAACTAGTTAAAAAATGTTAAAAGAGGAAAGGGTAAAAGTTAAAAAATTTAGCAGATGAAAGAAAATAAAATTTAAAAAATTTAATTAACTGCAAGACTAAAGAATCATGGGGAGAAAGCCATGAATTCCATGCTTTGCTTTCTCCTTCTCTGGAATTCCACTGTTCTCCTTGGCAAGTGAACTTGGTCTTGGCTGGATTTCTTGTTGATCTTCTGGGAGAGGGGCCTGTTGTAGTGATTCTCAAGTGTCTTTGCCCAAGGCGGAATTGCACCGCCCTTACCAGGGGACGGACTAAGTAATCTGCTCAGGTTCCACTTTCAGGAGCTTTTGTTCCCTGAATGCTTTCCATAGAGTTCTGGAGGACGGGAATGAAAATGGCAGCCTCCTAATCTCCGGCCCAAAGGAGCCAAGAGCTCAGGGTCCCACTCCTCAGTCTACCCTCAGAGAAAAGCGCTCAATCACTCCCATCTCCCTGTCCGCCAGCCATGCTCTGAGCTCACCCAGCCTGTGACCAAGCATCGCTGTCTCTAGCACACAGCTCCACCTGGAGTCTCCGAACCCCTTAGATCCCTGAGCTCATCTGGGGCGGTCTCCCCAGATATTGTGGGGACCACACTCACAGAGCAGTGGCGTGTGCCACGGGTTACAGTTCAAGGTAACCCCAAGATGAGAGCTCACTCCTCAGCTCTGTCTCTGTAGCAGCTTCCCTGCTCTAATACCTGCGAGCTCTGCAACACTCAGATACCCCCGATCCTTCTGTGACCCTGTGGGAACTGGGGCCACACTGACCCCGCGTGGGCTTCACCCCAGTTTAGCTTCTGGAGCGGTGTCCCTCAGTGAAACAGACTTTTAAAAGTCCCAACTTTGTGCTCCATTGTTCCGCCGCTTGCCAGGAGCTGGGTCCTCCCACTGCAGTCTTCCCGTCCCTTTGGATTCACTTCTTCGCTGGTCCTACCTTCAAGAAAGTGGTCGATTTTCTGTTTCTAAAATTGTTGCTCTTCTTCTCTTTGATCTCCTGTTGGATTTGTAGGTGTTTGGAATGGTTTTATAAGCTATCTAGCTGATCTCCTGCTACCTGATGTCATCTCAGCCTGTTACTTCTCTGCCATCTCGACTCCTCCCCCTCTGTAGGAAACTATTTGACAGTGAGAAAATAACTGTTTGCTGTTCTTTGACCTTTATAGCCACAAATGCCTCTATTTTACTCATATCAGAATTGCCTTATTAATACATCATGCATTTCAAAGGAAGTGGATTATTATTTTATTTTTCTATGACCTTTGTATAGCAAACCATTTACTAAAAGCCCTTTGCCTACTACATGGAGGGTGACAGAATGGGATACAGATACTCCCTGGTTATTCATGGGCTAGACTTCAGGCATTCAAAGGAAGAGCAGATATAGTGCAAAATCCAGAGGGAGGGGGAGGAGGAGTGGACTACCTGAAGGTGGCAGACCAACAGCTTCTGAATGCAAAGCAATAGTCTTTAGACTATGAATAGATACCCATAGTCTGACAATACCCATAGTATGGCAAATGGCTCCTCAGAAAGCTGAGAGGAAAATAAAGGTGGCCTAGAGAAGAGGAAATGGGGAAAAAAAACAACCCAGAAAGAAGGAAGCAATGACAGAAGAAGTATAAGACACAGTGGAGAGCAGCCCAGGTGTCACAGTAAGGACAGTGATGGCCACCAAGACCAGGACAGCACTGGTGGCCAATAGTGTCTGGTTTTTGAGGAAAAGAGGAAGCAACAATGACTCAGGAGGAGGAGATAGCACACCTCTGCCCTTTGGACATGGAAGGAGCCATTTGGATTTCAGTGGCTTCAGATACTACTACTATCTGATGTCAAGAAACACAGTCAGTAGATTCTGATGCTGAATGGTTCTGGAGTTCATCCTAAGTAGATAGAGTCAATGGTGTAGTTGACATCCTTTTTAACTACTATATTATGTATTGATTCAACCTGAGAATTGCAGTATTATTAGGAGTATAAAATATTTTGAGAACAAATATTAGGAGAGCTTTGGGCAAAATTGTGGGCTGGTATCAGATATGCAAGAATTTTATTCTTATGAGAATATGTGGAATGCCAAGTACGGCCTCTGGGCAGTGGCCTTGTGGAGTGACTCACCAACACCACTGCCCACCACCCCCCACTGCAGGCAACCACACACCAAGTACCATCTCTACAGATCATAAAGAGACGTTATTTCTTCATAATCAATTAGCCACCTTATTACTGGTAAAATAGATGAAAGTGGATAATCTGGTATAAAAGACCTTGCAATACCTCAGTGATATATAGTGTTTGGACAGCTATTGTCTAAAGGACCCTGACAGAAACATGTTGAAGGTTTTGGGAGGTTTTAGAATCATTTGAGAGATGATAGCTTTGTCCTATGATAGCATAATTTATTTTTTGTATCAACTTTGCATATAATCTTTGAATAATAAATAACCCAATATCCTTCGCTTTTTAAGAAAAATGCAAGTGACCCACCACTAAGGACATTTTTTAAAAAGCAAATTTTATTAACACATTTTTTTCTGCACCTACCATTATGTGCTTGTTCTGTAGCAGGTATGGTACCAAGCAATTCTCATACATTACCTCTAATCTTTAAAATGGCTCCTCAGGAGAGTTATAGATATGGTTATCTCTGTTGTAGAGATGAAGAGACAGGAACTCAGGGAGGTTAAGCAGCTTGCCAGAGGTTGCACAGCTAGTAAGGGGCAGAGTCACGATTCCAACGCAGATGTCCCTGGCTCCAAACTGTTTTCCTCTGGGTTATCTCTGTCATTGCTCGAGACAACTACATCAGAGTAACCCCTGGAACTACCAAGGGAAAGCCTGATTATGTTCAGTAATTTTTTTTTTGAGAGGGTGCAGATAGATGGTTTTTGTAAAATTTCTGTTGTAAAAAGGTTAAAATTTAGTCTTAAAGTATACTAAAGTTAGATTGCACCTCATTTGGCTAGAATATGCTATCAACATCCCTAGATTGTACTGATAACTAATGTATTAGAGCATAATTTTGTAAAATAAATTGAAGGCTTGACTTTAGATCTCAGGTTGTTTAGGATTTTATTGGTTGTATTTTGTTTAATTTGGTCAAAAGTTGTGTTTCTTTCAAAATTTCATATATCTTCAAGTATCGATTTATATATTTAAGAATCTTTATAACATGTTATCTGTTAAACTTCAGTCTTTTTATTTGATTATTAAAAGATGTTTCTAGAAGTATTTTCATGGCATTTTGAGTTCAAGTTAAGTTTGGGGTTTCACTCTATGCATATATAATGAAAATAATTGTGCTTTATATAGAACACTATAATTTACTTCTTTATCTTTATGTTTCAAAATTTAGGTCCCAAGTCATTTGCAAAGGCTTTTTCCAATGGTTATCTAATTGGAGAAATTCTGTACAAGTTTGAACTTCAGGGTGATTTTTCGGAATTTTCAGCAAGCAGGTTTGTGAGATAAATTCTTTCCTAAAAAGGGTCAATTCCTTTGGCATTTGAATAGGTTTAGGTTCCAAAGTTAAGGGACAGTGAGCTACAATTTTGTTAATTGGTTCTTCTTTCTTTTAAGAGAAATGAAGCAACTTACAGTATCCTGGCAAAAAAACAAAACATAACAAGACAAAACCCTGTAATATTTTTGGTTTGTAACAACTATGTTGAGATCTAATTCACAGATAGTGATTTACCAGTTTAAAGCATATAATTCAGTGGTTTTAAGCATATTTACATATTTAGTGTATTCACAACCATGACCACTAACCACCTGGCCCCTGGTACCAACTTATCTATTTTCTGTCTCTACGGATTTGCCTATTTTATGCATTTCATATTAGTGGGATCATATAATATGTGTATTTTGTGATTAGCTCCTTCCACTTAGGATACTGTTTTTAAGGTTTATCCATGTTGTAGCTTGTATCAGTACTTCTTAATTCCTATTTATTTGATGAATAATTTCAATTGGATATATCACATTTCATTTATTAATTCATTAATTGGTGGATACAAGTCATCAGTTATTCTGAACAGCGCAGTTATGACCATTGCGTTTTCACATGGAAATGTTTTCATTCCTCTTGAGTGTGAAATTCACCTAGGAGTGAAATAGTTGGGTTACATGATCTATGTTTATAATTTTGTAAACCGAATTGCTTTGCAAAGTGCCTGTTATCATTTACAGTTACACTAGTAACATATGAAGGTTTCGGTTTTTCCACATGTTCATCAATGCTTGTTAGGGTCTTTTTGATTATAGTTGTCAAGTCAGTATTAAGCAGTATCTCTTTGTGATTTTGATTTGCATTTCCCTAATGAGTAATGATGGTGAGCCTCTTTGCATGTGCTTATCAGTCATTTGTTTTGCTTCACTGGTGAAATGTTATACAATCCTTGCCTATTTTCTTTTAAATTTTACTTTTTATTTTTTTAAATATTTTATTTATTTATTTGAGAGAGAGAGAATGAGATAGATTGAGAGCACAAGTAGGCAGAGAGAGAGTGAGCGGGAAAAGTGGGCTCTCTGCTGAGTAGGGAGCCGGATGTGGGACTTGATCCCAGGACCCAGGGATCATGACCTGAGCTGAAGGCGGTCACTTAACCAACGGAACCACCCAGGCACCCTTAAATTTTACTTTTTAAAGCAGTTTCAGCTTGATAGAAAAATTGAGAAGAAGGGACAGAGATTCCCTATTAACTCACTCCTCTGACACATTCATAGCCTCTTTAGTATCCACTCCCCAACCAGAGGGTGAATTTGTTACTGCTGATGAACCTATAATGATACGTGTTCACTCAAAGTAAATAGTTTACATTTGGGTTCATTCTTAGGGTTGTACATTCTATGGGTTTGGACAAATGTAGAATGACTTGTATCTACCATTATAGTATCCATACGTAGTATTTGCGCTGCCCTAAATCCTCTATGCTCTATCAGTCATCCTCCCTTACCCCAACCCTGGCAACTACTGATTTTTTTTTTTACTATCTTTTTAGTTTTGCCTCTTGCAGAATATCATATGGTTGGAACTTATGGCTTCTTTCACTTAGAAATATGCATTTAAATTTCCTCCATATCTTCTCATGGCTTGGTAGCTCATTTCTTTTTAGCACTGAATAGTTTTTCATTGTCTGGATGGGCCACAGTTGATTTATCCATTCACCTGCTGAAGGACATCTTGGTTGCTTCCAAGTTTTAGCAATCATAAATAAAGCTGCTGTAAACATCCATGTGCGGGTTTTATGTGGACATAAAATTTCATCTCCTTTGGGTAAATAAACAGGGACACAATTACTGGATCAGATGGTAAAAGTATGTTTAGTTTTGGAGGAAACCAATGAACTGTTTCCCAAAGTGGCTGTACCCTTTAGCATTCCTCCCAGCAATGAATGAATGAGAGTTCTTGTGACTTCAAATCCTCACCAGCATTTTAGCGTTGTCAGTGTTTTGGATTCTGGCCATTCTGATAGGAGTATAGTGATAGCTCACTGTTGTTTTAAATCACAGTTCTTGAAAGTTGTGGAGTATGTTTCTGTGTGTGTATTCCCTGAGGTTCAAGCATTGTCCCAGCTGCACACAATTATGTTTCTCATTGAAAAAATGAAGGATGTCAGAAAGTATACCTGTTTAGAAGACTTAAAAGCACCATTCTGACCAGATGATGTATGTAGTATTTCAGGTAGACTAAACTGATGTCAGTAGGGCCATAGAGGACCTTTGTGTTAAATGGAAAAAGGGCCTCATCTGGCTGGACACAACTGTGAAGACACAGGTCTCAGTGAACAGAGAGGCCTTTGTGCTAAGGAGAGGAACCCCTTTTTGTATGAAATAGCCTCGCATCAGGGACAAGACATGACAAGCTGAGCACAAGGTAGATTCACACCATTGCCCCACCTTTGGACAGGGGTGTGCCCTGAATAGCATCCTGTGTAACAGCCCTGCTTTTCACCCACTGCAAAGAACTAACTTTATGCCACTGAGAATCACTGCATTCCTTAATGTGAGAAGAGGGACCTACTTGTTCTGACAAACAAATTCCATCCATCTTGAATTCTTGGAACAACATACTATTTTTCCCAGGGCACACGGATTTTTAAAGAAGGATCAGTATATGCATGGATATGACTTTTGTAGAAGTGTACTTTGTGGGGAAAAGGATCCTTCTTTGTCAAACCTATTTTTTAGGCAGATATGTAATGCTAGGGCTCATGATTTGGGGATTTTGTCAAATATTTTTAGTTTTTTTAGTCTCAAATATAAGTGTTGCTTGTAACTGAAACTATTTGCCTTAGAGATTAATAGGATAAAATAATAAAAAGTAAAGGAGCATGGATATTCCTGGGGGAACAGCTTCTACTTACCTTGTAAGATGTGTTCCCTCATCAGGTGACAAGGAGGAGAGAAGATAGGTAATCTCTGGGCAAATAAGAACTATAAGTATCAGATACTTAAGATACTTTAAAAAATCCTAAGAATGGGAGCACCTATGTGACTCAGTCAGTTATGCATCTGACTCTTGATTTTGGCTCAGCTTTTGGTCTTATGGTTATGGGATACAGCCCTACATTCTCCATTCTTACTGGGTGCCGGGCTCGGTTCTGTTAACATCTGGAAATGGATAGTGTTTGCTTTTGGATTTTCCCCCCAGAATTTTGATGCCCCTCATCTCTGTAGCCCTAGTTTATGACCTAGGACAAAGCTCTGATGAGTGCTTCTCTGGCCATCTGTCCAAATATGTGTGGTGGACAAGACATGGGACTTTGAGGATAGGGAGGGCGTGGGAGAGTAACTGTGATGGCAGAGTGAGACTGGGTGTCGGAGATCTGTCCAGGGAAGGCAAGCACAAGTCATGGATCTCACTGGCCTTTTAGAGTCCTACTTTTCAAACATGGTCTGCTTCACCTGCCTCATTTTAGGCAGGTGTGTGTTATGTCAAACTTTAAGGTTACTTGTGGGGGAACAAACTGCAAACCTGGACATAAGAAGACCTAAAAAAATGTTTACTCTTGTTGTGAGATTTCCTGTGGCATTCATTATTTCTTCTCATGACCTCTATGACCTGCTTCTTTATTAATTTAAAATATTTTATTCAAAGCTTATTGATATAGTTTGATATGCCAGGTACACATTACCAAATATTTCTGTTAAAACAGTAATAGTAAACAGAGGAAATAGGACAGTAAGTGACACCATATACCTGGAAGAGGAATTTAAGTTGTATCACTGTTTTTGTTGACATTGGCCTTCCCATGATATTGACTCCTCATTTATATTTAGAAATCATTCATAGAGTCCCTCAGGCCCACCTCCTTTTGCACCATGGGTTTTTTAATTTGCAGTGAATGGGCACTTTTAGGCTACATTTTAGGAGGATCACACACATCTGAACAGGCATACACATTTCGTGTCTGTGCCTGAGTATGTGTTTTCTTTCCTGTGGAACAGGTGCCATGGCTCTCATCAGATTATCAGTGGTATCTGTGATATAAAACAAAAAACAAAAACAGTAACCTCTGGAGAAACAGGATACTAGCAACAGTATATAAATTTTAAGTGTGAAGCAATCTCTATAAACTTCTAAAATCTTAACTGAGGTCATGAAGATTATCCCCAAATAATTTTATAGTCCAAAATGAAGTTACTGAATGACTAACCCTATTATCAGAAATTCTACCCAATATGTGCCCAACCCCTCTTTTCTAAGGTATCGTTTTTTTTTTTTGTTTTTTTGTTTTTTGGTTTTTTTTTTTGGAAGGGGAAGGATAGGACTTTCACTTATATATGAGTATATTCAGTATATTTTTTTCCATGAAAGAATGTGACTGAATGTTAGGAAGTTAAAGTAAGGAGGACATAGGTCAGTGGTTAAAATTGGTATTTGCTTCTAGTTGGAACATGGAAAGGCACAGGAATTGAAAATGCCCCAACATTATCCTTCTGTCACTGGATTCATGGCTTATTAACAGCCATGAATAGTAATCTTATTAACAGATTATTTGAGGCCTGTATTCTAACACTGACCTCAATTTACCACTTCTTGTTTACTCATCTGTTTTCTCTGCTGTGAACCCCGCAAGGGCAGGGACTGCACCCTATTCATCTTTGTAAGTTTAATAAACGTATTTAAAGTTCATAGGTGACTCAGCATTAACTTAAAATTAGAAAGTCTTTACTGATTAAAGTAGTAATATAATTTTTTTTCATACCAACCCCTCATCTTTATTTTTTTTACATTTTTTTTAATTTATTTTCAGCGTAACAGTATTCATTGTTTTTGCACCACACCCAGTGCTCCATGCAATCTGTGCCCTCTCCAATACCCACCACCTGCTTCCCCCAACCTCCCACCTCCCCCCGCCCCTTCAAAACCCTCAGATTGTTTTTCAGAGTCCATAGTCTTTCATGGTTCACCTCCCCTTCCAATTTCCCTCAACTCCCTTCTCCTCTCTAACTCCCCTTGTCCTCCATGCTATTTGAGTGAAGATGATATAATTAGTGTGATTGCATAGCTAATATTATTTAATGAAATATTTCTGATGGTACGTAGGAGGATCACTGTTAAAGTCATCAGTGCAACATTTAGGGCTATTTTCAGACCCCTGTAATAATGTCATTTAACAATATGGAAATTTAAATTATAGTTTTTCCTTCTGAGTAAAATATTTTTCGAAACCATAGTTGTTTTTCCGTGTAGAAGAAAGCACTTAGTTATCTGTTTTTGTTTTGACCTCTTGTAAAAATTCTAGCATGCATTTAAGGAGAAAAACGTACAAAATCAGCTTTAGATATATCATTCCAGAGAAATAAATGGGAGGAATTCAGGGAAGTAGAATATCTCAATGTAGTTACATGATTGTGTGGTTTTAGAGAGGAGTGGTATATTGAAAAGAATATGCAATAATTCATATTAGATCATGATGATGCCTCTGATATTTGTTGTCTCTAATTCAGTGCCAGTGTCTAATTGTGGAAACTGTTTTAATGCCTAGAGTTTCAAATGCCAAACTTAATAATTTTTCTCGCTTGGAGCCAACGCTTCACCTTCTGGGTGTGCAGTTTGATCAGAACGTGGCCCACAACATCATCACGGAAAAGCCTGGGGCAGCAACCAAACTTTTGTATCAATTGTACATTGTTCTTCAGAAAAAGAAGAAAAGTGGACTGACTGGAGTGGAAATACAATCCATACAACCCCCGGCAAACATCAGACAGCAAAGTATGAAAAGTGAGGCTTTTCGAGACGTAAGTGCACAAAGAAACATAAACGTATCACAATGTAAGACTCGGGAAAGTAAAATGACAGTAACATTGGCTGCTCAAAGAAGCACCATTGGGTAGCTATGTCCCTTATGTATGTTCTTGGTCATACTTGGATTTTGTTTTATATTAATGTTTTCAATTCATTTATCCATTTTTGATGTCTCCCTCCATCCTATCCACATTACCAACAGTTTATCAAATTCTGTATGTTCCTAATTTGCAGTGTTTTTATGCCTTGCTCCTCTCTTTCCATTTCTGGCCCTGTCTACTCAGATCCTTGAGTGAACACTGCAGCAACATGTCTAACACATCTCCCAGTCTTCTAGCCTTCCACCAGAGGTCAATCAATGGCTAGATGAATCTTTGCTAAATTCCAGTTGCACTGGGCCCTTTTGCTCAGAAGCCTGCCATTTTACTGGACTGACATTCAAAATCTTTCACTAAATGGTCTCAATCTGTCTTTCTCTGTTTCTTCATAGTCTTCAGCATAAAGTCTTTGTTTTTTCTTTCTTTTTTTTAGAGGATTTTATTTATATTTTTTGTCAGAGAGAGAGAGAGCACACAAGTGGAGGGAGAAGCAGGCCTCCCCGCTGAGCAAGGAGCCCGATCTGGGACTCCATCCCAGGATACTGGGATCATGACCTGAACTGAAGGCAAACGCTTAACCAACTGAGCTACTCAGGCATCCTGAGTCTTAGTTTTTTCTTCACTGATCCCCCACCTGTCCTTGAATAGGTCTTGTACATTTCTGCTTTTCTCTCCCTTTCACCTAAACTCATACTTTTCATCTCGCTCCTTCCCACAAACTTCTCCATCCACTGCTGTGCAGCCTTCCCAACACACATGGATTCTTCCTGTGGAACTCCTAGGGCATGGGTAGTTTCCACTCTCTGGTGATAGCCTCCTGCTGCTCATACTGTGGCTAACTTTCATGATTAATCTGTCATACGGCTTCGCAAGATTTTTAGTCCCTCAAATTCAAGGAATATGCCTGATAGAATGCTTTCAACATTGCAAATATTCATTGTGTTTTGATTAGTTGATACAACTTTTTAGTTGACAATTCTCTCCAGTTCCTGTTGCTGTTTCCTTATGGCAAATGAAGTACATTAACTTTTCCAGGCCTCTAGGATAATGGGGAGTGTTGCACTGACCCAATGCATTAAATAGAAATGGAAATAATTAAATGTTTAAATTGAACTTCTGAAGACACAGTGACATAATAGATGTGAGGGCCATCTCCACTTTTATATTTGTCTATTCTTAGCAGACAATCTTACGAGCCCAGTGGCAGAAGGAGCTCAGCACCCAAGAAAGCTGGAAATTAGATTAAGGTTACAACCAAAGAACTTGGTCTTGCCTTCTGCCCCCTTCACTTGCAAAGCTGAGTAACTTTGGGCCAATCCCTGGAATACTCTTAACCTCCATTTTCCCAGCAGCTGAAATAAGATTGAGTATCTCTACCTGCCTCAGAGTTAGGCTTTTTTTTTTTTTAATATGTATATAATTTTAAGGAAACAATATATGAGAAAACTCTTTGTGAAGTGTAAAACAGTCAACAGGAACAAAAGCTGTAAGAGTTGTGTTGGTGAGGCCAACAAGAAACCATTGTGTTTAATGTTGGCCATGGTGACCTCCCAGAGTCAATAATTCATTTGTTGAACAAATATTAATTGGGCTCCTATTTTGTGTCAGGCAATTGCACTACAATCAACACAAGAAAAGTCCCCACCCGTTTAGAGCTTCCATTCTTGGGAGAGAAAAATATTTCAGTGGAGTAGTGTGGAATGTTGAGAGTTGAAGAGTAAATTGAGATGAGGCAGATGGGAGCATAGACTGTTCATTCAAGGAATGTGGAGGTGAAAGAGAAGAGAAGAGAACAGTGGCTGCAGGAGAGAAGCGCACGAGCAGTGTGCCGTTATTTGTTTCCTTTATGGGCATAGAAAGTGGGACAGCTGGCCAGTTGAGAAAAAGAACCAGGGGCAGGAGATGACTGGTGTAGGAGCCAAGGTCCTCTGGGAAAGAAAGGAGGATGCAACTGATGGTCCAGGTGGAGGAGGAGGTATCTTAAGAAAGAACTAGACATGCCTTTTTCTCTGAAAGCAGGTAGAAGAAAATGCAGGTGTCTTACATAATTATAGTAATGACTAAAATTTATTGATTGTGCAGAGCAAGATGCAAAGCCCGGTTCCAGGTATGTATGTGTGTATGTGTGTATGTGTGTGTGTGTGTGTGTGTATATATATATATATATATATATATATATATATATATTATGTCCTTTGATCTTCACAATAGCCTTATAAGATACCTATCTTTTATTATTCCCACATTACAGATGATGAAACTAAGGAGCAGAGGAGTTAAGTAACTTGCTCACCTTAATGCAGAAAATAAGTGATAAAGTTGCAACAAACCTAGGCAGAGTGACTCTAGAGCCACACACTTAACCGTGGGCTATGTTATATCTCAGAGGGTATTTCCTGGGTAAGGGAGGGATAATAAAGATATAAGATAAGATATAGACATATGTTGAAGTAGAGAAGTAGGATGTTCAGGGACTTTACACTTTTGTTGCCTCTGTGGAGATGGAGGCCAGGCCATTTTTAATAATGAAAAAAGCAGGAAGGTGAGTAAGGGCTTAAAGTCAGCTGAAAGGTCCTTAAGAGATCTTCTGAGTAAGTGCCCATATCTGCTTAGGTGGCTTTAGAAGACAAGGACCAAAAATGGTTTGAGCAACAGTTCCATTTGAAAAAAAACTTTAATAAGTCTTCAGCTTTTAAGGAGATTACTTTTGGTTATAAAAGTTTTACTTTATTCCATTAGCCCTATTACTCTGTTCCCCATTTTATAATCATCTTTGAAGTTCATTTTCTTACAATCTTAGACTCTCATTTCCAATGACCTGGAAGTTTTAATGTTTCTTCACTTTTTACTAGGAAGTATCTTAAGTTATGGAAAGAATCTGGCTCTCATATTATCTCTTATATGTTGAATTGGTTTTATGAAATTATTTTTATGAAAATGTACTTCTCTAAGAATTCAAATGCCATTCATTAAAAATTAAACTCAGAAAAAAAAATTAAACTCAGAGCAAAAAATATAGAAATATATTTGAAACTATTTTATAAGAAAGAATTCAAACATGTTTTTATTGTTTTCATGTAAATTAAAGATCTGAGTGACTAGTATGGGGCTTGAATTTATTTTAACCATCAACAAGAGTAATTCATAGAAATTTTATTTTGAAGACAAATTTTATGTGTGCTTTTAATGACAATATACTTTTTATTTTCTAATAATGAAATCCTTTGAACTGCTTTCTCCATTTAGAGACTTAGAAACCTGATACCACGTCAAACTGATTTCAATCTGATGCGGGTTACACACAGGTTTCAAGAAAAATATAAACACATGAAAGAAGATCTTGTCCACATGCATTTTGAGAAACTTGAAAAATTTCAAAAGCTCAAGGAAGAACAAAGATCTTTTAATATTGAAAAGGTTTTATAGTATGATTTTTCCAGAAATTCATTAGAGCATAGAGTATACTGTTTGGAATTTATGCCTATAGTACACATTGCATAAGCATTAATGTAGCATAAGTTGTGTGTTCCTTTGACTCATGCTCCACCCTGCTCTCACCTTTCTCTACCTTACTCTCCCCTTTGTTCCATTCCCACTCCTGCCCTCACCTCTCCTTGTGACCAGGAACTAGAACTGCCATTCTCTGGAGTGGCAGGACAACTTGATCTCTTTTTAGGTTGTCTGGTAGAAATTAATGCTTCACATGGGTCAGCGGTGGGGGTTTGCAACTAACCACTCCAGTGAAGGCTTATGATGGTTGCCCCCACTAAGGGATGTAGAGTGGGCATTCCCCCTCTGAGTTCCCTCTTTTGCAATCCCTTGGTCTTTCTGTCCTGCCTCATTTCTCTCGTCCTGGTAGTCTGAGGTGATATCCTGCTTGCTTTCTTTTCCAAACCCCTTAAACATCTCTTGCCTTCTTTCTGGTTCTTCTTGCTTTAACTAACTCCCCACTGCTTCTCAAATTTCTCTGAAAACCTTTAATGATCTCCTATGCCTTTAAGTACATGAGAACATGATGGTGTGAGTAATCATTAAAGATTTTCAAGAGAATTTCAGGTGACTACGTATATGGAATGTGTAAACTACAGGCAAAAGAATTATAGTTCTTCTCCTTGCACTACAAATCACTTTTTAAATTCATATATTTAAAATGATAAGAAATGGACACATCCTGAATATAGTCAGCCCCCTATGCAGAGGGGAGGGAAAGATGAGAGACAAATTCTGGAGGATCTTAAGATCTCATTACTTGCCAGAGAGTAGATAAAGCGCTGTGCTTCCCCTCTTGCATTGCATGGTAAGGCGACAAGGCACTCCTAAAGCAGTGTTTAAGTAAAGACCAAGTGCTGGGGCTCTTACTTTTTAAGGAACCAGCCCATCTGACTTTGATGTGCTAAGTGTAATGCAGAAAGAGTCCAAAGAAAGTTGGGAAAAAGGAAATATGAAACCATTAAATATTAAATAAATTATGTTAAAAATGATAGGAAGCAGGGGCACCTGGGTGGCTTAGTAAAACATCTGACTCTTGATTTCAGCTCAGGTCATGATCTCAGGGTCATGAGATCAAGCCCCACGGTGGGTTCCATGCTGAGCCTGCAGTCTACTTAACATTCTCTCCCTCTCTCTCTGCTCCTCTTCCCTTCTCCCCAGCCCCCAGCTTGTGTTCTCTCTCTCACATATAACAACAACAAAAAAAAAATTGCAGGGAGCAAATAGGGAGAGCCTATGTCTTCCTGGTTTTCTTGAGAAGGAAAGATCATCATATTATAACGATATGAAAAGTTATATTTTAGAAAGTAAAATGAAGAAAAATTTGAAGTTATTAATCATTTTTGACTTTTTAGTGGTTAAAGTTTCTTTGGACATAGGAAAAAATGATCTTATTAGCTCTAATATAATACTTAGTAGTAAAATCATGATTAGTTTTACATGTTACTTCATAAATCATCTAATCTTTAAAATATTTTGTCTGATTTTCACGATTTCTTTTTTTGCTTTCATTTATGCTTGTGTTCTACTTAAAATAAATACTCCCAGGTAGAGAAGAGATGATCTAATAATGGTGTCACATAGTTCAGTATTTAATTCAGTATTTGAAGTAGCCTCTGAGTTCATTGTTTAGATGTGACTGAGTTTGGGGGAAGTTTGTCATATCTCCTGGATTCCCCAGAAGACCTCCTAAAGACCATCTCCCAGATGGAATTTTCTCTTCAAGTCACCTTTAGAGACAGAATTTTCTCTTTACATTATTGGGTAGGTCAGAAGGTAGAATTGGGAAAGAATGATATTCTTCTTTGTATCTGAGGCACCTTTATTATTCTTTCAGTGCCATCACCTAGAATGAAGATGCACACATCTGATAGGCATAATCTGAGGATTCCAAAATCGTGTGTGTATGTGTGTGTGTGTGTGTGTGTGTGTGTGTTTAAAGATGTATTTATTTATTTATTTGACACAGAGAGAGAGAGAGAGAGAGCACAAGCAGGGGAGCAGCTGGCAGGCAGATAGGGAGAAACAGGCTCCCCACTGAGCAGAGTGCCCCACATGGGGCTCGATCCCAAGATCCTGGGATCATGACCAGAGCTGAAGACAGATGCTTAACAGACTGAGCCATCCAGGTGCCCCCCCCACAATTGTGTTTTAATATCATACTTTTCGAAATGAGTCATATTGATACCTGCTTTCTAACATTACATGTTTGTGACACCCACTCCATTAGTAAATTGCTGAGTTCTGAGAAATGTATATATGTGTACCTGTGAGTGTGTAACATAGCCTGTTTTTCTGGTAAGTGGAATAACTAAACATCTATGGGATATTTAGCAACGCTTGAACAGAAGACGACAAAATGAAATAATGGCCAAAATCCAAGCAGCTATCATACAGATTCCTAAACCTGCATCAAATCGTACTTTGAGAGCACTTGAGGCCCAAAAAATGATGAAAAAGAAAAAAGAGGCAGAGGTAAGTGATAATCCTTTAATTTGGTGTTGTGTTAATCTTAATGAAAGAAAGATCTTTCTCTAAAACATAGAGATTGCCCCCAACTTCTTAGTTCCTTTTCAAATTATTGGTGGCATTGTTCCTTCTCATTCAAAACTCCTTCACTGTGTGCATATCTAATCCATATTATACTGTTATTTGTTCAGAATGAGAGAATGTAGCTGTAGGTCAGGGATAAGAAACTCATGTTAAATGACAGTACCAATCTGGACTCCTGTGTTGAGGATTCTGTGGTCACTACAAAAATATTCTAGAATGGTGCTGCTGTGATGGGTCACAATCACCATGGGTACAGAGGTGTCAATCAAGGTACACATACCGTACATATGCCATTCCTACTATATGTTTTACTCAGTTCCTTCTCACCATGCTGCACTATTTTTCTATGAGTACCAGAAATGTTAAGTGGTTTGCTTGCTATCAGTTTGTGTAAATTTAAGATACCTACGCTAGTGGTATTTTATTAGACCATACCAGCTGTCCGTCATTCCAGTAGGATACCATCTGCTTCTATTTCATAGTGGAGCAATACTACATTTTGATACTAATTCCTGCAGCCTACATTGCATACTGCTCCAGTCTTTATTTGATGATATTCTCTCCTGGGACCTAAGGAAAAGAATAACAGCTACCATTTATTGAGGATTTGCTAAATGTCAGCCTGTGCATTGGAAACTTTACATTATCTTTCATTTGTAAATAACTCTCTAAGTAGGGTATTACTCCCCCAATTTCTAAATAAGGAAACTGAGACTCAGAAAGCTGCCATGTTTCTCTCTGGTACTGAGTATAGTAAAGCAGAGATTGACAGGTCTCTCTGATATCTAAATCCAATACATTTTATGTTAATCCACATTTCTTTATTTTTTAATATTTAAAAAATATCCTGTACTTGTATTCTAAAGAAAATTACTCATAAAGTTTTTTTTTCAGATCCAAATTTTAGAAAAGTATTTAATTCTTATATTTCTCTCAGATGGTTAAAGTTTATTAATAAGGATTTACAGTGGATGAAGGATGAGCTAAACTAATATTCAGAGAGCAAATTAATAGTATAAATAAGGTTGCACAAGAAATGTTTAAGACATGCAAGATAATAATTTTTGAAGAAGTATTTATATCCCCCCCAAAATGCTTATTCTTCTTTAAAAGAATTGCAAACAAAAATTCATGGCCTGAGACTCTTTGATAATTTCCATTCTCATTAAATGGCCTTTGTTGCACTCTCAGAGCTAGAACTGTGAGCGGAATGATTCAGAGAAGACAGCTTTCACACTCTTTTAGGTATATTTAGCCTAGTCTAAAAATAATGAATCAGAATTATAAAAGTATTCTATAATGCAGCTTTTTATATCTTACCTCCTAATTAGCCTGAAATAGTAGTGAATACAACCTTGGAAATTTGTAAAGTGAACACAGTAAATGAAGATTTTCAGTGGCTTTTAGAGATGGAAAACTGATAACGAATTTTCTTTAAAGGATGTGGCTAATGAGATTAAGAAGTTTGAAGCCTTAATAAAAAAGGATCTCCAGGCCAAAGAAAGGTGAGATGTGAATTACTTTAACAATCACAGAACTGCTTTCTGTTCTACTGTAGCGTTTGAATACTCAAAAATAGTTTATGGGGAATAGCTGCTCCAAAGATCTTTTTACTTTGTAGAAGCTTCATTAAGAGAGTACGTGAAAGAAAGTAAATGAGCTAAAATTCAGGTTGATTGATCATGAACAATTTTTGTAAAGACCAGGAGGACTATTATGAGTTGGGAAGTTATTTTATTTTTCTATGCTGTGCTTACTGTCCTAAGTTAACACAATTTTTGAGCATTTATAAAAATTGTTTCAAGTTACCACTAATTTAACTTTGTCATAAAGCCTTTATTAGATGCTCATTGGTTTCTTTCATGTTGCGTGCTCAGCATTTAGCATAGAGACCAGCAATAAAAAACTATAGAATGAGTGTAACTGTCACTGAAATGGTCAGCTCTGTGAGTTTATTTCAAAAAATGCCTGGTAAATGGGCTTCATTTGCCTAAAGATAAAGATCCTCTCCCTTTTCTTTCCTATTAGGGGTCATTGACTCAGGGAAGATAATTGAGTAGGGTCTGCATATGTGGGAGCAACTTGAATTCTTCCACATTTTTAAATGGGAACTTTCCAAATTCTTCTCACTTACATTTTATGGAATGTGAACTAATTCCTGTTAAAGAAGAAAAGCTGACACAAATTATATAAATCAGTTCCATATTAATATTTCTGAGGGAAAGAAACAGAGTCAAATGAGGAGAAATAAGAAAAAGAAGAAGTGGTGAGGAAATCAGGTGTGGAAGGAAAATAAAGGAAAGTGAAGAATACATACATTATATTTTCTTCTACCCTTTGCAAAAACTTTTGATGCCCTATTCTGATTCCCACTGCCATTTACCAGTGCTGCCCCAGGCTAAAGAAAACACAATCCAAGCCTACCCACCTAGTAGCCACCAACCAAACCCCACTATCCTCATCCCCGCCTGGGCCAGGAAACCACCGGATTTCTTCCAACTCTTCTTCCACTCATCTCACCTGGCATGCACTCTGGAGTGATAAGTAGATGGTATCTACCAGAGCAACCATCTTAAAATATTGAAATACTTTTGTTACTTTAGGTGAATAGTATTCCCTCTGGCTCTGTGGCCTATCCCTTTCCTGGGACCCCTCAATTTCCATGCAATTTAGCAACCAGCATTAACACCAAACATAGCAGTGGCCTGTAATTCCTGCACCAGCACCCATTTTAATTGATTAGTGTCTTTGCCATGTCAGTTGTTAAATTTGTTGTTTTTTTTTTACTTTTTTTTGTTTTTGTTTTGTTTTGTTTTTTAATTTATTTGACAGAGAGAGAGAGATCACAAGTAGGCAGAGAGTCAGGCAGAGAGAGCAGGCTCCCCACCAAGCAGAGAGCCTAATGTGGGGCTCCATACCAGGACCCTAAAGCCGAAGTCATTACCTGAAGCCGAAGTCACGATCTGAGCAGAAGGCAAGGTTTAACCCACTGAGCCACCCAGCTGCCCTCAGTTGTTAAATATTTTAAAGATCATCCTGTGCAATACATCTCAAACTTTCACCCTGCTTATGGCTATTGGCTTTGACAACCAATCTTGAACCTAAGTCTCTCTATCAATTAGCTTTAGAAACCCCAAACAAGAGCAGGTTAAATTAAATAGAGGTTTACTTCTTTCCTGTAATAGAAACCAGAATGTAAGCAGCTCAGGGAATCTGTTGGAGCTCCAAACTCATCAAGGACTGAGGCTTTCCTTTAGCTCCACTGTTTTGTTGTGGTTTTTGTACATTCATTCATATTCACAGTACAAGATGGCTCCTGGGGCTCTGGCCATTTGGCCCATGTTCGAGATATAAGGAAGGAAGATAGGGAAAAAGTAGTTATCTGAAATAGCTGAAATAGCTCCTTTTAAGAACCTTCCCACAAGTCCCAGGTTACATTTGTGGTTTACATTTTATTGGCTAGAATTTGGTCACATGGCCACACTTAACAGAATGGGAGGCTGGGAAATGTAGGCTTGGGATGGGTACACTGTTTTCCTGAATAAACCTGGGGTTCTGTTTTGTGGAAAAAGGGAAGGAAATGGCAGTGTCTATCACAGATCCTTTCTCTGCAGAAGCCTCCACTTGGTCTTGCCAGAGATTTAGCACTGGAGGACCATGAACTATAGACATACTCACTTCAATTCTTAGGGCAGTAGGGTAGGGCCTAGGGCAGCCAGACTCCCTGGACCAGTCACCAGGGATTGTGAAACTTCACCTGGGACTCCAAATCCCTCTCAGAATGCTGCACAAAAAGCATTTTCTCTGATAGCCCCAGGTAAAGAATGTTGGGAAGCACCGGTCTAAAGCAAACTTTTGAGGAAAACAAAAGTTACGGTACAGTAAGGGCCTTTGTTAAGTCCTTTATCAATCACTGCATTCATTCTGAATTTTTAGCTTAGAATATAGAATTTAGAATTTAGCTTAGAATCAAGCATCTTCTGGGATCTTTCAAAAACTTCACACTATTTGATTCCAGAAAGCACTAAAATCTCATAAGTCTACCATAAAGAACAATTTCTGCCCCTGCCCCTTTCACAGGCTGCTCCTGAAACAGTTTCTCAGGGATGTCACCACAAAGTCCATCTTTCTTCTTTTGTGGAAGAAGGAAACATTGTCTCAGAGCAATGCAAGAGCTCCCATGGCTGCTTTTCCCCACATGTACTTTGTCTTTATTTTCTAACACAAATAATAAATAAATGCTAGCTGCTACTTTTTTTAAAAAATATTTTTTATTTATTTGACAGACAGAGATCACAAGTAGGCAGAGAGGCAGGCAGAGAGAGAGAGGGGGAAGCAGGCTCTCCGCTGAGCAGAGAGCCCGATGTGGGGCTCAATCCCAGGACCCTGAGACCATGACCTGAGCCGAAGGCAGAGGCTTAACCCACTGAGCCACCCTGGTGCCCTCTGTGTGAATTTTTTTAAAGAATTACTCTGTATCATACTTCTTAACATATCATTTGAAGTTGAGCAGACATCAGCTATTTGTCAGAACTATGAGGCACCAGGACAGAGAGGAGTATAATAGGATACTTTTCTCATGAGCTCAGAGTTCATCTAGGAGCAGCAAATGTACAAAAAATGAGCTGTAATACAATATGATCTATAGACATGCAATTGTTACTTCATTAAATATGAATTAACTGTGCTTTATAAGAATACTTAGATCTGTACAGAAATTAATGACAATTTAGTTCTGTTATACCATATTAATGTGCCCTTGGCTTTTGAATAAGGTAGTAAGTTGTATTTTATACTAAATACATTAAGAACTTGTAACATGAAAAAATATTTATAACATTAAAACATTATTTATTGGCAGGTAACAAGATATATCTTTTACCATTGTACTATTGTATCCTGTTTATTTTGTAAGGAGGTATGCAGATGAGAATTGATTATTTGATCCTTATATACATAAAAATATATCTTTTACTTCTAAAGGTAACTTTTGAATGAACCTGTAAGTTCTTGTATTAAGCCACCATTGTCCCATTAAATTGAGCATATTTGCTTTCTGTTGGTAACACTACCAGGTTCTTCCTGATTCTTTAATTTTGGACATGAGGTAGGACAGGACCAAAGCAGGTCTTCTTACTTGGGTCTTCAGGACTTGGGCAAGAGGCTAGGTCAGTCTTGTGTTTGCCAGTGTGGTATGATGAGCAAGTCATTTTTTAGCTGCCAAGCTCCCAATAAGAACCGGGCCACTGGTCTAAGCACTCAGAAAGTTACTGGAACTTCATAGAGCATGCAAGGGAGACTTTTCCTGAGGTCTTCCTCCATAGTCAGTCAAAAGTAGGGGCATGTAACTGCATTGGTTTTTTTTAATCTAAATAATAACTATTATCCTTAGTGCCTCCAAGACTTCTGCAGATACAGCAGGCCAGACAACTACTGATTTGTTAAACACTTATTCGGATGATGACTATATTAAAAAAATCCAAAAGCGCCTTGAGGAAGATGCTTTTGCAAGAGAGCAAAGGGAGAAAAGACGGCGGAGACTGTTAATGGACCAGTTAATAGCCCACGAAGCACAAGAGGTAAAATATATAGATATAGCTTGAATAATAGTGCTGGAAAGTTTGCAAAATTTAGTCTTTTAAACACACACACACACACACACACATACATATATATATGTATCTTCATTATATATGTATCTGTTACTCTGAATCAAATGTCAACAGAACATATTCACATCACCATGGCAAATACACTCAGAAAAAGAAATCTACATAAAAGATTTATTAAGTAATCTAAAATCTGGTGATGGTTATATAGCATTGTAACTGTACTTAATGCCACTGAATTGGACCCTTAAAAATGGTTGAGATGGTAAATTTTATGTCATGTATATTTTCCCTCAATAAAAAAAAGTACTGACCAAAAAGGAACCTAAAATCTATGTCAAGTATGTGTATCCATTGTTGCTTTTGGAGGTAAGAGGAAACTTTTCCCCAGTTCTTTTGAGATATAATTGACAAAAAATTATATATATTTAATGTGTATGATGTGATGTTTTGATATATGTATACTTTGTGAAATGACTGCCATATGGAATTACCTGACACATCCATCACCTCACGTAGTTAATTTTTTGTGTGTTTGGTGAGAACACTTAAGATCTATTTTTGTAAGTTCAACTTTTTTTGATTGGCATATAAGTGGGATTATGCAGTATTTATATTTTTACGTTTGACTTATGTCACTTAGCATAATGGCTTTCAGGTTCACCCATGTTGTCACAAATGGCAGAATTTCCTTCCTTTTTAAGGCTGAAATAATATGCCATTGTGTATATACTCCATATCTTCTTTATCCATTTCTCAATCAAAGAACACTGAGGTTTCTCCATATCTTGGCTATTGTGAATAGTGCTGCATTGAATAGGGGGATGTAGACATCTCTCTCAGATACTGATTTCATTTCCTTTGGGTATATACTCAGGAAGTGGGATTGCTGGGTCATATGGTAATTCTATTCATAATTGTTTTGAGGAACTGCCATATTGTTTTCCTTAGAGGCTGCACCAGTTTACAGTGACAGTTTTTTAGAGTTCCCTTTTCTCCACATCTTTGCCAACACATGCTATTTCTTGTGGGTTTCTTTCTTTCTTTCTTTCTTTTTTAATGTGATAATCATTCTAACAGATGTGAAGTGCTATCTTATTATGGTTTTGATTTGGATTTCCCTGCTAATTAGTGATGTTGAGCACCTTTTTCATATACTTATTGGCCATTTGTTTGCCTTCTTTTGAGAAGTATCTGTTCAGGTCTTTTGCCCTTTATTTTTTTAAGTTCAGTTATTTGTTTTTTTTTGCTATTACATCGTTTGAATTCCTTTTATACCTTGGATATCAACCAAATGTACATTTGCAAATATTTTCTCCCATTCTGTAGGTTGCCCCTTCACTTTATTGGTGGTCTCCTTTACTGTATAGAAGCTTTTAGTTAGATGTAATCTTACTTATATATGTTTGTTTTTGTTGCCTGTACTGTGGGGGTCATATTAAAAAGAAAAAAAATCATTGCTTAGACCAATGTTAAGAAGTTTTTCCCCATGTTCTTTCTTCTAGTAGTTTTATAGTTTCAGGTTTATGTGTAAGTCTAATCCATTTAGAGTTGATTTTTGTATACAGTGTGAAATTAGCGTACATTTTCATTTTTCTGCATGTGAACATCCAATTTTTCCAGCACCACTTGAAGAGACTGTTCTTTCCCCATTATGTTGCCTTGGCACTCTTGTTGAAGACCAGTTGACTGTTCAAGCATGTATTTATTTCTGGGCTCTCTCTTCTATTCCACTGGTCTATATGTCTGTTTTTATGCAGTACCATACAGTTTTGAATACATAAATCAGGAATACCTACAGTTCTGTTCTTCTTGCTCAAGACTGCTTTGGCTATTCATAGTTTTTTGTGGTTTCATATGAATTTTAGTATTTTTTTAAATTTCTGTGAAAAATGCTATTGAAAATTTGATAGTGATTTTACTAAATCTGTAGGTTGCTTTAGATATTTTGGATATTTTAGCATTATTAATAATTCTAATCCATGAACAGGGATGTCTTTCCATCTATTTATGTATTCTTCAATTCCTTTTATCAGTGTTTTAGTTTTTAGGACACAGATCTTCCACCTCCATAGTTGAATTTATTTCTAAATATTTTATTATTTTTGATGCTATTGTGAGTGGGATTGTTTTCTCAATTTTTTTCAAATTATTCATTGTATATAGGAACACATTTTTATATGTGTGAGTTTTGTATATTGATTTTGTATCCAGCAACTTTACTGAAATTGTTTTTCAGTTTGAACAGACTTTTTGTGTTGCTGTTGTTGGAGTCTTCAGAGTTTTATGTAAAAAAAAAAAATCATATCATATGCAAATGGAGACAGTTTTACTTCTTCCTTTCTAATCTGGATGCCTTTTATTCTTTTTATTGTTAATGGTGCTGGCTAAGACTTCCAATACTATGTTAAAAAGAAATGGTGAGAATAAGTACCTTTGTCTTATTCCAGATCTTGAAGGAATGCTGACAAGCTGATAGCTTTTAGCATCATACTATCAAGTATGATGTTAGCTGTGGGTTTGTCATACATGGTCTTCATTATATTGAATTACATTCCTTCTCTACCTAATTTGTTCAGTTTTGATCTTGAAAAGATACTGATTTTTTTTTCAGATGCTTTTTCTGCATCAATTGAGATTATCAAAAAGGGAGTTTTTGCATAAAAACAACATGGAGAAGTTGTTAGTCCTCTCAATTTGTTTATTGGTTTACTCTAGTGGTTCTCAGTGTGATTCCTGGACTGGCAGCATCAGAATCACCTGGAAATTTTCAGTAATGTAAATAATTAGACCTCACCTCAGACCTACTGAATCAAGCTCAAATCACAGCTCTGGAGTGGAGCCTGTACTATAAGACCCTCTAGGTAATTTGATGCAGCTATAGTTTGAGAATCCCCGATCAACTCTCACATTGAACACATGTTCACTGAGCCTCTTCTATGCTCTGGGAACTGTTCTAGCTAGATCTAGGATACCATACTGAACAAGAATATTGAGAAATATGTTATCACAGAGCTTGCTGTTTGGGAGAGGATCTATAAACAAGAAAGGAGATTAGAGTGTGAAGGGGCAGTGAAAGTGATGGGAGGGACAGGTGACATAGCCCTCACTTGGTCCAGAGACAGTTTCTAGAGGATGATAAATAGAAACATGAAGACGCTAAGTTTAGGTGTGGGTAATTGTGGTGGGATGTGAGTGGGGGTTAGTTTCCAGCAGAGGCTAGAATGGTGGAAATTAAAGTGTGTATCCAGAGAGAATATCATATGGAATGGCTCAGCACTGAGAGCTAAGGTTCTTAGCAAACTGAAGTCATTTGGCAGGCATCCTCAGAGACCAAATCATGATGAGCCTTGCCAGCTGTATAGAGGGAAATAGGAGCTTTTATCCTAAGTGCAAAGGGGAACAGGAGTTACAAGGTCAGATTTGACTTTAGAAAGATCACTCTTTTACTTTAGTTGTGAGAATAGATTACAGCAAGTGAAAACAGGTTGCAGCTGGATTCTTACTAGGTTAGAAATTATCCCAGTTTAAATTTAGGGTGGTGGCAATGGGGATGGAGAGAAGTGGCTTCAGGAGCTATTTTAGTAATAAAATCAATAGGTATTAATGGTTCCTTAGACAGTGAGGCAGTGAAAAATTGGGACGAGAGGCCAGCTTGGGCAGTTAGGTGGATGGAGGTGGCATTTACTGCAATATGGAAGATGATGTGGAGGAACAGACCTGAGAAGGTGATTTAAAATGTGAACGTAAACAGGACAAATTTGCATGTCTAAAATATGAAAGACTGGCATAAAACTTCACATAAGTATGAAGAAGTGAAACTATTTCTCCGTGGATTCACTTCTTTCTTAGAGAAAAACTTAAAAAACAAACAAACCCCCTTTCCTCTCTGTGCTAAAAAGTTCTTTCTTATTTCAGATATATGTATAAATTTACTCAGGCATATATCCTCCCTTTTACTTAATAGTCTCTCTTTTAACTGGAAGAATTACAGATTATGGAAATTGGATAATTAAAAAGTAGATTGTGAAATAACTACCTATTTCAAGTTTCCTTAACTAACAATGGAATTTTTAACACACTTCCATTTGTTACAAAACACTTGTGCATGGGCTGCTCGGGTTTTTTTCTTTTTCTTTTTCTTTTTCTTTTTCTTTCTTTTTTTTTTTTTTTCTTATAGTCTAGACCTGATATTTACCTGGAAAATGGGGTGAATGATTCTTTCTGACTTTCCTCACTTTGTACCAGGATGCTATTAGCATTGGTTTTTCAAGGCTCTGGCCAGAGATTTGTTCAGGGACCAGCAACCTAACAGACATTAAAGTGAGTTAATGCTCTGGCTATTTCCAGCAAGGGAACTATTTCTTTTCAGTGTTTCAGTGAAAACTGCTGTTCCTCCAACCAGCCTGGGGTATGCAGCAAGGGACCTCCACTTCCACCGCCTCCTTTCTATCAAGTGTAGTGTCCCCGCTTCCCTGCACAGCTGACACAAGTGCCCGGGCCACAGTGGTGGACTGTGAAATCTCCACTTGCAACATGGCCTGTTTTCCTATCCATCCTTCTCTCTTCCCAATGTTATTTGTCAGGGCTGGGATTTCTTCTGCTTCTCTCAAGTACCTGCAGCTTTTTGAGAGCATGACATGGATCTGATGTCAGCCCTAGATGCTTTTACTCTGGCTTCATTTGTACTGAGCTACCAAGAATGCCTCTAAATATCTTCTCTAGCTTCCAGGTTGTTGTAGTTTTCCCCTGGGGTTTGTATGCTCTGTTTTAGGTGGGCTTGTGAAGAGAGAGCTAGAGACCTGTGCTCAAGTTGTTCTCTTGCCTCATGATTCATAAAGAAATGGATTACATGAATGAAATGATGAGATTTAGGGTTAGAACAATCACTTTAAGTTTTTTGGGTGGATTTTGGAGAAGGGTGGGGGGAAGGATGGTAGAGGAGAGGCTGATATTGTTCAAGGTAGGGGCTGTGCCCATTGGTATGGAATGGAGTAAAGGGTTCCTTAAAAACATACACAGGAGGTAAAATAGACTACTTCTTCAAGAACTGGATATTGGGAATGATAAGAGAGGAATAAACTTCGGATGGCACTAACATTTTAGGTCAGAAGTCATAGCTTTATAGGGTCATCAACTGAGATGGGGAAATTCTGAGGGAGGACCAAAACTGAAGGGGAGTTGGTGAGTTTAGTTTAGGTCTTGATGGGTTTGAAGTACCTCATATGCATTTAAAGTGGAGATATTCAAACTGTCAACCCAATTTAGCTCCCAGCTGGTTCTATGGTCATTTAGCTAGCATCTTGGTTGGCTCTTGGGATTCACACCAACTTAATTATCTCTACCTTCCCAAACTTATTCCTTGTTATTTTCTTGGAAACTGTGTTTGAACATCAGACCCCTCCCCTATGTCTTAACCCAACATCCTTAAATATTTAGCTTCCAGGTCTTTCCTGCAGGACTCATTCCTCCCCAAGAGCTGCTCAGGCATCTTTGTCATTCTGAGCATGGCATAGAGTAGGGTAGGCTCCTGGCTCCAGGTCATGCGAAAAGCAGAGGGCCTGGCATCCAAATTGAGGGTATTTTGGGTTGCATATCTTTCTAAATCTTCCCCAAATATAATTAAAGGAGAAAATTTTTTATTTTATTCATTGCAGATATAGAACATTTCATCTAAGATAGGGATTAAGCATAAATCTGTTTAGGCTGCACCGAGCACCTAACCCTAGCTTGTATCTTTCTATGAGAAAATGTGTTCCACATCCCTGTGAAATTTTTGGGAAAAAGTCTATTTCTAAAATATGAAATACTTGTACAATGGAACAAAAAAATAAATCTTTTCCACTCAACTTTTGGGTGCAGGTCTTAATACACTTGATGGTTCTTCATACTAAGGCTTTACATCCATAGCATTGACTCAGCATTCAACAGTGATTTCCTTTTCTTTTTACCTTTCTAACTATAATGTGTGGTCAGTAATCAAAACAGTTCTGACCAATCCAGTTTGTTCTTTATAAGGGTCAGAATGACTAGAACTCATCTGGACAACTAAATTGCCTTGCCATATAAACAACCAAATTATAGAATATACTCTATATTAATTATAGAATTCACTTGGAATAATAAATCAAGCCTATATTATTAAAAAAATATGGTTGTGACTGTGCTTTATATATCCAAAACCACCCCCAAAATGTGGTAAGCAGTTTGGGCTGGGCTCAGCTATGCTGTTCTTTTGCTGGTCTCAGCTGCCTCTCTCATGTGTCTTTGGTCAGCTGGTGTGTTGGCTGGAGATTCTTCAGGTCCATCTGGGAAGACTGGTGCCTCACTCTACCTTGTCTCTCATTTTCTTGCAGACCAGAAAATGTGGCGGCAGTGGTGGGGTAGGAATGCAAGAGAATTAAGAAAACCAGATCCCATGTGTGTGGGATTTTTTTGTTGGTTCTTTGTTTTTTGTTTTATGCTAATGTCCCATTGGTCAGTTTAATCAAATGGTTACCCCATACCCCATATTTAAGGAGTGGAGCAATAGATTATACTTTATATATATATATATATATATTTTTTTTTTCTTTTCAGCGTAACAGTATTCATTGTTTTTGCACCACACCCAGGGCTCCATGCAATCCGTGCCCTCTCCAATACCCACCACCTGGTTCCCCCAACCTCCCACCTCCCGCCCCTTCAAAACCCTCAGATTGTTTTTCAAAGTCCATAGTCTCTCATGGTTCACCTCCCCTTCCAATTTCCCTCAACTCCCTTCTCCTCTCCATCTCCCCTTGTCCTCCATGCTATTTGTTATGCTCCACAAATAAGTGAAACCATATGATAATTGACTCTCTCTGCTTGACTTATTTCACTCAGCATAATTTCTTCCAGTCCTGTCCATGTTGCTACAAAAGTTGGGTATTCATCCTTTCTGATGGAGGCATAATACTCCATAGTGTATATGGACCACATCTTCCTTATCCATTCGTCTGTTGAAGGGCATCTTGGTTCTTTCCACGGTTTGGCTTTTTGATAAGAATAGCTGCAGGATACAACTGCAAGGATATGGATGAAGAAAACTAAAGAATTTGTGGCCATTTTTGCATTCTGCCTCAGCTCCACTACTGGATCTTGAAAGGAAACAAATGGTTAACATTAAAGATTCCAGAATTTTATAATTAGATTACCCATATGTTTCAAAGTTGTTCTTGATTTTATTTTGTATTTTATATATGTTACTAAAAATTCATGTTTATTTTCAGTTGAAATTTCATTTAATCTACATTTTTACATAATTCCTGGGTTCGAGTTTTGGAATTTACAATAGAGTGTTATTATTTGCATCCAGATTCTGAAAATATATAGGGTATTTCTCCCATTATCTCACAGTGGCAGAGATCATTTGAAACAATGCCATTAATAATGCTAGATTTTCTTCCTAAACAGTTGGATTGTTGAGTGTTAAATGGACAACTCCAATGTTTAAGTATTCTTTTACATCTTTCGCCTTGAGAATTTTAATTACCTCCTCCTTCCACATGATGTCTCTGTTTAGACAGAATGAGAGCTTGAAGGTGCTTTGGAGATCATCTTCCACCTAAACCCCTCGTTTCACCTGTCAAGAAGTAGGCCCTGAAAATCCAAATTACTTGTCCAAAATAACACAGCCAATTAATGGTATGACTGGGGCTGCAATGGCTTTTGATTCCCAATTTAATGCTTTATTCCACTGCTCATGTACTGACTACCCTTCTGCTCTCTTAAAATAGATGAGAGCCAGGAGAATGCATCTAGTTTCTCTTTCAGATTACATCCAGTCAGATTTTCTGAGACAAGCCATAGGTCATGGTCTCTTAGACTCTCCTCCAGTCTTCCCATTCCATCAAATTGCAGCTTTTCCTCACACAGGTAGTGAGATGTCTACACTGGCAACTAACCATATCTGCCATCTTCAGCCAAAGTCTGCATTTACTTTTACAACCTGTATTTATTTCAGGAATTTCAAATTTCTGAAAACATGCTTGTAAGTTGAGAATCATATCCTTTGTTTATAAAACCTTGAAAACAGTTACCTAATTTATTTTTCATTGGATTTTAAACAAAGTAACAATTCACTTAAAGTAATTGTGACTTGCAAAATCATAGTGTTTCCAGATACCAAAATGGTACAACCTTTGTTGGAAATCTTCATTTTTATAACTTGATTTTTGCCATGTTCAAATTTAAATCATAGGACAGATGCCAAGGAATACTCTGCCTTGTGCACATTATTTATACATAGCCTTCTTAACCCAGTGGGAAATTTGGACATGGTCTTGACAAATAATTGGCTCCCCCAATGGTGTTTTCAGGAGGCCTATCGGGAGGAGCAGCTGATTAATAGACTGATGCGGCAGTCCCAGCAGGAACGCAGGATCGCTGTGCAGCTCATGCATGTTCGACATGAAAAGGAAGTTTTATGGCAAAACAGAATTTTCCGAGAAAAACAGTATGAAGAAAGACGACTTAAAGATTTCCAGGATGCTCTTGATCGAGAAGCGGTAAACGATAACTCCCTTAAAAATCTAAGCTTACTTTTGATACTTTCTACCAAGTCAAGGTAAACAAAACTGCATTTAGTTGCCAGTCACTTAAGAAGAATTAATTTTTATATGATCTCCCTCTTATCTCCCTATTTTTATCTTTGTGTAAGTAAAATCACAGCACATAGGGCTTCTACATGTCACACTCTCCCCCTTTAGTCTTGCTTCCACCAATATTTGATGTTCACGACCAATCTTTATGTCCACATAAAGTCATTTTGGTTGCCTGGAACTCGTTCTCCAGTAGGTTCCTCAAGAAGGGCTCAGGGAACAATATTCCGTGTATGTTGTATTGGATATTGTGTAGTGTATTCTGATAACAGGATAGGTCTTTTATACCTGATGGTCAGTTTTGCTCTATATAAAATCCCTAGTCCACATTTTCTTTCCTTGAATATCTTAAATACACTATTCCATTTTCTTCAAGTCAAAGTGTTATTGCCTATAATATGATAATCTAATTTTCAGTTTCTTGTATGATTACTCCATTTTTATAGATCTACTTTATTTTCCTTTAAATCTGCTAAGTTTACTAGGATTGTATTGGTCTTGGTTATTCTGGGTGAACATTCTCAGGTGGTGAGAGCACTTTTAAGCTGCCTCTTTTCTATAAGGTACTGTTAGTCTTTAATAAATGATTCCTTGCTTTGTGATAAATTAGGATTTTTATCAGGTCCACAGTGCTTTAGTCCTTGCTCCAAACCCTTATCCAGGGTACTCTGGTTGATTGTATTTGAGAATGGTACATACGTAGGTATGCTCTTGGCCACTTTGGTATCAATCCATCTAGGTCCTTTTATAACTCTGAAAATCAAAATATCTAACCTTTTGATTATTTAATACATTAATATTTCCTTATCTTTATGTACATATGGGTTCTAGTTATCAAAATAGATCTATTTTATCAATGGATTATGTAGATTTCTTCTTGCCTATTTCCTATTGGAGGTATTTCAAACATATTCAATCTGTTGGTCCAGATTTGATTGAAGAAATAGAAAACTCGTGTGAGTGGCATTTTAAATAGCTTGTCTTCAGTGCCATAAAATAGTCACAAAACTAGGCTGAATGGAAGAGAACACCTCATAAAAAATAGGAAGGGAATGCTTTATGTATCAGATTCATGGTTTACACTATGATAGTCCATGAAAATAAATACAGCCTTTGCCAAAATTATACAATTTTTAGAAATATCATTTAAGAGTAAAGAAAATGGTGCTCTTGCCTTTTGTAGAATAGACATTGCTGAAATGTTAGGGGTAGGGGTAAAGAACTATACCTCCATTACTCCATGAATTTGAGCGGCATGATCGCTGATTTCAGGTATCCTCTTAAAGAGCTGAATTATCTGGATAATTGTTTTATCCCTCTATTTTGACAAGAGTGAACTTGAATAGATTGAATGGTATTTGCTTACTTTAGAAATGTGTTTAGCTAATCTTTCTAAGTGCCTATTGAAAAATATGTCTGCTTCAAGCCCAGTTAATGAAGTGCATAGTATCAAAGCATTTATAGCAGGACTGGGCTTACTGTGATAACCTGCATTTTTCTTTAACTAAGCCTGAACAGACATCAGAGGATTAGAACACTCAGGCCTGCTAGAGCCTCAGAGAACAGAACCGTGAGGTTCTGTAGCATCTGTGAAAATTATATCCCTTCCTCTCACAATGATTACCTTTCCTTAAAGCTGAGGTATCTGCTTCCCTGACACTCTTCTTTGTGAGGTGGCTTGATTTCATGGGTTCTCTCTGCAAACATTGAATTTATCACCTTCTACATCAACAGTGGCTGGTGTACAAGTAGGAGCCAAAGAAATAAATACTGAATTGAAGTTTCCAAAGGAACACTGTTACCTTTTCTTCCTAGTCTCATGCACTAAATAAACAAAATATATCTTGTTCCCCACAGCAGATCATTCTACTGCTTTCCTTTTGTGGAGAAGAGACTTTTTTTTTTTAATTGTTTTTTTACTTGCTACTGTTCTTGTAGTTTTTGTTACTGTTTGTGGCAGGAGAAGGGAGAGAATTCTAGAAGTACTTTTAAACCTCTTAAAATTTAAAAAAATCTGTTAGGTGGGGTGCTGGGTGGCTTAGTCAGTTAAGCATCCAACTTTTGATTTTGGCTCAGGTCATGATCTTGGGGTCTTGGGGTCAAGTCCTGCATTGGGCTCCAGCCTCAGTGGAGACTCTGTTAGGGATTCTCACCATCTGCCCCTCCCCCCTGCTCTCACTCTTTCTCTCAAATAAATAAATAAATCTTTTTAAAAAACTAAAAAATAAAAAGTCTGCTAATGATAGAGGCTATTAGTAATATGTCATATTATTAATATTATTAGTCCACTATCACGTGATCCCTTTCTGTTGAGTTCTGCTATGGAAATGCTCTCCTGGTTTTCTTCCTTCTTCATTGGCTGCCTCTTCTTGGCCTTCTTTGTTGGCTCATTCTCCTCTAATACCAAAACATGTAATGCCAGGGCTCCTTAAAGCTTAGTTCTAGGCCTGTTTCTTTGCTCCTCTGTGCTATTTCCTCAGACAACCTCTTAATGCACAACCAGGGTATGTAATTGCTGTGATAGGCAACTCATACATTTATACGTTGTCCTCTGCAGTAAAGACCCACGTACTCAACTGCTTTCCTGACATCACTACTCTTATATCTCAGTGACACCTTAAATTCAACATGTTAAAGCCAAATTTATGACCCTTCTTACTAAACTGCTCTTTTTCAAGTTTCTGTATTTCCATAAATGGCAACATTATTTATTTAGTTATATGAGTGTAAAACATCAGGATCCACTGGACTCCTGTTCCACTCTTTCTTCCATATCAAAATCATCACTGTCTTGTCCATTTCACATACTAAATATTTCTTCAGTTTATCCATTTTTCCCCATGTCTACGCTACCAACACTACCAGTCTCTGTTACTATTACTACTATTACTACTATGACTATGACTGCGACTACAACTACTACTACAGTGGTCTCCTTCGTCCATTTTGAGTGGCTGTGAATTAGCAACTGCAGTTGGGATATAACATTCTTTATATTCTCTAAATCAGCTTAAGCTTGAAGTCCAGCAAACTTCTGCCCATAGAGATGCACAGATGCACGGTGCCCCAGGTCACAGGCCAAGTCACCAGGAAGCACTGCAATCATCAGGCCCAGGCCCAGCCTACTTTCCTTGAGACCCGAGTTGCCCCAGACCACTCACATTGCCTCCAGTGGCACATGTTTTCACAGAGGGTGTTCCAGCTTTCATGGGTCCCTCACATGTTCCCTTCTGAGGCTCTCCTGCTCCCCAGGAAGTGCCAAGAAGTAGGTGCACATCTCTTCCTCTTTGCTCTCAGAATCTTCCCTCCTTTCCACTCTCTTGGAGTGACCGATATTAATTTGCCTTTGAGGAGAGTCCTTTAAAGTGAGGAGGAGTTTCCAATAGCTTCTGCTTTTCTGTCTTGCTGAAATTTCCTGAAGCAGGAGGTAAAAAGGATCTGTTAGAAAAGAAGGAAGGGGAAATTAGAGATAACTTATACTAATTTCCTGCCCTACTATCATCTCCTACAAATCATCTTCCATTGTGCAGGCATAGGAACCTTCTCGACTCTCAGATTTGACCATTGGCCTCATACTCAAAAACCCACCCATGGCTTCTCTTCGATCAGATCCCTGCTCACACCTTGCTCCTGTCTCCTGGACTCTGGCCATACTGGTCTGCTCTCAGATCCTTGAACAAGTCATTTCTTCTGCGATCCCCTTCTTCCCTCATACCTTTCCCCAGCTACTCCTCATCTTTCAGAACTCTGTGCACAGGCCACTTCTCATCTAGGCCAGGACTCCTGTGAGGACCCATACTCCTGTGAGGCTCCATACTCCATCACCCTTCTTGATGACACTGTACAAGTGCACAGTCATTGTGAGGCTTCTTCACTGCCCCTCCCACTGCACATAAGCTCGTGAGGAAAGGGATCATGTTTGCTTCTGCTCACTATTGTTTCCCCAGGGCTGAGGCCAATGTCTAGTACATTTCAAGAAAGGCCAGGGTGGGGAAAGGGGGTGGGGGGCAGTAGTGCAGAAAGAGAGAGAGGGAGAGAGAGAACTTTGTGTTTTCCATCATCAGTTTTTGTCTGTTTTGGTATTGTATTTAGGTTAAATCTCTTTACCTCATCCTTTAAGATAATTGAGCATCTATTCTATATTGTTTCTGATTTCAAATTTCTATTCTACCTATTAGTAGTAATAGTACTTAATTATAATAATATTTAACATTTTTTTAGCATTTATTGTGAGTCCAGCATTGAGTTGTGTTTACCACATGTACATATAATTCTTGCAACAGCCGTCGGAAGTGGACACTACCCTTGTCTACATTTTGCACATAAGGGAAACAAGACTTAGAAAGCTCACCTTCACACAGACTGTCAGTGGTGTAGGCAGGAGCACAGCTGGCTCTAGCAGACTCCAGAGTCTGGGCCCATAACAACCGAGATTGACTACCTCCTACAGACTTCCTTTTTCCTTTTCCTTCTTTCTTTTTTTAGGGCTTTAACCCAATTTGCTGCAGTGCGACAGGAAATGGTGGTGGGTTTAGCACAGGGAGGTGGGGTTGGGTAAAGGTAGAAAACTAGTAGCTAAAAAGTAGGAAGAAAGGCATGGAGGGAGGAAAGGAGACAGCACCAAGGTGAAAGCTGCTGCCTTCTGGTGAGGATCATTACACTGGTCCCTGTAAGGCTTGGGTCCCTTCCCACCCGAAACATTTCCACATAATTTACAGGCACTCTGAGTCGAGCAACCTCACACCCCATTTCCTGTCACCACACAAGTTCTCATCTGGCTACTCCTGCTCTTTTAGATTCCTTTCATCAGACCTCTTCACAGGTGATGAACATACCATAGAGCTTCCTACTGAAATGGTGTGTTTTCCCCAGGAAGATGGGGCCTATAGAACAACACAACAATAACAAATTCTGGTGATTCCTGAACTTGCCAAATGGATAGGACTGACCTTGGGGGTCACCCAGCCTGACCACTTTCCCAATAAAAAGAAAACAAACTAAATATAAAACACTAACAAAAACAAATGAACCTTCCATTTGGTTCAGTGGACAAAGACCATCGTCCATTGTCAGGCATTTAATCATGTGTGAGTAGTATCACAAGAAATATTTGCCTGATGGGATGGTGGTAAGATTTTCTGTATATGCAAAGTCTTCTTAATACCCCATTTCATGCTGAGGACATAGGGGCTGAGGGGGGCTGGGACTAGGAGCTTAGGACTTGACTTCTGTATACAGGCTGGGGCTTGACTGATGGCAGCTCCCCCAAGGCCCAAGTTCACCTCCATTTTACACTCATTGGGTTAAGTTACTGGAGGCAAGTCTGGTTTCTGGAGCTTGTTAGCCCAGGATAGAATTTCTCAAGGAGCTGGGATAGCTATTTGAAAAACGTTTAGTCATGCTTTGACCTTTGCACTTGACCTTTGCTCTTTGTGTGAAGAAAGGGTCTCTCTAAACAAAATAATAGTGCAAACGAAGCAGAGGGTCATAACAAACTGTATTTCGTTACTTTCTGCAGAAATAAGTGTTCTATATGAGTGAATTTTACCAATTTATTAAGGCTATAGGAGCAGAATGGTTTTTTGTTGTTGTTGTTATTGTCTAAATACATTAAACATTGGTGCATGTGTGATAGTCTCATGCCAGTAATATCAGAGATTTTCCAAAATATTTTCTAAGGATGAATCAGTATCCTAGAACTTTCTCACTAAAAGATGGGGGGCATTGGCCAGGCAGAGCAGATATATCAGGTTAGGGCTCCTAAAATGGGTTGGAAGGGACCAGCTGTGCTAGGGTCTGACACAGACTTGTCTGTTTCACTGTGATCCCTGCATCTATTTGCAACCCATGAACTCAAGTCGTCTTTTTAAACACTTAAGATCCAATTTATCATTAGTTTTCATTGGGCTTTCCACAGTTATACCACTGTTCTCTGTATTCTATTTTGCTGATAAGATACGCTAAAGGTGGAATATTTCCAATATCGTCTTTGCCATCATACTCAGTAGTTAATAAGGAGAAGGTGCTCTTTCGTGATTAAGTTTTTCTTGGTGTAAAAAGATGTTTCATTCTATTTAGAGATTTTTTTTGCCTATTGAAATGATAATTTTTTTTTCAGGTGAATCATCGCAAATTACATTGACTTAAAAATGTCTTTGCCTTTCTTAGGCTTTGGCCAGACAAGCCAAGATTGATTTTGAGGAACAAGCCATCAGAGAGAGGGAAATTCATGAACAGATTGCTGTGGAAAGAGCTCAGGCTCGTTACAGAAAGCATTACACAATATGTGCAGTAATTTTGGATCAAATACTTGATTTGTCTACTAAGGTGGCAGACTACCGGATGTTGACAAATAAGTAAGTGTTGTTTTTTATAATCATTACAGTAGAGACATCACAGGAAATGAGAGAGGATAAGACTGTAATGTAGACACTCAGTTGATAAGAGAGACAATAATTTTTCTTAAAAAAATACTAAGAAGTGGGGCCCAGGATGCCTGGATTACTGACTTAACTCATCCCCCAATGAGCCTTATTTCAGGTGTATTTGTATGTCTTTTAATAATTAAATTTTGTGTCTAGATTATAATTAAGATGACTATGATAATTTATTTGAAATACTTGTAACTTCCTAAAAGCTTGGAATTGTTTGAAGATTATTTTACTCGTCATTAAGTCTATTTATTTTTATTGCAATTTGTTTCTAAAAGAAATTAATACACTTAGAAGGAAATAGTCAACAATACAAAATATATTAATACTATGACAGAATAAGAAAAAAGGAAAATCCAAATTAAAGTAGAAAGTTAAGAACAAGGGATAAACTGGAACATGGTTATATTGGCAGCAGTAGTTGCTGCAACTGAGCTGCAAATTTTATCTGAGCTTCCTGGTAGCCAAAGTAAAAAGGGAAATACAACCTGTCATGTGTTTTCCATGTTCCATTCTGGTTCTTTACAAAACATATCTCTTCTTGGCACTCATATAAGTTCACTTATATGGTACCGTCACCTAAGACACACTGAGTAGTGTAGTCAATCTAGTGGAGAATGTCCTCAGCAACATCTTTTAAGCAGATGTATCATCTGTCGTCATAGACTTACTTCTTGTGATATTCTTTGCTGAAAGCTAAAGGGGAATGACATCACAGTAGATCTCAGTGAAAGGGATTCCACAAGGGCAAAGATAAGGTGACCCAGTTAAATGTGTATACATCTCAAATTACTTAGACTAAGATCTTCTAGAGAACCCACTATTGCCCACAGTGGCTGCACCAGTTTATATTCCCACCAACAGTACACAAGGGCTCCCTTTTCTCCACATCCTTACTTTTTACTGCTTGTCTTTTTGATACCAGCCATTCTGACAGGTGTGAGGTAATATTTCATGGTGGTTTTGATCTGTATTTTCCTGATGATTAATGATGTTGAGCATCTTTTCATGTACCTGTTGGACATCTTTATGTCTGCTTTGGTAAAATGTCTATTCAGATCCTCTGCCCATTTTTAAAATTGGATTGTATGCTTTTTTTGCTATTGAGTTATGTAAATTCTTTATGTATTTTGGATATTATCAGTATGTGATTTACAAATATTTGGAAATATTTTCCCCCATTCAATAGATTGCCTTTTCTTTTTATTGATTGTTTCCTTTGCCTTGCAGAATCTTTTAAGTTGGATATAGCCCTACTTGTTTATTTTTGCTTTTGGTATCAAATCCAAAAAAGTCATTGCTAAGACCAATGTCAAAGAGTTTACTGCCTATGTTTTCTTCCAGGAGTTTTATGGTTTCAGGTTTTACATTCTTTAATTCATTTTGAGTTATTTTTTGTGTATTGTGTAATATATGTGTCTTTTAATTGCAATTGAACAAAACAATGACATATTTTATTATTCTGCACTACCAACAGTCAAGATAAACTCATGTTACTTCATTGAACAAGATATTATCAGTATTTTTTTTTCTAAAGCACAGGTAAATTTTTGGTATCAGCCAATTCGGAAGAACTGACTTTTTAGACTGCTTCTTAAAATTATTAATATTCAGATAATAGGATATTAATAAAGTAACTAAGATTAAGTTTTGGACAATATGTAAGTTATTAGTCACTTGCATCACCATAGAAACCAATGCCATTTCAATAATTCTGATGTTATATTATTTCTATGGCTGAGCTTATCAGTTTCTAAACTTTTATATCTCTACAAAGTAACCCTTAGCAACTGTAAACATTTTGTTAATGGAGATATAAGGTGATTATATTTGAAGTTGTACATTTAATTGAAATACTATTTTTCATATTGTGGCAAAACATACATAATGCAAAATTTACCCTTTTAATCATTTTAGAAACACACTTCAGTGGCATAAGTACATTCACATTATTGTGCAACTGTCACCACCATCTATCTCCAGAACTTTTTTATTATTCCAAACTTAAGTTTGTACTGTACACATTAAGTGATATACACATTAAATAACTCTCCAGCCCCTGATAAACCTCTGTTCTACTTTTGATCTCTGTGAGTTTGTCTACTCTGGGTATCTAATATAAATGAAGTCATATTTGATTTGTTGTTTTAGTGTCTGGCTTATTTCATTTAACCTAACCTCTTCAAGTTTCATCCATGTGGCATGTATCAGGATGAAATGAATGAATACTACTTGTTTTGTTGTAATTTCAAGCTCTAGTCTATTTCTAGAGAAATACATCAGAATTATGTCAGACTCTTTCCTTCCTTTGCATTTTGTTCTTCTTGAAACTGTCTTCCTATCAGGCTGTCCTGATTACCTCTTAAGCCTTCATCAGATTTAAATAGAAATAGTTACTGAAAAATAATTTTAAAGGTCATCAAATATACAATGACAATATAACCACCATACATTTGACTTTTCTATTAGAAATTATTGCAAATATGGAAACCAACTGTCATCCTAAAAGGGCTTTGGAAAATACTCAGTCTGTTCATTTTGCACAGGAAGACAGTGATATTACAACATTTAAAGGATTTCCTAAGATTGCACAGCCATTTAATGTCATGGCTGGGAATTGTTTTAGAAAAACCCAAGTTTTAGGATAGCACTCATTATTTTCAGGCATATTGTTCTGTTAGTGCACAGTCAATATGAAAGTTTGAAGAATCAGTGGCTTGAGGTAACATGGATTCATTCAAACCTACTAAGTTTGAGACGTTCTCTAGCCATTAGCAATATACAGTAATAGTAAGTGGAATCCCCAGTCTCAAACAGCAGACAGTAGGGAATGAATTTAATAATGTAAAAGCCAAGGTTTAAGAAATATATTGGACTAAACATTGATTCTTCTCTACTTATCTTTCAAATCTTTTTTGCTATAGTATGATTCCATATAAGTTGATGCATGATTGGAAGGAACTGTTTTTTAATGGAAAGCCCATATATGAGCAAGCTTCTATTAAGCATCTACCAGCTAAGCCCTCTGCAGAACAACTTACAGAACTGGAGAAGAGGGACTTACTCGATAACAATGATTATGAAGAATATAAGGTACTTACTAACGTGGCATAATGAGAGAGAATGCAACATAACGTGTGGTTTTCTCTAACATTAATTTTGTGATGTTGTGTCATTTCATCCTTACTAATAAAAATGACCATTTTATATTTGCCTTTTCCCTTGATTTAATTTGTATTTATATATTAATTTTTAAATGCTTAGCCTATTCATAATCTGTTATCTGTTACTCCTAGTAATACTCAGAGAGTGGTCTGAAAAAAAATAAAACATAATACATTGTGAGGGCTGATAGATTATAGAATTTTTAAAATATTTTAACTTATTTATCAGCATTTTCTTTGTATGAGCTGTATACCTTCACTACAAAAACCCTTGCATAAAGGTATTTCTTTAGTAATTTATTTAAATTGTATATAGTTTTTAGGGGCATATGAAAGAAGAGAAGTTCTGGATTTAGGAGTACCATGGATTCAAACAAAGCTTTATTCAGATTTGAAAAAGTAATGGGTGTCACTTGCACTAAAAGAGCTGCTTAAAAGACTATGGGTCAGGCCCACCAAGGTGAGACCTTGGGAAGCCTGGGAGAGACTTAGTTTCCCAATTTATGAAATGGGTATATTAATATACCTATTTTATTTTGTTGTTATAAAACTTATTTAAGATAATATGTGTTAAATATTTAGTCAAGTGCACTGCATGTTGGATACAAATAATATATATAAATTTCTTTCCTCATCACCCTGCTCTCCCCATTGCATTTCATTGCACCTTTAGGAAGAAAGATATTAAATTAAGAGCTATCAGATGGAAGTTCTAGGTAAATATGCATCAGTGAAATGAAGAATGAGGCCCACTATTATATCACTGAATGAGTTTTAGAAGGGTAGTAAGTGCAACATGAAAAAAAAAAAAAGAGAGAGAAGGAAGAATAATTTGACCAAATCATTTGCTGATATTTAGCAAATACACAATAAATGTTTGTTGAAAGGATGCATGAATAAAATGAATGAATGACAATGAATAGGGCACAGTGTGAAATAGCACTAATTTGTTAATATTTAAAAAAAGATAGATTTATAGGGGTGCCTAGGTGGCTCAGTTGGTTAAACATCTGACTTCTTATCTCAGCTCTGGTCTTGATCTTGAAATTGTGGGATCGAGTCCCATGCTGGGCTCCATGCTGGGCATGGAGCCTACTTAAATTAAAAAATTTAAAAAGATAATTATTATTATATAATAATATAATAATCTATAATTATCTATAATACAATAATCTATAATACAATCTGTGCTCTTGTGGCTCAAGTAACTTTTCCAGAAGCTTCTACATCTGAATTCACCTATCTGTTGTCATTGCTTAGCCAGGGACACATTTATGATAAAATGATGATGTGAGCTAATAAGAAATTAAATGTACATCATTGTAATTGGATGTATCTATATTTATATCATTAAAATAATTTTTATTTAAGAATTAGCTAGAACTTTATAGTATATACATGCATATTTATTTAGTATGGTTGTGGAATATAGTAGATCTAGTGTGTTAACCTAAAATATCCCTTTACATAATAAATTCTCTGATATTAAAATATGTGAAGGTATTTTTTCCTGTTGTAAGTTAAAAGTCATTTTATTTGACAGATTTTGCTAATTTATAGAATATTTATTTCTAAGTTTTTTCTTAAACAGCTCTATCTCCTCTATTCTTATTGCTTTCATAAATCAGGAGACCTGGTAGTCTGCAGCTTAGCAAAGATTTGCCTTTCTAATTTTTTTCTTGTTTGGGAAATCATTACCACAGGAACATGCTTGTCTTACCCACATCCTGAAGCAGCTGGTATGTTTCTTTTGCAGGAAATTATAAACTTTTGTTAGGAGTATGTGAGCGTCTAGCAATATACTTTATTTTGTTTATAGTTTTTGCTGTTTTCCTAGACATGAAAATTACCCTAGGATTTCTGATATATGTTTATATGTTCTGTTCCTTTCGACTACATGATGGAAAATAGATGATGCATAGGTGTTAGGATATTACTGTAAACTAGCCTCTTATCACTCCCTGTTCTTAGAGCTTTTTTCTCCTCAGAAACTTTCCACATGTTCCTGCAGGTAAAAAATAAATGCTTCAACTTGTAAACTATATCATCTGGCATAAATAATCTTTCGTAGGAGGAAGAGAGGCAACAATAAGCAGCTTAACTAAAGGAAACCGTTGTCCATATTTATCATTGCTAAATTTACTCAGGATTTTTAATCCTTCAAGTAAATGCATAACTTAGAAATTAGTCTTTGAAGAGTTTACATTCTTAGCATACTTAGCATACTGTATCTATTGATACGCCCAGATCCAGCATCCTGAAAGAATGGATACATCGGGGCTTCAGGCCCACACTTTTAAAGGTCTGTCAGCATAAGCTAGGATGCTTAAAATTTTTGAATATTACAACTAGAAATAGATATAAAAACAAATTTTCACTCATGTACACATCATTTATAGAGACTAAAATTTGAACCTCATTGCTTAACATCATTTCCTAAATCATCACATTCTATAAGCTGGATACACATGAGAGAGGTCTAATTCAAGAACAGTATGGCCAGGAACATCATCTATCTGTCCAAGAAGGAAGCCTCATGGAGCAGCCTCATGTTACAGCATATCCATGAACTACTCATCCAAGAGTGGGGAGCAGTCCTGAAAACCCAGTGGCCTATGGGCAGCAGGCTAAGCCAGGAGCCCAACTACTTAAGAGCCAAAGCTGTTCCAGCACAGCTCCCACCCAGCAGCCAGTGGTTCTTGACTGTGCAGTGGACTCCTCCTAGTAAATCCCAAACTTTCCCACATGCAAGTCCTTTTTATGATTCTTACTGGCAAATTACCCAGAATCCCACAGTATTTGATTTTTATAGAAACTGCTTATTAGCAGTTACCTACTGAATGAGTGGGAGTTACCAAAATTTGGTCTTCGTAAACTAAAATTTGGCCATGCTTTCTTGAAGACACAGATTTTTCGAAGTCTCTGGCACAAAGCACTTGGCAATTTATGGAGATCTGCTGTGCATGCCCAAGAACAAGTTGTTACCATTTTGGAAGAAGGATCATCTATGTTGTTGCAAGCTGTTCATGGTTTTTAATTGCTGTGATTTTTGTTTTTAATGAAAACCTGGTGTTTAAATTCATGATCAGTTGAGGTTGCTGTGGTTGTTGGATTACCCTATAGTGTGTGTTGTAATGCACATTTTTTTTATTTAATTTCTTTTCCATGTAACAGGATTCATTGTTTATGCACCACACCCAGTGCTCCATGCAACATGTGCCCTCCATAATACCTACCACCTGGCTCCCCAACCTCCCACCCCCCTCCCCTTCAAAACCCTCAGATTGTTTTTCAGAGTCCATAGCCTCTCATGGTTCATCTCCCCTTCTAATTTCCCTCAACTCCCTTCTCTCCATCTCCCCATGTCCTCGTGTTATTTCTTATGCTCCACAAATAAGTGAAATCATATGATAATTGACTCTCTCTGCTTGACTTATTTCACTCAGCGTAATCTCCTCCAGTTCCACCCATGTTGATACAAAAGTTGGGTATTTATCCTTTCTGATGGAGGCCTAAGACTCCATAGTGTATAAGGACCACATCTTCCTTATCCATTGCATCCATTGAAGGGCATCTTGGTTCTTTCCACAGTTTGGCGACCGTGGACATTGCTGCCTTGAACATTGGGATACAGATGGCCCTTCTTTTTACTTCATCTATATCTTTGGGGTAAATACCCAGTAGTACAATTGCAGAGTCATAGGAAATCTCCATTTTTAATTTCTTAAAGAATCTCCACACTGTTCTCCAAATTGGCTGCACCAACTTGCATTCCCTCCAAAAGTGTAAGAGGGTTCCCCTTTCTCCACATCCTCTCCAACATATGCTGTTTCCTGTCTTGCTAATTTTGGTCATTCTAACTGGTATAACGTGGTATCTCAATGTGGTTTTAATTTGAATCTCCCTGATGGCTAGTGATGATGACCATTTTTTCATGTGTCTGGCAGCCATTTGTATGTCTTCCTTGGAGAAGTGTCTGTTCATGTCTTCTGCCCATTTTTTGACATGATTATCCATTTTGTGTGTGTTGAGTTTGAGAATTTCTTTATAGATCCTGGATATCAGCCTTTTGTCCGTACTGTCATTTGCAAATATCTTCTCCCATTCCGTGTGTTGCCTCTTTGTTTTGTTGACTGTTTCCTTTGCTGTGCAGAAGCTTTTGATCTTGATGAAGTCGCAAAAGTTCATTTTCACTTTTGTTTCCTTTGCCTTTGGAGACATATCTTGAAAGAATTTGCTGTGGCTGATATCGAAGAGGTTACTGTCTATGTTCTCCTCTAGGATTCTGATGGATTCCTGTCTCGTGTTGAGGTCTTTTATCCATTTCAAGTTTATCTTTGTGTACGGTGTAAGAGAATGGTCGAGTTTCGTTCCTCTACATATAGCTGTCCAATTTTCCCAGCACCATTTATTGAAGAGACTGTCTTTATTCCACTGTATATTTTTTCTTGCTTTGTTGAAGATTATTTGACCATAGAGCTGAGGGTCCATATCTGGGCTCTCTACTCTGTTCCACTGGTCTATGTGTCTGTTTTTATGCCAGTACCTTGCTGTCTTGGTGACCACAGCTTTGTAGTAAAGCTTGAAATCAGGCAACGTGATGCCGCCAGTTTTGTTTTTCTTTTTCAACATTTCCTTAGCAATTCGGGGTCTCTTTTGGTTCCATACAAATTTCTGGATTATTTGCTCTATCTCTTTGAAAAAAACCGGTGGAATTTTTATCGGAATGGCATTAAAAGTATAGATTGCTCTAGGCAGTATAGACATTTTAACAATGTTAATTCTTCTGATCCAAAAGCATGGAATTGTCTTCCATCTTTTTGTGTCTTCTTCGATTTCTTTCATGAATGTTCCGTAGTTCCTCAAGTACAGATCCTTTACCTGTTTGGTTAGGTTTATTCCCAGGTATCTTATGGTTCTTGATGCTATAGTAAATGGAATCAATTCTCTAATTTCCCTTTGTGTTTTCATTGTTAGTGTATAAGAAAGCAACTGATTTCTGTACATTAACTTTGTATCCTGCCACATTACTGAATTGCTGTATGAGTTCTACTAGTTTGGGGGTGGAGTCTTTTGGGTTTTCCATATAAAGTATCATGTCATCTGCAGAGAGAGAGAGTTTGACTTCTTCATTGCCAGTTTGGATACCTTTTATTTCTCTTTGTTATCTGATTGCTGTGGCTAGGACTTCTAACACTATGTTGAACAAGAGTGGTGAGAGTGGGCATCCTTGTGTTCCTGATCTCAACGGGAAGGCTGTGAGCTTTTTACCATTGAGGATGATATTTGCTGTGGGTTTTTCATAGATAGATTTGATGAAGTTCAGGAATGTTCCCTCTATCCTTATACTTTGAAGCATTTTAATCAGGAACAGATGCTGGATTTTGTCAAATGCTTTTTCTTCATCAATTGAGAGGACCATGTGGTTCTTCTCTCTTCTCTTATTGATTTGTTCTATCACATTGATTGATTTGCAAATGTTGAACCATCCTTGCAACCCAGGGTGAATCCCACCTGGTCATGGTGGATAATCTTTTTATTTATTTTTTATTTTTTTTAAAGATTTTATTTATTATTTATTTGACAGACAGAGATCACAAGTAGGCAGAGAGGCAGGCAGAGAGAGAGGGGGAAGCAGGCTCCCTGCTGAGCAGAGAGCCCGATGTAGGGCTCAATCCCAGGACCCTGGGATCATGACCCGAGCTGAAGGCAGATGCCTTAACCCACTGAGCCACCCAGGCGCCCCTGGATAATCTTTTTAATGTGCTGTTGGATGCACATTTTTAATCAACAGCGCTTTTGTCTTATGATTTTCCACTAACTAGACTTTAAAGATGTATTTGTTTATGTTATGGTTTAACTCTAATACTCCTGTCACTACAGAAGATGTATACATACCCATCCCCAAATTTGTTTATACAATGGCTTATTACCAGGTCTTTCCCCCTCCCCCTCCATGGAGAATAGGAATGTGAAACTAAATGGGCCATGAAATTGTTTCTTTCCTACATAAGTCTCATCTGATTGGTTTGAACCTAAGCTCCAGATTCTATCTTGTTCTTACTCTTTAACTCCAGGCTTTATTTTGATCCAGTGGCTTTCTAGACTCAAATTCTGACTGTAGACTCTCCAGCTTAGCTCTTGCCTTGTTTCCTGGTGTTCCCTGGTTTCCCAGTGAATGACCCAGTCTTCACAGTGTATTATTAATCAGTTCCCTTATGGACAAAATATTAACTTGAAGCCTGTATCACTCAAGTGACATCACTGGGTAACTGATCCAAGTACACTGATTAATTTTAGTAGATGAGTGTGAATAGATCATTATTTTTACTTATTTAAGAGATATGTGTTGTATTAGCTCAGGCTGCCATAAGAAAATACTGTAGACTGGGTGGCTGAAACAACAGGAAATTTTATTTCTCACAGTTCCAGAAAGTCCAAGTTCAGGATAATAGCTGATTCAGTTCCTTGATAAGGACTCTCTTCCCGACTTACTGATGGCTACCTCACTGTGTCCTTACATGGACAGAGAGAGAGAGAACTCTGGTCTGTCTTCTTCTTAAGAGGATCCTAATCCCATCATGGGGGTCCCATCCTCATAAACCTTTCTAAACCTAAGTACCTCCCCAAAGCTCTGCCTCCAAATACCATCACGGTGTGGTTAAGGCCTCAACATATGAATTTTGGAGGGACAACTTGTTTATTCAGGACACATGTTTACTCAGGACACATAAAATGTCTCAAAGTACATATTTGCCAGTCAAGTATAGGAAACTTATTTTCACGTGAAATTGTTTTATTGCATTTTATCCCCTGCTGAGAAAGAAGTCTTAACACCTTGTCTTTTGATGATGAAGATATGTTTGTTTCCAGACATGCAGGAATGTAGCTGCCTTTTAAGTAGGTAGAGTAAGCAGTTGCTTTCATATTCTTAGTTGAGATGTTCTGTTAGGCATTCTACTTTGAAACTTCTGCCTGCCATTGTACCTGATACCCCACATTATCACTCTTTTGGATTAAGACTTCAGAGGTATCTGTTAAAATATAAACACTTCCCAAGATAAGTAGTGAGAATCATGATCAACATCCAAATAGTTAGAAAAGAAGTTTGATATTGAAAGGAATGTTCTCACTATCATTCTAGTTTAGTTTATATGTCATACATTTCATAGCTTCAGTGTCTTCTCCCTTTTGCTTAGAGTTTTGCCTCCAACCCCCTAAATTTCTCCCATAATACTAGGGCTACCTGGTTGTATTTTTCAGACTAAGCTTCATTATGTGGCTGTGTCTTGGTGGAGTCACCAGTATGCCCTAGAGTAGTGTGACTCATGTAATCATCCATAGTGATAATAACTTACAGAACAGAACATCAATGTATTGGTTTTCAAAGAGAGACATAGTTGCCCTTGGCCTGTGGTTGCCAAGAAACAAGGTTGTCTTCTAACTGCTGTGGATCAAATGTTTCAGAGCGCTGGAGTACGTTTGACAGAAGTCTGGGACTTCTGTCCATGGGATGAGGGGATGGAAGGAGACCTTAGGTCATGGAAAGGGTATTTCACTTTAAATGACTAGAATAAGTGACAACCTAACCTCATTAGAGAACCATGGTAGGAATAGTTGAATTAAGGTATCAAGTCCAAGGCATTAGACCAGAATTAAGAAATGGCTTACAGGGCACCTGGGTGGCTCAGTGGGTTAAAGCCTCTGCCTTCGGCTCAGGTCATGATCTCAGGGTCCTGGGATTGAGCCCTGCATTGGGCTCTCTGCTCAGCAGGGAGCCTGCTTCCCCCTCTCTCTCTCCCTGCCTCTCTGTCTACTTGTGATCTCTCTCTTTGTCAAATAAATAAATAAATAATAAAAAAGAAATGGTTTACAAGGCCAAAATTGGTACCCAGATAGAAGGAGGGGTGAGAAGGATATAGCAAAGGAAAAAGAGTTTGGGATGGCTGAGATGAATAAAAGTAGAGTGACTGTCCACCACCCATTTTTATTTTCTCATGATGACATAGATTAGGGAGAAGCCAGTCCTCTTTTAGGATCCTCTCATCTGGGGTCAGGCAAGACAAAGGATGGTTCAGGCCTTCCTGGGCTTTCTAACACTGATTTTCTGGTTCATCCTCTACCTAGTTTGCCAACTAGAGGAGCCAGCTTCTATGCATCTAGTCCAGCTTATCTTCAATTAATTACTCAGATTGGCCACCTAATATTTTAGGAGAGGTTTTAAAGATCTGAACTCTAGAACTGTGTCTTGTCAGCTACACATGTCATGTCAGAACACATGGGGTTGTTAATCTCAGGAAAATTGAATGGATCCAAGAAAGTCTGAATTTTGGTATGGGGCAGATGTCTTGGGCTGAAAACTAGAAACTTTCTCCCCTGGAAGACCCTCCCATTGCATTCCTCCTACCCAATGCCCAGGGTGTCTCAGTCATATTCTTTGGTACACTGGATTTACCATAGTCTTTTATACAATGTGTAGTCACCTCTAAGCTTTTTTTTTCGGGGGGGGGGTGGTCCATACCTCTTTAAGATATCAACCTTAGCAGTTAAGTCATGGAAATAGAATGCAGTAGCCATTGCTATGAGAGAGGGTATTCTGTGTGGAAAAATTCTACATGAATTTTTCAGTGATAAGCTAGATAGACCAAATCATAGTGTCTGCACACTTTGTGATATTAGAGAAATTCCAGCCAAATGTGTCCCTGGCTAAGCAATGACAGCAGATAGGTGAATTCAGATGTAAAAGCTTCTGGAAAAGTTACTTGAGCCACAGGAGCACAGAGATTATTATAGATTATTGTATTATAGATAATTACAGATTATTATATTATTATATTGTCTTGAGGCAGACTACCACCTCCCTAATGAAGAGAACATGGTTTGAGCGACTAAGGAATGAAATTTACTATTTTTATAAGGACAGCTACCACCACCAGAATTGTTTGGCAGCCTTGGCATAGATAGGGCTCTGATATAAAGTCCAGTATATATCTGAGGGCATTTGGGGCCAGGAGAAATGCAAGACTTAGTGTCTCAATTTGTTCTAGCTCCAGGCAATTGTGCTTTGAAAAACATTGGGCTAGGCACACAGCTGCTGTAATTCCTGGTGTGTCACGTTTAATGCCTTGGAAGGGCCTTGGTGGCTTTCCAGAGCAGTGAATGGAGCCAGGAGTAGGAACCTGCCATTTTGGGGTAAATAAGCTATTCTCTCACTGATCCCTCTCTGTGAGTCACTGTGAATATGTCTGAAATCAGAATACTAAGTAAGTAGAAGCCCTTGCCTATTGTTTACATCCAATTTGTCACTGAATTTCACCAGCACTGAAATGTAAGTTTTTAGGACAGAGGATCTCTCAGAATGACTTAGTGTCAGTTACCCCTACTAATCAAACCTACAAGACAAAGTATCAGCTCCATGATTCTCGCTGCCTAATGCATAAGTAATCAGTTGCTCAAAGTTTTAGGAAAAGAAGACTGCCACTGTTTGCAAGTGCTGAGCATTCTGAATTTCCAGATCTGTTACCAGCTAGAGTAAGTGGATTGCAGAATGAGGTACCAGACTCCCCCATGTGTGGGCCTATAAGCTTTGACAGTGTTCAGCACCACATGCTAGGTAATTGATCATGACCAACTTGAATTTCCCTCTAAAAACAAGTACAAGGTAGATGGACTCTGTTATCCTAGGTCTTCTTTTGTGCAAAGCTAGAATTAAGCACATCTGTTCATGGAACACTACATCAAAAACTAATGATGTACTGTAGGGCGACTAACATAACATAATAAAAAAAAATAAAATAAACACATCTGTTTTCATAATAATAGATCAGGACAGCCTGGGGAAGGCTACTGCTGGGACAGAAATGATCAGACTTCTGAGTAAAAGACATAATTTGATTAAGACCAGTTCTTCAGATTGGCTGATGAATTGGGGTTAACCATGAGATTGATTGATAGACAGGCATTGATGACTTAGTTCTGCTTCTGGCCAGAACAGTCTTCAGCTCAGCATGGCAGGGGAAGTAGAGTTAACCTCTTCCTTTCCCTCATTATCATGAGCCACATTTGTACTTCCTGGTGGTAGATAATGGTGTGGCCCAGTCTGCGTGCTCTAGCACAGAGGGGTGTGGGGGCATACCTTCTCTCTGGAAGTGCACCTCCCTGACCAATGTTAGTGTGAGGTGTACATCCCCACCTCCCTGGCTTCTCTGGAACCTGAAGGCCAGACTGTTTGGCCAGAAGGTATGGTCAGGAAGCTGATAATACTCAGACCTGACTGGAGGTCAGATGACTCAGAAAAGCTGCCAAGCTCACTCATCGGGGCCAGTTCATCTTTTCAACTCGTTCTGAGACCTTTAATCTGGGCCCCTGCACAGAGCCCATTCCATAACAGCTCCTGGACGAGAGGCCAGAATTCAGTTACACATCAGCCAGCTGCTATGTCTTCTCTTCCTCCTTAACAAAGGCAGTATAAGGCAGTATCGATCCTTTCCATTGGACCCTGGCTATCAAACAAGCACCACGCAGTGGTCAAGAAACCGGGTGGCCAGGTTATATCAACTGAACTCCCCACCAGATAAGGCAGCCAGCTACCCCTTCTGTTTCTCCTGAGAATTCTGGCTGGTTGTCAGGAATTTTTAAATCTAATTTACAGATTTCGGCAGTTCCTTCAGATTCCCTCAGGATTTTGGGGTGGTTGGAAGATAGAAAGCTTAAGAAAGGGAGACAACACAGCCTCTGAAAGCTACCAAGTTTTTCCCTATTTATGTCTGTGGAGTATGTCTTTTTTCTGAGTGACAGATTTCTCAAGCACTGTACCTGGAATATGGCCACATGACTTTCCATGTCGCCACTGTCGTAAATGTCCTTCCATAATATCAAATGCTCTCTGGTAGGAGACAGGACAGATCCAGACCAGAGGTCAGCCAGGAGAGCTAGTGCCCGGGATTAAGTTCTTAGAGCTGGAACCAAGATGGTCAGGATAATTTACCTGAAGTCACTGAAAACAGGAAGAGGCGGGGGTGGGCTCAAGCCAAGGCCTTTGAATACTCCAATGATCAAAGCTCAGGTTGGGTGAGAACCAGACTAGAAAATGAAAACAAAGGCGGCAGGCTGGAAGTGAGGCAGAACAGGAACAGAACAGGACTCACTCACATTAAAGTCCTGGAAACAAAGTAAGGAAGCCCTAGGCAATTGCCACAAAGAGAGCTGGAATGCCTGCAGCTTATTTTTTTTATTATCTGCCAGTCAGAGGTACACGGTTGGGTCAACCTAGTTTAACAAACCCAAGAAAAATAGGCAGTTAAAAATATGAAATTAACGAGGTCACAAACAGCTTGCCATAGAGTGGCTCTTACCTACCGTTCACACAGGCTGCTCTTTTCTACACCAGGACACTGAGAAATCTCTGGCCTTGCTTCTTACAAAGTCCCTAAGTTAAAAGTTATTTAAATTTACTGCATTTTCACTGGGATGCTGTGTGCTGCCATTAAAAAATAAATAAAAACAAAAACAAAACAAAAAACCAGAATACCTGGATTTAATGGAGAGTTTCCCTCAAAATCATCCTGCACAGCCATGAATTCTAGAAATGCTTCCAGGATTAGCTCATTTCATACATGGTGTGTGGATTCTTAATAATTTCTGTGAGGATGATGTTTTCTGATCTTGTTCCTGGATTTGGAATTGGGTTGTATCTAAGTCATCTTTGTACTTAATCAAAATTACTAAAATATAATATCCATGTATTAACTCATTTATTCAGTTCACATAAGCCCGTGCTACTGATTGCTTGATTGATTCATTAATTCAGTCAATAAGTATTGACTGTCTACTTTGTGCCCGCACTAAGTACTAGAGATATGAAGTTGATTAAAATAGAGATCCTTTCCTCCTGGTGCTCACAGTTTAGTGGAGATAAGAAAAAACAAAACAAAACAAAAACCAATATTCCAGAGCATGATGTTAAGTGTGGATAAACACAGATGGTTATGGGGACACTGGAAGGGGTGAGTTACCGCCGAGTTGTAAGGTATGAACAAAATTGTATTTCAGGTATCAAAGACTGTCATCACTTTCTCACTTCTTGCAGAGTGGTGTGCAAGAGAAAGCCAGCCATAGGAGATGCAAGACTAAGGCAGCTTGAAGATCTGTATGATGGAGTGTATTGGTTGTGCATTGGCTGTACTCTGAAAGGTTCATAGCCCCCTTTTGTGGAGTTACTACCTGTGGTGTTTCTCAAAGACACTTTATTAGAAGCTTCCATCTTAAGTCCTTTGGCCATGCTGTACCAAGACAATTTGTTCATTGTTGGTTTTATTATATAGATTAAAAAATTGCTTTTCAGGAACACCCAGGCAGATGTCAAAAACACTGTAACTGTTGTGTTCCCTAAGAACTTCTGTCTCTTTCTAAGGAGAAAAGGCATTTGTCTTGTTTTGTTTTTGTTTTTGTTTTTGTTTTTGTTTTGAAGGCATCTGTAATTGAATTGTAAGAAATGTAGAGCCTACCAAACTGGGAATATCTGGGACACATTAGGCTGTACAGATGTTGGTAAGTTCTAACAATCTATGAGATCAAATTCTGGACTATGTGCGCTTTCAGACTAGCACTGCCACTCTACAAAAGCCACATTAGGATGCCACTACTAACCATCACTGGCATAATCCAGTGTTTTGTTTGTTGGTTGGATGTTGTGTTAGATAGAGACACTCAGATTTTATGGACTGAATAATATCTCCCAAGGCCCAGATTCTGGTTATCCAAGTTGATCAAAGTGAACCATTCCTGCCCCTTCTTTAAAAGAGTAGATGAGGAAACTCTCTTCCTAATTTGGATCTTTGGAAGTGGCAAGAAATGAGAAAGAGGTACATCTGCTTGAGTCCAAAGGTAATCATGTACACAGAAATAAATGTATTTGAGAAAACTGTGTACCTCCACCAGCATCATCATCAAACCACTTGAACTGAACACATGACTGATCTCAGGGTTTTCCCTGAAGTGTGCACATCAGCCTATATCCAAGCACACTGTTCCCAAGCAGATGCTGTGTGTAAATGCTCACGTTTCTTTTAGCCATGGTTAATAACGAGGGATGAAGGATAGTGACACATCAAAGCATAGAAAACAAAAAGGATATGACAGATTGAAAACCAGAATCAGAAGTCTATGTAATCATGAGGTACCTAAAATATGATATAGAGAACCATGTGAGTGTGAGTGGGGATCCAGGCTGTAAATCAGTGGGTAAGATCCATGTAATTTATGAAGATAGCAAGAATAGGTAGATCCTATGGTCCCAGGAATTCAGAATTCAGTTTCCAAAAAGGTCAATGTAAATCAATTGATGAAAACAGTGCTGGTAAATATATAGTGACTTCCAACCAAGGGCAGAGGTTGTTTACACTGTTGTAAATTCATGGTCCCTGTGTGTCGGTAGACAAGAATTCACAGGGAGAGGTGGTCCCCTAGGTGTTGGTGGATCTTGAGTTTTTTATCTTCTCAAGTATACATACTGATGGTATTTATGCAGGGACAATAAAAATATTACTACTTATAGAAATATTCATAATTATTATATATATGACAATTTCCACTAATCAAGTGCTAGTATCAGGGAGCACATCTACACAGAAAAAGTATCTCGTTAAATCAATAGTTTGAACCAAGTGATACTTACTTAGTACTGTCCACGCAAGGCATCAGAGTCTTGAAACTAATAATAAGATATCTATTTATAACAGTACCTGAAGGAATAAGAATGGTACATTTTGTTATACGATATTTCCTCTAATAAAATTTTATTATATAATTAACATAATTAGATATAACCAACCATGTAAAATAGGGATCTGGTAAAAAAAGAAAAATCTAGTTCCTCTTCACTAATGGCTCTCTTTAGCTCATTGTATTTAAACTAGTAACTTCATTCTGGTCTGAATTTTCCTTTTGTCAGTTCTTCTGACCTCTTTTTCCCTGCCATGTTTTTATTCCAACCTGAGATGATTACTTTAACTTACCCTTTATCTTGGTCTTCATTTAGAAATTTTATCAACTGTATTTTTAAGATGGTTCTACAAAATGTGTTCCACCAAATCCTTGATCTCCTTATCTCCACAGGTTAGCCTAAGTGTTCAGAGAAAATGTTCCTAACCTAAGCATTCAAAGAAAATGTTCTCTGCATGGTCAACATTCTATCCCATTGTGTTGGCCACATTCTACCACTAATTCAGTGATGGAACAGGGCTTTATTCTGATCCCTTTGTGAGGATGAATGCCTCTTGGATTGGGGTACAAGCTGAGTGTGGTTTCTCCCGTTGGTAACCCTCCTATGTGACAGTTATGTGCCTCCAACAGCAGCCTGAGAACTTCATAGTTAAGCATTTAAAGTGCACAGTCACATAGGCTACACACACAAGGATTTCATTCAATTTTACAGCAGCCCCGTGAAATAGATACTATTATTACACAAAGAGGAAACATTGACAAAAGTACAAAACAAATAAGTAGCAGAACTATTATGGGAACCCCGGTCATTTGATTTCAGTCCCAGAATGGTTCCTTTAGAAGAGATTGAATGACTATACTGCACAAAATCATTAGAACATTGGAAACTTTCCAGTTAAAACTGGACTTGGACTTAAAGCCTTTTATTATTTTTATTTTTTGGTGTCTTTTTTTTTTTAATTATGATCAGGTGGCCAGCATATAGTACATCATAAGTTTTGATGCGGTGTTAGAGACTTTTTTTTTTTAAGAATAATTTCTCTGGTTTGTTTTTTTAATTTGATTCATTTCTGATTGGCCACATTACATAAAATAATTATCACTTGTCTAATTTAGAAGTATAAGTGATTCCATGAAAGTGGAAGCAAGGAATATATTCTAATTCAGTGATTATGGAAAGCAGTTTAGTATTTAGGTAATTTTGAACAATGCACATAATTATTGTGCACAGAATTATTAGAAAAACCAAAGACATTAAACTAAAACAAAATAAATTTTACAAAGAAAAGATAATTTGACCAGAAGTAATAATCAGATACAGTTATATTTATTTAGTAATTAATTCCACCAATTTTAAAGGAAAACCTATTATGAATACTTTGGGGTGTTTTTATTTATTTGTTTCAAAAAGCATTTCTTTACCTCAGAATGTTGTCATATCTGAAATTCTGTCACCAAACCAAATCTTCTATAGCACTTATCAAATCTGTCAGTTTATATTCTGAGTGAACATTTTTTTGTCAGACAATTGATAGATATTGAAAGAATACTGATAAAAATTTAAATGCAACAATATAGGCATGTATTTATTAATATATGACAGAGCATATATAAAACATGTATACATTTATATATGACCTGGCATATATGAATATTTATGCTATGTCACATAGAATATATATTAATGTAAATATACAAATGTAAAGATTTATATCCTGACTTGTAGTCAGAACAAAGATACTACTTTCCTCCTCCTCCTCCAAAAAAATAATGACATAAGGCAATTCAGATTAGCAGAAGTTGAAAAATTGACTTGTGTTTTGTGAAGAAATATAGTGAATTTTGTCTTTTGTTTTTGTTCTCTCTTTGGTTTTCATGACAGCACTATGTTGTTGAGGGAGCTCATTTTCTCCCCCAGTGGATATTTCTCATGTTTTTCTGTCCCAGTTATTTGGACTAAGAAGACAAAGTTAAAGGGGTTGGGGACAAGTTGACTGGGGGCAAGTGATAAAATTTTTTTAAAAAGTGCTAATGAAATGGATCAACTTTGGGGTGCCTGGGTGGCTCAGTGGATTAAGGCTTCTGCCTTCAGCTCAGGTCATGGTCCCAGGGTCCTGGGATCAAGCCCCACGTTGGGCTCTCTGCTCAGCAGGGAGTCTGCTTCCCCCCCCACCTCCGCCTGCCTCTCTGTCTACTTGTAATCTATGTCAAATAAATAAATAAAATCCTTTAAAAAAATTGGATCATCTTTAATAAGAATTGGAGGAGACTTAAACACGATTTTTTAAAAAAGCTGATAAGCTGATATATCTTGAATTCATAATGTTCTGGACCACTGACACAACACATTAGAGCGTTTTGAAATTTGAATAGTTAGATAAATAAGTTGTATGTACTAATTCCAAATAACCTTTTTTTTAGGTTCACTTAGCCAACATTTAGTACATTATTAGTTTCAGATGTAGAGTTCAGTATAATTTCAAATAATCTTAAAATATATCATAAATGGTAAGAATTTCTACTCTTTGTAGATTGTGGATGGCATTTATGAAATTGTTACCTACTTATGTTACTAAATTTTATATATGTATCAAAGATAATTTGTTAAGATCGTTTAAGTGACTTCAGAAAAAATAGTATCTTACCGAAGTTTTCAGTAATTTGTATCTAAACTAAACCCTGATTCTTATCTGTTTTTATGTCTTTAATTTTTTTAAATTTTTAAATTATTATTACAGTGATGTTATAGCAACTTTGAACACTTTAGAAAATACAATAAATCAATGTGTTGAATTACTCTCCCACCAGTATTGAATGAGAAGTATGACTAATTTTTTTGTGTTAGACAAAATATGATGCATCATTGTTTTATTTGGGTATCTTTATTTCTGTGAATTTTAACATTGCTTCAAAAATTCATTGACCATTTTATTCTATTTTGGGTACTGACTGTTCATATTCTTTGTGCCTTTTTTTTCTATTGGGATATTTTTCTTTTTTATCTGATTACTTGCGGCTTTTTATAAACTAAGACTCTTTACCCTTTGTCAAAGGTATATATGTTCATATTCCTTTTGTTCTATGTTTAAATTGTGTGTAGGTATGTTTATGTGGGGGGAATGTGTAGAATATTTTATTTTCATATAACCAAATTTATCAGCCTTTTTCTGGTTTCCATGCTTAAAAATACCATCCTGGAACATATAAATGTTAATCCAGATTTTGGTGCCTTCATGATTTATTGGTTCCAGAATCTATTTTCATAAAAAATATAAGGATATACAACTTTTTTTAATTTTTTTAAAATAAAACTTATTTTTTTAAACATGTGGCCATAAGTTATTCCAGTGCCAGTTATGAAATAATCTACTTCTCTGTTACTGTGAAATATAAACCTTATTATGTACTGAATTCCTACTATACTTAGCTCTGTTTATAAAATTTATATTTTTGTGCATTGAACAAACATTTCTTTCTGAAACTCATTTTTTTCATTATTGTATCTTTTTTTAAGTTAAATTCCATTCGCCAACACATAGTACATCATTAATTTCAGATGTAGAGTTCAGTAATTCATCAGTTGCATATAACACCCAGTGCTCATCATATCACATGCCCTCCTTCATGCCTGTCACCCAGTAATTCCACCCACCTCCCCTCTCACAACCCTCAGTTTGTTTCCTATAGTTGAGAATCTCTCATGGTTTGTCTCCCTCTCTGGTTTCATCCCGTTCAATTTTCCCTCCCTTCCCCTGTGATCCTCTGCACTATTTCTTATATTCCACATATGAGTGAAACCATATGATAATTATCTTTCTCTGATTGACTTATTTCACTTAGCATAATGTACTCTAGTTCCATCCATATGGTTGCAAATGGCAAGATTTCATTTTTTTGTTGTTGGCTGAGTAATATTCTAGTGTGTGTGTGTGTGTGTGTGTGTGTGTGTGTGCAAAATATATACTGTATATGACTGATATATCATTTGAAAATATCTCCTCCTCTACTCTATGGTCGACTAATCTTCAACAAAGCTGGAAATAATACCCGATGGAAAAAAGACAGTCTCTTCAACAAATGGTGTTGGGAAAATTGGACAGCCACATGCAGAAGAATGAAACTGGACCATTTTCTTACACCATACACAAAAATAAACTCAAAATGGATTAAAGACCTACATGTGAGACAGGAATCCATCAAAATCCTAGAGGAGAACACAGGCAGCAGCCTCTTTGACCTCAGCCTCAGCAACTTCTTATTAGACAAGTTTCCAAAGGCAAGGGAAACAAGCAAAAATGAACTATGGGGACTTCCTCAAGATCAAAAGCTTTTGCACAGCAAAGGAAACAATTGACAAAACCAAAAGACAACCTACAGAATGGGAGAAGATATTTGCAAATGACATATCAAATAAGGGCTAGTATCCAAAATCTATAAAGAACTTATCAAAATCAACACCTAAAAAACAAATAATCCAGTCAAGAAATATGCAGAAGACATGAGCAGACATTTCTGCAAAGAAGACATAGAAATGACCAACAAACATATGAAGAAATGCTCCACATCACTTGGCATCAGAGAAATACAAATCAAAACCACAATATCATATGGTTTCATTTATTTGTGGAGCATAACAAATAGCATGAGGACATGGGGAGTTAGGAGAAGGGAGTTGGGGGAAATTGGAAGGGGAGGTGAACAATGAGAGACTATGGACTCTGAGAAACAATCTGAAGGGTTTGAAGAGGTGGGGGGTGGGAGGTTGGGGGAACCAGGTGGTGGGTATTAGGGAGGGCATGGACTGCATGGAGCACTGGGTGTGGTACAAAAACAATGAATACTGTTATGCTGAAAATAAATTAAAAAATTATTTAAATAAATAAATAAATAAATAAATAATACAATAAGATACCACTTCACACCAGTCAGAATGGCTAAAATTAACAAGTCAGGAAACAAAAAATGTTGACAAGGATGCAGGGAAAGGGGAACCCTCTTACACTGTTGGTGGGAATGTAAGCTGATACAGCCACTCTGGAAAACAGTATGGAGGGTCCTCAAGAAGTTAGAAATGGAGCTCCCAGCAATTGTGCTACTGGTATTCACCCAAAGGATACAAATGTAGTGATCTGAAGGGGCACATGCACCCCAATGTTTATAGTAGCAATGTCCACAATAGCCAAACTGTGGAAAGAGCCCAGATGTACATCAATAGATAAATGGATAAAGAAGATACGGTATATATATAAAATGGGATATTACTCAGCCATCAGAAAATTGAAATCTTGCCATTTGCAACAACATGGGTGGAACTAGAGGGTATTATGATAAGTGAAATAAGTCAATCAGAGAATGACAATTGTTATATGGTTTCACTCATATATGGAAATTAAGAAACAAAACAGGATCATATGGGAAGTGAGGGGGGAAAAAAAGATGAATCAGAGAAGGAGACAAACCATGAGAAACTCTAAACTATAGGAAACAAACTGGGTGTTATGTGCAACAGATGAATTACTGAACTCTACCTCTGAAATTAATGATGCACTATATGTTAATTAGCTGAATTTAAATATAATAGAATTTTTAAAAAAATTTAAGTATCCTTAAAATCTCTTGTTTCTTTTATTGTGTGTTACAAAATGGATACTTGCTATTCTTCACTTTTGTTCAGAACTAGTAGCAATTTCTTTATCATGATTAGTCTACACAAGTTCTAGAAATATATCAATAAAAAGTAACTTTGCTCTCTAAACATTTCCATTTTTATGAGTTCCTTCCTCATTTATTTATTTAAAATTATTTGTTCCTATTTTAATTTTTAGTTTGTTTCCCTTATTTTCTTATTTTAGATCAGGCATTTTATGGGACTATGAATTTTCCTCTGAGTACAGTTAGATCCCATCCCATATTTTTAATAAATCTATTTTTTAGTGTTCCATTGCACATTTTTATTTTTAATTTCTTCTTGAATCCAAGAACTATTTTACAAGAATGCTTTTAATTTTTAAGGATTTATATTTCTCATCTCTTTCTAAAATTGATTTCTAGTTTTATTGCAAAGAGCATGATTTGTAGTTTTTGGAAACCTGTAATTATTTGATCATTTCAGCAAGAAACCAGAAGAAACTGGGAGTCAAACATAATAGAGTTAGAGGGCATCATATCAGGCATGAATACTTTTTTATCTTTCTTATATTAAAATATCTTAAAATAAGTTTAGTATTTACATAACAAGGCAGATAAACGACTATTCTCTTTTATCTGCTTACTGAGAGTAGCTTCAATTTAAGTGTCTTTATGCTCAACCTGAGTTACAATATGTCTCAAATAACTCAATATGCTTTCATAAACTGTTGAGGATTTTTGAGTTTTTTCTTTTTCACTTTTCCATACAAAGCTTTTTTTGCATATTATTTATGTTATTTCTATTTATGTAACATAATTAAAATATTACTTTTGTTTGCTATAATTTGAATTTATTTTAAATATTAAAATTTTTATGTCTAAATTCCACTTTTAAGAATATTGGGGTTTTTTTATTGTTATTTTGCAGAACATGATTGGAGAATGGGCCTTACCAGAAGAAATGGTTGATAATATGCCACCCTCCAACAACAACATATTGGGTCATGTGATTCAGAGATTAGTTGAAAAATCTCATCCTCCTCAAGTCAAATCAACAGTACCAGAATTACCTTCATTTGCTATTAAAGGGTGCTTACTGGGGAAAACATTTAGTGGAAAAACCACTGCTCTAAAGGCTCTACAAAAAGGTAGAATTTTCTTTTTTTTTTTTTTTTCACTTATTGGTTTCTATTTGCATTGACTGTAGCTTCAAATGTCTATGTATGTAGACAATATACATAAGAACCTGCTGATATATTGGGAAACTCTGTCATCAAAAATTTTGCCCAAGACAGACACTTTTAGGATTGTAGAGTCATAAACTAGTGCTGTCCCAAGCAAACCTGGGTATATGGATATGTTATATGTTGGTGTGAATAGTATTAAGAAATAATAAGTTAGAAACTTTTCCTTATAGATTTTATTTACCTACCAATGAAGGGGGAAATTAATAATTTATAACAAATATAAAAGAAATCCACTTCAAATTATAAGTGTATTAATTCTTCACATTCATTGAGTTCTGTCTTTTTAATGAAGCTGTGGCTTTTCTTTTGAAGCTCATTCAGTTAGAAGGCCAGGTTTCCATCTGTTTAATTACTTTTTACTCAGTTATACTTATTTTTTACTGTTTTCACTGGAAAACTCATTATTTGCAGAGACTATTAAGACCATCTTAAACTATTTCAAGGCAGACAAGAATAGATCATTCTTGAGATATTAAAAGGACCTCCTTGAAAAGCAGCTTTACAAAGACACAATGAGATACCAGTTCACACCCACTAAGATGGGTATAATTAAAAAACAAAAGGAAAATAGCAAGTGTTGGTGAGAAAATATTGATTGGAACCCTCCTCATACATTGCTTGTGGGAATGTAAAACAGTGTTGCCACCATGGAAAGCAATTTGGTGGTTCCTCAGTAAATTAAAAAAAAAGAATTACCATATGGCCCCAACAATTCCATTATGGGATATATACCTTCAAAGGTGTGAAAACAGGTGTTCAAAATAAATCTTGTGCAGGAATATTCATAGCAGCACTATTAATAATAGCCAAAAGATGGGGGGGAGTTAATCCAAATGCCTGTCACCTGATGAATGGATAATAAGAGTGGTATTAATCTATGCAGTGAAATATTACTCAGTCATTAAAAAGGAGTGAGGTACTGCTATGAGCTGCAATGTGGATGAACCTTGAAAACATGATGCTGAAAGAAATGAGACATGAAAGGTTATATATTTTATGTTTCCATTTATATGAAATGTCCAGAATAAGCAAATCCATAGAGACAGATGACAACTTAGTGGTTGCAGGGACAGGGATAGAGAGATAAGGAGTAACTGCTTAATGGGTACAGGGCTTTCTCTTTGAGTGATGAAAATTTTTTAGAACAAGATAATGGTGATGGTTGGACAACATGGATGACCTAAATACCACTGAGTTGTATGATTTACAGTGGTTAAAATGGTTAGATTCATATTATGTGAATTTTACCACAATAAAAAAGAAGTGGCTTGATCCAAAAGACAGTTGTAGGAGACCCAAGAGACGGTGTTATTGGATGAAGGCAGCACAGAAAAATAGTTATGTCAATTTCCTAAATGAAAAGATATTAATAAAATTGTCTTTTGCACTTTAGACTTTCCTATTCAGATACTTTCTATCGACACTCTTGTCCAAGAAGCTATCAAAGCATTTCATGACAAGGAAAAAATTAGTGAGGCTCTGCCAACTGAGAAAGAAGCTGAAGAAAAGACTTTACCAGTTCTGCAAGAGAAGAGCAAAGAAATCCAGGCAAGTGTGAATTTAGTTTTCTTTTCTGCTCCTCATATTTTAGACATTTGAAGCTGGATGGAATCTAAGAGATCTTCTAGACCTAAGGTTGGCGAAGTTTTATGTAAAGGCCCAGAGAGAAACTACTTTAGATTTTATGGATCAAGAGACAAAATCAAGGTTATTGTGTGGGTCTTTATATAATGAGAGAAAATTTCTCCCTGACACCCCCATAATACACCCGTTTGCCCGATGGGTTATGCAGGGTGGTTGGCCCACTTCATGCCCCATTACCATCAGCTGGAGACTGTCTCCTGAATGAAGAAAGAGCCACAGGCTGGTAAGACTAATAAGGGGATGAAGGAGCTAAATTGCAAGGGATTGGAGGAGGGTGGGGTATGAGTGCTAGAGGAAGGCAGTTCACCAAGTCATCAGCTCCTGGAGTGATATTTCATCACTGAGCCCCTGGCAGTGGCCAACAGCAGAGTATCCATTGCATAGTTAAAGACCAGTGCCAGCTTTGGGCGGTAGCTGAGGCAGATACTCGAGCAGAGCAGAGAAGGGGCAGAGGGGGATGCCAGGCTTGGTCCCCTGGCTCACAGTGCTATTCCACAGAGGGATGTCCAGGGACCATATAAAGAATATTTGGCTGGCTGAATTCAATCTGCAAGTAGATCTCAATTGGAGGGATGGTGGAGAAGGGGGAGGTCTTCCTTGTGGTTTATCTGTATCACATCCCCATCAATATCACATCTTGCTACATTGCATAAAGATTCTAAGGCAGAAAAATATGAAAATGTGGCTCCACCTTCAGACTCAAAATGTGGTCCAGCACCCTCAATTTAAAGGGGAGACAGTTGGGGCGCCTGGGTGGCTCAGTGGGTTGGGCCGCTGCCTTCGGCTCAGGTCATGATCTCAGGGTCCTGGGATCGAGCCCCGCATCGGGCTCTCTGCTCAGCAGGGAGCCTGCTTCCCTTCCTCTCTCTTTGCCTGCCTCTCTGCCTACTTGTGATCTCTCTGTCAAATAAATAAAATCTTTAAAAAAAAATAAATAAAAAAAATAAATAAAAAATTAAAAAAAATAAAAAATAAAAAATAAAGGGGAGACAGTGGAGGGCCTAAGTACGAACTGGTTTACTTGTGGTCAGAAGGCTTGTTGATGAGTGCTGTGAGTGGAAACCCAGATTCTAAATCCAGTATTCTTTTTCCCTGCCATATGTTGTCTCTGCAATTGAACAAATTAGTAGAGAATTTAATCCGCATCATTTTCATGGGCTATAAGATAAATGCCATTTAACTACGAATTATGAAAATAACTGGCAGAAGTGGCACCTGGGTGGCTCAGTCACTCAGTTGGTTAAGCATCTGCCTTCCTCTCAGGTCATGATCCTAGGGTCCTGGGATAGAGCCCTGCATCAGGCTCCCTGCTCAGCGGAAAGCCTGCTTCTCCCTCTCCCTCTGCTACTCCCCCTGCTTGTGTGTGCTCTCTATTTCTATCTCTCCCCTTTTCAAATAAATAAATAAAAATATAAAAAAAAATTGGGAGAAGTGTGGACTGCCTCTTATTCTGCATTTTAATCAATTGGATGATAAACAATGTACATGGGTTTTCTTTTTTCCCTTGTGGCTATGACTGACACCGCTAGGACTATTCTTTCTAAAATGGTTTTCCATAAATGTTACCTCTTTCTCAGGTTTCACTATATTTTCAAAACATCAGTTGTTGTGTTTTATATAGAATTGAAGGTCATTTGAAAGAATACACCATAGGTTACTATTTCTGTACGAATAGTACTCAAAATTTATTTATTTATTTTTTAGTCATCAAATTTTAATTGTTTTTAGAAATCATTCAGTTCTTCTTAACACCAATATTATAGAAAGATGGTTTAAACCTTACTTATAGAAATAAAATGTTAAATATTATTAAAATGTAACAATGTTACAATTTCTCTCTCACTCTGTGTGTGTGTGTTTTCTCCCCAAAGGATCTACAGAATATATCTTTACCTTATCCAGTTTCAGAGAACGCATTGCCAGAAATGGAAAATAAAACTATACTTAGTAAGTGAAATACCAAAACAAATCATCCATTATTTACATTAGGTAGGCAGACATATAAATAATAAGTGCACACGTTATGTGAGCACAAACTTGCTTTCAGGGAAAGAAAGGGGAGTTTTGCATAGCTGTCTACCTGGTCGTTTAATAGACAGGGCAAGATACACACATAAGCCCCTAACCTTTGTCTACAACTACAGGTAAGAGATGAGTATTATGATGGAATCTTTCTATACCCTTTCAAGTAGTTGCTCTGTTTTGTTGTGCTTATGAGAACAGTCAGGAGAAATCCTCCCTCTTCCTGGCTTTGCAGGGAGACAGAATTATATTGTTTCTTCTCGCCTGTGCAGATCTAGGTGAGTGGCACTGCTCAGGATCCCTGCGAGCTGCTGCTGCTCTGTTCCCTGTGTTGAGGGAGGCTTCAAGGTCTGGTCTCTTGCAACCACCTGAAGAGTGGTTCCCTAGATAAAGTTAAGTTTATTTCCAACCTTGGGCAGGGCACATAAATAGAATCATTCCTCCAAACCTAATGAAAAGTTATCTCACTTAGGATCTGAGTTCTAGTCTTTTAGATGCTTTTTAGAAACATTGAAGGAAACAATGTTAAGTCTTAAATTTCTTTTCTTGACATATTTAACAATTTCCTCATTTTCTAGCGTGAATTTTAGATCCCCCTGTGCCAAAGTGATTATCACTATCACCCCTGAATGGTGGTTTGAGCATGCTGGTCTAGAGAGGCTGTGGTTTCCATCTTTTAAAAGGGCATAATCTGTCCCTTATTTCAGTTATGTGTATCATACAAGGTAATTTGAATTGACTTTAAAACTATTCTAAGTATTATATGACATATTTTGTTACAAAAGTCCAGTTAATTATAAACGGACTCTGAAAACATTTTTTTCTATAGATTTTAACTAAAAACCCTTCTGACTTCTAGAATTTTCTATGTTTACACATGTTTATTACCTAGAAATTGATAATTTAGGAAAATAAAAATTAATGAATTAACATTTTAACAAATTTTCTTGAGAAACTTGGCTGGTTTTCTGAAAAGAAAATTTAAGCTGTATTTAAGTACTTCTAATGGTATTATTATGGGTGAGCCATAATGGAAGGCAGGAAGTAAAAAACTCCAAGCCACATAATGGCAAGATTTTAATGTCTTGGAAGGAAGGTGAAGCCATGCTGTGATGATCTTTCCTCTGAGCATCTCAGGCGTGGCTGGATCCAATAACCCGTCTGTCCAAAACCATAGATGATCAAATACTAAGATGGTTGTTGGAAATAAATACTGGAGTTTTTTCTTACCACTTTTTTGTTGCTAGGTACTGAGACAAATAAAACTACAAAAGTTGAAGAAGTCACATCAAGTGATAGTTTCTCTGAAGTAAGTACGATATTCTAATTTTGGCTACTAGTATATTGAAATATGTCGTGATTCATAGTTTTTTGCTATGTCTTCAAATGGAACGAAATAGCAATGTGCTCCTCTTTCATTTAAAGTAAATATGATGGTAAAATATTAGCTAAATCTAATTTACTTAATTTTCTTTATATTCTTTATCTCTAAAGTGGTGGAAATTGCTATTCAGTTTTGCCAGGTAAGAAGGTATATGTGTGCTTTTTAAAAAAATTTAGTCTCGGGGCGCCTGGGTGGCTCAGTTGTTAAGTGTCTGCCTTCGGCTCGGGTCATGATCCCAGGGTCCTGGGATCAAACCCCGCATCAGGCTCCCTGATCAATGGGAGGCCTGCTCCCTCTGCCTGCTGCTCCCACTACTTGTGAGTGAGTGCTCTCTCTCTCTTTCTCACTATCAAACAAATAAAATATTAAAAAAAAAGTTAGTCTTATGTCAAGTTTATATTTATGTATTTTTCTTTACCACTTAATTTATTACTTTTATTTCCTTTCCTGCTCTCTTTACCTTTAAATAATTTTTTCCAGAATTTCTTCTTAGACTTAGTGCTGACTCTACAGAATTTTGTAGTAATCTCTGGAAGAAATATTTATAATTCACTGACTATTACTTCTAATGGAAACTAATATTTCCTCATATATTGTTGCTTTTCTGTATATGGAGACATCTTTTAGTCATCAAATAGAATGTCCTGATTAATCAAGTGAGATTTTATTTGCTTTATTTTTATTACATTTAATTACCTTTATTATGCATTTCACCTTGGAAAACAATTTTATTGTTTTTATATTATTTTTTTAGAGGAGAGCCAGGGCAGAAAGTGAGGGAGAGGGAGAATCTTTTTGTTTTTTTCCAACTAATATCTTTTAAAATTTTTTAATTTAATTTCAATTTAATTAACATATAGTGTATTATTAGTTTCAGAGGTAGAATTTAGTGATTCATCAGGTGCATACAACACCCAGTGCTCATTACTTCAAGTGCCCTCCTTTTTTTCTAAAAAAGATTTTATTTATTTATTTGTCAGAGAAAGAGAGAGAGTACACACAGGGGGAGAGGCAAGCAGAGGGAGAAGCAAATTCCCTGCTGAGCAAGGAGCCGATGCAGAACTCAATCCCAGGATCCTGGGATCATGACCTGAGTTGAAGGCAGATGCTTAACTGGTTGAGTCACCCAGGTGTCCCATTAAGTGCCCTCCTTAATGCCCATTACCCAGTTACCCCATCCCCCCATTGGCCGCCCCTCCAGTAACCCTCAGTTTGTTTCCTATAATTAAGAATCTCTTACAGTTTGCTTCCCTCTCTGTTTTCATCTATTTTATTTTTCCTTCCCTTCCCATATATTCATCTATTTTGTTTTTTAAATTTCACATATGAGTGAAATCATTTGGTATTTTTCTTTCTCTGACGTATTTCACTTAGCTTAATATCCTCTGTATACCACATCTTCTTTATCCATTCATCTGTCAATGGACATCTGGGTTCTTTCCATATCGTGGCTATTGTGGACATTGGGTGCATGTGCCCCTTTGAATCACTAAGTTTGTATCCTTTGGATAAATACCTAGTAGTGCAATTGCTGGGTCGTAAGGTAGGTCTATTTTTAATTTTTTGAGGAACTTCCAAACTGTTTTCCAGAGTGGCTGCTCCAGTTTGCTTTCCCACCAGCAATGTAAGAGCATTCCTGTTGGGAGAGAAGGAATCTTAAGTAGGCTCCACGCCCAGCAGAGACCTCAACTTGGAGCTCAATCTCATGACCCAGAGATCATGACCCGAGCTAAAATCAAGAGTTGGACGCTTATTTGACTGAGCCATACAGGCACCCCTAGAAAACAATTTTAGATTTCAAATATTTTAGATTTCAGGACTACTTAAAGATAGAAAAATTTGGGAAGGATATACCAAACTATAAATATGATAGCCATTGGGGAGGGAAATGGGCTTAGAGAAAGTGATAAAGGGGAATTTATAATTTAACTCCATATATTTGAAATACAAATTAGCAGAAGGACTAAGCATATTTTTTATAAATGCCTTTATTGAGTTACAAATCCTCCAAATTCCATATTCAATTCAAAAGGGCTCACTTTTTTGTGTGTGCACTATTATAATTAACTGGAATATATCAGTGAACAGAAATGACAGGGTTCCTGGACCTTAAGGAATTTACACTCTAATAGAAAGAGACAGATAACAAACCATAAGTGCAGTAAATGAATTATATGATGCATTAGATGGTAACGAACCAGGAGGAAAGAAAATGTAGAGTGCAGTAAGGGGTAAGAAGCACAGGCCAAGGCCAGGGAGGTGGCGAAAGAGGGAAGATTACTGAGTTAAGTAAAGTAGGCCTCCTTGAGAAAGTGAGGTTTAACCAGATTGAAAGAAGTTTGAGAGAAGCTGCCACATATGTCTGTGGCAGCATTTCAGACAGTGAAATAGCTGGGTGGCAGCCATGAGGCAGGAAGATGCTTGGCCAACGAGGTGGATAATAGTATGGCATGAATGAGGTAGAGAGATGAGCAGGAAGGGAAAAGATCATGTCAGCCTTATAGGCATGATTAGGACATTTGAAGTAAACAGGGAAACATTACAGGGTTTTGAGTAGAGATCTAATATCATTTGGCTTACAAAATACTCACTAGTGGGTGATTTAAGAATAAGCTCCAGGGAATTTCCTGTTGATAGAGCAGCTCTACTGGACCAGCCCTTCTACAGATAACATTATAAATGCTGGACAAGATAGAAAAGCAAATTATTTGAAGGCCAAAAGAAAATCATAAAAAGCAAAGAGGCAGACAGACAAGCAGCATAAACCAGCAGAAATTGCATGAAATTGGATCATTCAATGAAGGGAACTTCCCCAGGCAAGAGCCATGCAGGTACAGGTTATCCCAGAGACATGCCACGTCTGCGTAGCATAGAACGCAAGCAGAAATTTTCCATAGTTTCAATTGAAGGCATTAGAAAATGAAGGTTGGTGGGGCGCCTGGGTGGCTCAGGGTTAAAGCCTCTGCCTTCGGCTCAGGTCATGATCTCAGGGTCCTGGGATCGAGTCCCGCATCGGGCTCTCTGCTCAGCAGGGAGCCTGCCTCCTCCTCCTGTCTCTCTGCCTGCCTCTGCCTACTTGTGATCTGTCAAATAAATTAAAAAAAAAAAAAATCTAAAAAAAAAAAAAAAAGAGAGAAAGAAAATGAAGGTTGGGGATGTCAGAGCAGCTGAAACATGAGAGGAAGATCTTGGAAAGGAGGGAACCACAACAGAGGAGCCTCAAAATCTATGTACACATTTCCCCTAATACTTGGCTGACTCCAGAATTGTGCCAGACAATCAGTGTCTTCACCAGGAAGCATGCCCATTTAACTTTTTCCCCCAAGTATCAGATTCTGACTTTTAAATTAGCTGTATTTTACCATTCATTGTTTATTTTCACAGCTGACTGTGCGTGCTCAGCTTGGTGCAAAATCAGAAAAGTTGCTGAAGAAAGGAAAGAGCATTTCTGACATGTTGCTAGTTAACATCTTGGTAAATGCTATTAAGTATGTATTTTTTAATCTACTAATATATTCTTTATCAGATAGAAGTAGAAAAAATAATGTATAAAAATCTTTTTTTATTTTTAAGATATGTTTTGTGATTTACATGCTTATATTTCACTTCCCCCACTTGACCAGTCTTGACTTCTCTCAGGCAGATGTGAATACAGGTCAGGTTCTATTCCCTGCAGGGAATTCAAGGAGAAGTTAGATACTTGGAAAAGCCAAGGGACACATTATAGAGCAGAGGGACCCTAACTGTCTGGTCACAGGCCAGTGCCCTTCCTTGTTTAACTTTTCAGGAAGAGGAAGTGAACCCAGGGATCCAAAGGCTGGTCAGTGCTGGATAGGAAGGCAATGAGAGAAGAGAGGTTGCACTAGAGAGAAGGAGATTATATTGTTTACTATGTGAGTTCTAACAGAAAAAGAAATGAAGTCATAACTTTTAATGCAAAAATCAGAATCTCAATTTTACATAATTAGGGATTTAGAAGAGCAGAGTTGAAGTTTCTTCCCTTTTCATACCCTTTTTCAACTTAGAGACCGAAAATAATAATTCTTGGAGCTCTTATTCTCTATGGAGGATGCTGCCCTGAAAGCAAAAACCCAAAAAATACTCCTCACGCTCCAGCAACTTATTATCTAGTTGGGATAAGGAAGACTTATTTGAATATTTCTCATTCAAGAAATACAGTAATTATTAATTGTAGAGCAAAGTGAATGAGAGCCAGGGGAGTTCAGATTAGGCATTTCTGGCTCCATGCTGGTTTGTGGGGAGTAAGAGGAACTCTCCAGATTGGCAATGTGATTATCCACGGTGTGCTAAGCTTGATGCTGGGTTTTTAAAATGAATCATTTCAGTTTATCCTTAAAACCGCTCTGTGAGGTATGTTGTCCCACTATGTGTAGATGAGAAACAGGTTTAAAGGAGGAACTGCCTATGAACACAGGCTAGAAAATGCAACACATTCTCCTACAGTGAGGTCAGTTTGTTTGAAGTAAATGGTTCAAGAATGGGAGAGAGAAGACACTATAGGGAAGAAAGTTGTGGCCAGTTAGTTCTAAATACCATTTTATGGCCTCTGGAATAGATTTGGAGGGAGCAGGGACCTACAGAAAGATTTTAAGCAAAGGAGTGATTAGGGTACATTAATAGGCCTAATTTTAGCAGTAAAGTAATAATATTTGTGTGGAAGGAGGTTACTGTGGAGTTAAAGGAAAGGTAAAGGCAAAATTTGTTGTATTGTTACTTCCAAAGTGTTTGTATCTATCAAAATGTTAATGCTGTGTCCATTTTCCATTTAGTGAGATACCTGTGGATCAAGGATGGGTCTTAGATGGTTTTCCAATGACGTTAAACCAAGCAAAGCTTCTGGAGGAAGCTCTCACGGGCTGCAACAGAGAGGTCCTAGAACTGGAGGAAAAGAAAGCACAGATATCTACATTGGCTATTGACCCTACAGCCTCCAAAGAAGTGCCTTCTCCCCCTTCTGCACTTGATTTTGTCATGTTATTAGATATTTCAGATAATTCCTCGCTGGATCGCATGAATGACACAATGAGTAAGCTGGACACTTTTTCCTTTCTTTCAATCTTCTTTTTTATATTTCAAAGCTCTTTGTTCATTCCTTCTTTGACTGAATCAGTGAATACTCCCACTTACAATTATAAGTGGTAATAAAGAATCCATTTCAGATTTCCACAGAATTATCTAGCAGAGCACATTTCCTCTTGCTTTAACTAGTGGCGTTCAGCACTGCAGAGAACTAGCAGAGAATTCTATGCTGACTGCATGCATCTCACTGAACCCTTCCCTCAACTTGGCAGCTCCCCTGGCACAGGGATGCCCTTTTTGAGATTTGCATGCATGGAGGAGCTTCTTGTGGCTGTCTAGTAGACCTTGGTGGGTCACCCTAATGAAGGTCATAAACCATATCTGTTCTGCAAGCAAGGGTCTGGTAACCTCCTTCCTTGAGATTATGTGTGAAGTCAGAGGAACAAGTATCAGTTGACTGAAGTCCTCACATGGTGGAGTTGGATAGTCTTTCCAACACTCACAGTTTATTTAACTACTTTTTGGCATTGAAATGAAAGTATTACTTTATTCCACAAATTAAATACTTATGGGAAAAGCACTTCTTGAGCTTTGTCTTTCCAAGTTATGAGATGTTTGACCTTGGAAAAGTTACTTCGTGATTCTAAACCCAAGTTTCACAATCTATATAATAAAATGCCTCATTGTATTGTTAGAGATATTAAAGGAAAACTTTCTTTACCCAAAACACTTCTGACACCAAATGTGTGGGTTTCCTACACAACCCAATTCTCCAGTTCTTGGAGAGACCAACTGGGTATTCTACAGTTTAATTCCATTCTGGCACTAACTACTGGGAGTTAGGGCAGACTCTATAGGTTAAGGCCTCAGCCCCACAAGGCTGCCCCCAACTTTACATGCAATTTCAAGTAGTAGATTCCCCAGATTACCCACACTTCTGTTAACTTGGCTACAAATTTCCAGTTTCCATGACTCTTCCTCAGGTTTGAATTTTCTTTAATGGCTCATAAAACTCATAGCACTCTTACTGTTACTGATTTATTATAAAGGATATCATAAAGGATTCAAATGAACAGCCATATGAAGAGGAATACAGTGCAAGGTCTGGAAGACTCTCAAGCTCAGGAGATTTGGTCCCCATGGAGTTCGGGTCCCCATGGAGTTCGGGTTACACTATCCTCCTGGCATGTGGATGTGTTCACCATCGCAGAAGCTCTCTAAAGCCCTTGGTTTAGAGCTTTTGTGGAGGCTCTAAAAAGCATGATTGATTAAATCATTGGCCACTGGTGATTAACTCAGCCCCCAGCCAGGGAAAGTTATATCTCATAAACCAAGAAAGGACAGAATTTCAAAATCAAGTCATACTATTCCCATCCCAGAATAGTAAAGGCTGGGGTCCTAAGGCTCAGGCTGGGGTGTGGGATCCCAGTCTCTAGGTTTGGGTACAACAAGCTGTGGAGAAGCCTGAAGAACGGTGTCACAAGGAAGCACTCTACAGCCAAAACCCAGTGGGATCAAAGGCTGAACATCAGGCTAGTCAAGGCTGGGCAGAGAGGAAGGGACCAGACTCAAAGACAATAGGCAGGAAACCAGGGAGATGCATGGAGAGAGAACAGGCAGTCTAGGAGCACAAGGCTGTGTCAGAATGGGAGACAAATTGGATGTCTGGGTTTTTAGCCAGTGCCTTAGTCCTTTGGCCAGCCTGAGAGGGAGCAGTAGTGTTCATAATATAGAGAGAGGTATAGAGAGGTTTTGGGTGTAGGCTCTGTATGGGTAACTTCTCTGACTAACACTAACTGAGAAGAAATGGGAGAGGTTTCCAGGGCTGATAATGTTTATTCATTGAACTGGATGCTCTCTTCAGTTTGTGAGGTCATTGAGCTATATATTCATATATTCATTCTTTTCAGAGGGTATAGTTCAACAAACAGTTTAAACATTAAAAAGAAGTCCAGAAAAAAAAAAAAAAAGAAGTCCTGAGTCTAGAGTCAGATTGACTGGAATCAAATCCCTTCTTTGTCATTTATGAGCTGTGCAATTTGAGGCCCATTACAGAATCATAATGTTGCTTTTCAAGTTATGTTGTGAAAATAAGATAATATGTGTAAAAGTATTTAAGAATTGTGTGCTAAATTTTACTTATAAATACAACAGAGAAATCAAGTAAGATAAGGACTGAAACATGTCCATTGACCTTGATGTTTTGGTGACTAGAACAAGAGCTATTTCAGTGGAGTAGGGGACCAGGAAGGATGGTCTTGGGTGGACTGAGGCATGAATGGGAGGTGAGGAGGTGAAGAGCATGAGTGAAGATAACTCTCAAGAAGCTTATCTCAGATTACCTATCTATCTGTCTAGCTATCTGTTTATCTACCTGTATATCTATCTCTTATCTACCTATCTACTATCTATCTATCTACTCAGCTGATTTTTGAGCCAAGGAATTAGTGAGGTTACAAGTCATGAAATGGCATATTTTCCTTCAAAGATGCCTACCAGTACAAGTGTAGACTTGGAAAGAGAGATAAATATCAGCTAAGGCTGGTGTAGCTGATGGACACAAGTTGAAATTGTCAGATGAAGAAGAGAAGGCGAAGTGTAACTCGGGTTTGCTAGAAAATAAAAAGCCAAGATAATGCTGGTAAATTTGGAAGAAAGGATGTAGGAACTGAGTGATGTTGGAAAGAGTCATCAGCTACATGGGAGTGCAAGAAAGACAGAATGGTAGGACTGTAGGTCATTAAGATTGCAGAGATGGAGCCATTCAAAGTGATCACAAAATTCAGGATGTGGACATGGTCTTGGAGAGAGAGTGCCACAAGTGGAGAGAAGGGGAAGGGACCAGTGCCAGGGTGGAGTTGGGGAGAGAGGCAAGCTGACTGAAGTGCTGAAGTCCATGACAAATATGAGATAGTGACCATGAGATGTTGCAGGATAGCACCTCCTGAGAAGAGCTCCCACAACCTTCTACTACCACCCATCACAGACCTCACTTATCTTTGGGTTTTATAAATAACTTAAAAGCATTATTCTGTATTGCAAATCACTTCATCTTTTTCAATCCTAAATGTAAATGGAGACAAACTGATCTCTGTATCCTGTGAGGGTCCTCCATTTTCCTGAACACGATTAGATCACCTTTCAGGCTTCCCTTGCATTGACTGAATTCCTTTTAATCTAGTTCAAGGCCCTCTTCCTTCTTTATGATTTTCCATTTATTCTAAGTTCGTGAGTTTTCTGGACTTTGTACCATTCAGTCCTGAATAAGATTCAATCAGAGCTGTTGAAGATGTTTTTGTTTTTGTTTTTGGTCTCTTGTGGTCGGTTTCTTTAGGTCTACCTTATAAGGAAATAGCACAGAGTCTAGAAAGAAAGGTAATTTGCTTTATTGGAATGTAATATACTATCAACAAATAATTTTTACATATGTTTGACTTTATGGCTGCCCTGTTATTTCATTCTTAGTCTTTATACCATAGTGTTGATTTTCTCATTATTTCCTAGTTTGTTATTCATCATGACACACCACTTTTCATTCTCACCTCTTCAGAGTCAGTTCTGAGATCCTATGCATTGAAACTACAGCTCCTCTTTAATGTTGTAAAGCATGTCATTTTCTTCAGTTGCCAAGGAAAATTTGAATCTGATTCCGAAACTATATGCTTTCAACATGTTGCTAATATTTAGTGAATATTAGAACAATGGCAGGATCATATCAATTGGTTGTCTGGCATCAGTAAATTTTAGCAGTGCTATTGCAACTTTGGTTTAGCAAATTATCTCATTAAATAATTTTTATATCATAGCTGAAGGATTTTCAAGTGAAACTTCTCATGGAGACATCACTCAACATGTCACTGCTGAAAACCAAGCTATGGATGAGGACCAGAATTTAAGAGACCAGATTCAGCATAGGTTAGTCTGAAACTCACTGTCCTGCTTCTTACTTCTTGCCCTTTGAACAGACTGACCATCAGTCACTTTGGAATCATCAGATCTTGGGGGAAAAAAAAGATGTATTTTCTAGCATTCAGCCTTTTACAAGTAAAACAAAGCTAAAAAGTTTTGATGTTGAGTGAAAAATTTATGTGCTAGCTTCTGTATTCAGAGCACAAATCATCATGGACTGGGAAGGGAAGAATTAAATCAGGTGACACTTCCCTTTATGGTTCATTACATGGGATCCTAATTTAGCTCTCATTCAGCAAATGCCAGTGAAGATCATGATATTTCAAAGAGCTAGGCATCCGACCGGAGTATAGTTTAAAACAACTTCCATTGCTAAAATGATGTTATACAAAAAAAAAAAAAAAAAAAAATTCCCCCCAAAACAAAAACACCCTTCTCTTGGTTGTGCACAGTTTATTCATTGGAAGAGAAAACTTAGACAGGGTTAGAAAATTTTATGAAACCTGGAGAAGTCTAAAAATAGGAGGTGGGCCAGAGACAAGTAATTATCTATATTAATTAGCTAACTAACTACAGTTAAGTTTATCTATCTATAAGGAAGATAAGACAGTTTCAGGAATCATCCCAAGATTATTTTTGAGTCAAGCAAGTAAGGTTGAGCTATTCACATTTACTCAAAGATTTCTTTGATTTCTGTCTGTTAGAGAAAAACAGATGACCTCAGGCTATAGCTCAGGCTGTAGCTACCATGAGAAGTGTGCTCAGAGTTAATTCTACAGTGAGTACAGGCGATCTTCCTGTAGATTTCCAGTTAGTGAACCAAACTTACGCTGAAGGTTTCCTAAAACGGTGGCCTTTTCAAATCTTTTACCCTCACACATCTCAAAAAAATATGGCTTGATGGTATTAAATAATTTCTTCTTCAAAATAAATAATAATTCATTGCTTGTATATTTTTTAGAGTTCCTTTTTCAGTTTAACTACATTGGCAGCTCATATTTTCATTATGCATACCAAGTTAATTATACCTAATGTTACTCAAATATTTTAATTGGTGTATGTTATTATTAAATATTTTTGCAGGATTATAGGCTTCTTGGACAACTGGCCTTTATTAGAGCAATGGTTTACAGAGCCAGAAAATATTTTGATAAAAATCAATGCTGAAGTAGATAAAGAGTCTTTATGTCACAAAGTAAAAGAAATGTTTACGACTGAAATAACAAAAAAAGAGAATAAAGGTAATAACATTTCTTTATAATTTTGAACTTATGTAACTAAAATGTGTGGTTTTAATGAGTTTAGGAAAAAATGAACATGCGATTGCCAAGTTCTCTGTTTTATTTGGGTTATACTACCTACAAGTATCTTCTCCTCCTGAATTTAGCTCTCTGCTGCAGAGATTTCTAAATAAGAGATTTTTCTGTATTTTAATTTAATCAAAATGAAAACTGAAAGTATTTTTCATGAGGAAAAACAATAGATTAAGGATGTTATAGAAAAGATTTCAGTATTAAACTTAGGAGTTAACCCTCCTTTGGGATGAAATCCTAAACAGTTTATTTCCCCCAAATCTTGATGTGGCATGAGTTCATTGATTATTAACTACTTATTTTATGAGCCTTCTTCTGGAATACATCTCATCACATTAAACCATCCTGACCTCTTTCCTTCTTCATTCAACCAATAACAATTGTCCACTAGGTTTTCATAGTATTATTGATATTTATTATTGAAACGGATCTTAGGCTAATACACTGCGAAGGCCAGATTTCAGTGGAGAAATTTACCTTTGCAAAATGATATGAAAAATAAATCTTTCCTTTTATTTATCAGTCATTGCTAATTGTATTGACAACTGCAGCTTCTTGGCATAATAAAAAAGTCAAAGTTAGTAACACCACAAGGATTCTAAAACTGCCTTGAGAGCCTGCTGTCTCCTATCACTATATTCATGACCTAACCACTATAATGTATCAATTAACTGACCCCAAAATAACACATAGGTGTAAGCCATAAATACCACGAGGTTCCAGGAGCGTATGCTTAGGAAAACAAGCTCCCACGTCCAGATGTCTCCTCCCAATAACCACCCATGTGAAGCTCTCAGACAAAACAAATACCAATCCATATATAATTTAAGCAGCTTAATATGTTATTTGACAGAAATTAGGCTGGAGGCTAGAGGAAACCACCCACGGTGATCCTAGAGTCTAGGTCGGAAGGCAAAAGCACCACAATTCTAAGCTGTAGCTTCAAACATCTGCAGGTTAGAATCAGATTGTTGTTGCCATTTGTCAGACTCACTTCAACATCTTCCTGAAGATTTTACGTTCTAATCACTGACTACATTAACAACTGCCACTTATTTAAGATTTACATTCCTATGGGTTAATCATTTTAACAAATATTTTATCATTAAAACCATTGACCTAGCCCAATACTCTGAATTAAATGTCCTGATTAAGTTAAGAAAATTTAAAAAAATAAAAAATAAAAGGATGTGGTATTTCTGTATACATTGAGGTAAAACATGACCCTTGTATACTTTTAAGTAGGGAAAAGCTGGTTATATATAAAATAGTCCTGGTTTTGTTTTTAAAATGTATGTTTTTTAAAAGTATGTCTCTGTACTAAATATATATGCATAGGAAAGAATCTGGCGGTCCAGATGGTACTTATGGTGGAGGAAGACTGGGACAGAGACACTACAGGCAATTTCCCTTTCCGCTTATTTGTCTAAATTGTTTTGGACTTTTGCAAACAATATTTCTGTATTACTTTTATAATCAGAAAAAAAAAAACACCTTACTTTCCACTTTGAAAAAACATCTAATAGAATAAAGCCTCCTTGCTTGCTCAATTGAAAGGAATAATCTAAGGGCAAAGGGAATAGGTATAAAAAAAGTAGCCACACAGGAGTGAGGGTATGTATTGCCTGTGGTGCAGTCAGTGACGTTGTGGCCATGTCCAGCAAGGAGGGCTGGGAAGGCTGGGGAGGCCAGGGCTGCCAGGGAAGTCGCGACAGGAAGGGTGAACCTGAATGGAGAGAGGCAAAGGGCCAAACCAGCAAGAAGAGCCTAGAAAAGCACGAACCAGCCATGTTCTGCTCCTTCAGGTCCTCAGGCTGACCGGCTCCTCTATCCTACTCAGCCCCCCAGCACTGCTGATCCTCTTTACTCCTTTCTGTTTATTTTCTCCATAGCACTTACCACCACCTCTTCTATAAATGAACTTGCTCAGCATGTTTATGGTTTACCAACCACCACTAACATGTAAGTTTCAGAGGGCCTACTCTAGTTTTTACTACTTACCAACTGTAAGTGGTGGGAGTCTTACCTCATTGTTAGGACCCTTCCTTTCCTTCAGAAACAGTTCAAGTCCAATCCATAGTTGCTGCTTGAGTTAAAGAATTGCTAAGAAGACTTGAGTACTAAGCACGCTTCTATGTACTTGGCATGCTTTAACCCCCCAGAAGTCTGGAAGGCACAGTTCTTTCCCCTTCTGTTTCCCTCCCACCCCCAAGGCTTCTGTCAATTTTTTTCACCTTCTCTTCATGCATTCTTCACCTTGGTTTTCCACTGTTAATTTTGAAGTTATCCTTTATTTTCCTATTCCACTACCTTAGCTACAGCTAGCTTATCACTTTTACACTTGGCATCCATGTCAACAAGACTTTCTACCAGCTACACACACGTGCACACATCGTAGTCATCATCATCGTTGTCGCTGAAGAAGACAATATTTCTAACCAGGGAAGTCTTCAAATCCTAGCTTTAAGGACTGGATGATTTAAGGGAGAGCCTTAAAACTGGAATTTAAACTTAAATCAGTATGGGCAATTTTATATTAATTTAGGCTTATCTTGGTTCAAGTAAAATAATAGGTGTCTAGAGTCTCTAATAAGGGTCCAATCTTATTATCTATTTGAAGTTAAAAAGAAATTAGAAGAAAAGGAAGCTGAAAAAAAAGAAGAAGTTCCGCTGGCTGAGCCTCCCCCTCCTCCTCCTGAGCCAGAAAAAGAGAAGGAAACCCCTTCAAAAACTCCTCCTGCGAAAGGAAAACCACCATCAGGTGATTGACAGAATGATTTATAATCCTGTTTGCCAGTTTCTTATCTTCACTTAGAAAAGAATTCTAAATTGCACTTACTTAGATTCAGATTTAGAGCAACCTCAATTGTATGAAACCATGTTACGTGCTCGGATGGAAGTGGAAAAGTCCTTAGTAAGTAAGAGCGTGGAGGGAACATGGAGTCCTCATACCCAGTTCTTCTGATTCGAATAAGGCCACAGATTAGAATAGGAAGGGCACAGAGAATAACCAGAAGGAACTTAGAGCAGCTCAAAAGGACAGACCTCTGTCTGTGGAACTGTAGACTGATGCTTTTGTAGAGCGAGAACATGTTCAGAAAATGAGAGGTAGTAAAACCGGTTGTTCACAAGAATAAAGGAACAAATCAACAGCCTTCATCAGGGTCTAGAATTCATATGTAACTTCATTATCTGTGTGAGTACATGTGATAATAAAAGGATAGAAATGAGCACCTGGAATCTCAGGGAAATGTATATGGTTGTAATTTATAGTATATACACTTAAAGAGTTTGTGTAGGGAGTACTTTTTAGCTTAAGTTCTTTCTACACCCTTAACCATGAAGGACCATTAACTTAAGGGGTAGACAATAAACGCAATGACCAAAGTGAAGTGCTCAATTGTTGCAGTGCCCGATACTGGTAGCATGTTAGTACCAGTCTGGTGCTATGTATAGGAAGCAAATAGGTTCTCGTGTCTGGTTTTAGCTTTGTAAGTAGCTGGCTGTGCATTACCACAAGTCTACCCAGGAATCTTTGATCTTGTGTCAGCATTGTATTTTCAAATTCCAGAATCTTTGTGCTTCATGGATATTTGAGATAGATGTGAATTTTTAATTGAATTTATTTATATTAAACAAATAAATTTGAAGACTTAAGTAACATATATCATGTTCTATTAAAGACCATTGTATTCCAATAAAATGGGGTTTGACTAAAGGCAAAACACGTAAATTCTAAAGAAATGTTTTTTATCATATGAACAATAAAAGCACAAAACCATGAACTAAATATATATGCCCTTTTCCCACTATCTCATTAGGAATTAAAAAAAAAATTCAGAGGTCTGGAGGAAAAATAGAAATCTTTAAAATGCTGTTTAGAATTGGGGAGAACAGTTTTCACAGTGACTCCAGTAAGCCTAGACTCATCCAATATAGTCTTTTAAGCTCTGACCTTGCTGTCCTACCATGACCTCCCTCCCCCTCTGTCTGGTAGCAATCTGGGGGACCTGTGTACCTGAGCCATTCCCCAAAACCAATCTCTCGTGTTCCTGGTTATAACACAGTTCAGTCTTTAAGTTTCTGAAGTTTGTTTGTGATTTTAAATTTGTTTTCTTGAGCATCTGGGTGGCTCAGCTGCTTAAGTATCTGCCTTCGGCTCAGGTCATGATTCTAGGGCCCTGGGATCAAGTCCCACATCAGGGTCCCTGCTCAGCGGGGAGCCTGCTTCTCCCTCCCCCACCACCCCTGCTTGTGCTCTCTCTCTCTCTCTCTGTCAAATAAATAAATAAAATCTTTAAAAAATAATAATAAAAAATAAAATTGTATTCTTGAATACTGTGCATGGAAGGAATAATAAAGCTATTGTTGCTTAAAAGAGTGCTTGCATCTGTCTCTTTTTTTCACTGAGGAGAGGCCTAGTGCCTGATCTTTAAAAACTTATCCACGTGTTAATCTCCAGGGGCCTAATTACTACCTTCCAACAATAACGCCCTAAGGGAAAGAGAGTGTTCGTGGGCATCAAGGGGGCAATAGAGGGAGGCAATGAAATGGGCGGCCGCCCTGACAGCTCAGGGAAGCTTACTGAAGCAATTTTAGGAAAGTTCCCGGCAGGTTCGTTTATTTTTATATAAATAATTAACAATTTTTTTTTCAAATTAAACGTTTTCAGAAATGAAAGCCTAAGGCTTCTGAACATGTCCAGCTCAAACACCCAACTACAATCTTTAGAAGTTGAAATGAAAAGAGGAATTATTTACCAAATTATTTTTTAAAAAACTGGGGTGGAAACAGAGTAAAGAAGGAGGCATAGGGCCCTGAGTCCAAACAGTCATTTTGTCCCTGTATGATTCTGCATTGTATGTAGTTCTACATTTTATACCAAATGTACTTGGGATTAAATTTGAAGGAGTTCACAGTTACGTTCCATTAAAGGGTCTATTATCAAATCCACTATCAAACTTCAGAATTTAACTTAAAACTAGAGTTGTCAGTGTAACAGAATATAGTAGTACTATAGCCATGCTGCTATTTAAAAATAATTTTTGAGATTTCAGATCTATTTTAGAACTGATTAAAAAAAAAAAAAAAAAAACAACAACAGATAGAGTAGAATTAGACTTGCCCTAAATAGGACTTGCCCACAATACTTTATAAATTCAGTGTCCTTTATAAATTCAGGTATCTCTGTTTGTAATTTCTTTTCTCTGTTGCCTTGCTTAGAGCTAGTTTAGAGCTAAATAGTTGGTTATCCAAAGTATTGTTATTAAAGGAAGTAGGAATTTATTTAAACTTTATTGTTATTATTAATAAGCTTATTTCTAAAAAAGCAACTAGTTCAAATGTTTGGTTTTTGTTTGTTTACTTATTTTTGAATTTGGTGGTTGCTATTTGGATACTTAAAATCTTTTCATAGAGTCTAACCAAGTTTCAAGGTTAATCTTTTTCTATGTCTTATTTCTATGGAGTCTTGGTTGTTGGTTCTGAGAAGTTTAGATATAACATGTGTTATATATTAACACATTCTTATAATTATCACTTCTAAATATAAATAATAGGTCAGACAGGTTATCTCCATCATAGGTATTTATTTATTTCATTTTTTTAAATTTATTTGACAGAGAGAGAGAGAGAGAAAACAAGTAGGAGGAGTTGCAGGGGAGAGAGAGAAGCAGGCCCTCTACCAAGCACAAAGCCTGACATGGGGCTTGATTCCAGAACACTGGGATCATGATCTAAGCTGAAGGCAGCTGCTGAAGTCTGAGCCACCCAGGCACCCCATCATAGACATTTTAAATTGCCCCATATGTCCATCTTTCTTTTTTTTTTTTTCATTTTAGTTTATTTCTTTTTAGTGTTCCAGAATTCATTGTTTATGCACCACACCCAGTGCTCCATGCAATACATGCCCTCCTTAATACCCACCACTAGTCTCACCCAAACCGCCACCCCCGTCCCCTCCAAAAGCCCTCAGTTTGCTTCTCAGAGTCCACAGTCCCTCATGGTTTGTCTCCCTCCAATTTCCCCCAACTCACTTCTCTTCTCCATCTCCCAATGTCCTCCGTGTTATTCCTTATGCTCCACAAGTGAAACCATATGAAAATTGACTCTCTCTGCTTGACTTATTTCACTCAGCATAATCCTTTCCAATCCCATCCATGTTGATACAAAAGTTGGGTATTCCTCCTTTCTGATGGAGGCATAATACTCCATTGTATATATGGACCACATCTTCTTCTCTCCAATGAAGAATAAACTGTAGCCCAGGGCAAAGAGAAGATAATGATTGAAATTGTTTAGTGAATAATGTGGGATGTAGGGTATTTTTTCAAGGAACTAATTTATTATTTGAATGCCTTATTGACCTTTAGATGATCAGTTTCCCATTTTCCCCCTTTCAGTATAGTTTTGTACTAGAGTCCAAGGAATCCAAGATAACCAGATCCAAACCATCCTCTACATTGCAAGCTATGGTCAATGCAAAATGGAAATGTAGAAATCACAAGGCATGAGGTCAGGAAAAGTTCAAGGATGCACCATCTCAAAACAGTGTGGTTATTCAGCTCTTCTTCAAGGTGTTTTGGCATCATTCCTATTACAGATTTAGTTGTCTAATTGTGTAAGGATCATTTAGTTGAAATAAATCAAAATCAAGCAATATGCATCAAATGAACTCATAACTAACTTTTAAAACTCTGCAGCTATGTTGCATTGAAAAATTTATAATCAAATCCATTATCAAATACTGATACTAACATTAGGACCAAACTTCTCAGTGTGACAAATTGAATAGCACTATCAGGGCTGTTATTCAAGAGTTTTAATCCAGTATGTCTTCAGGTTAATTTTAGCTCACAGTAAAGACGTCACAAATACAACTGTTTATCTGTGAGAAATAACATTTGATCGCGTACAAGCAATGTAGCCCAGGCTATTAAAGAAAATTGTCAATAATGTTTATGTCTTGAATTTTGTTTAGAGTCCTTGCATGGTAAGCAAGAATCTCTTCAGGAAGGAAAAGGGAAGAAAGGTGAGACTTCACTCAAAAGAAAAGGTACTCAGATAAAGATAGATGTGGTTCAATGTAATTCTGCATTTCATAACTTCCTCAGGGAAGAGAGCCAGATTTGTTAGTCGTATCCACTGAATACTTCTCTTAGGCATTTGTAAACCATAAGCCCTTGCCAAAGAATATAACCTCTGTCATTCTGTAGCCTGGATTTTAGCAAAGGTCCTGCCAAAAAAAGTGATGCTTGTGGGGAATAATTTAGAGATATCTAGTATATAGAATATCCACTCATCATAGAAATTATAGGTGTTATTCTTGGGCTAAGCTATGGCATCAGAAAACTATATACTGACCCATATTTTCTCAAGTTCTCATCAAATTGCCTTCACTGATATGCCCTTTGGTATAAGGTCCTCAACTCCCTTCACAGTGTAACATACCAGTGGAGGTGAAACTTTCATTATACCAATAATAAGCTCATATTTCATTTTCTGAGGGTATAGTATGCCCACTATATCATTTAATGGCCTCTATGTGAAATCCTAGGTGAGAAATTTCATTCAGAATCAAGGGACAGGAAACATTTTCTTCTTCTGAGTGGTTAGATAATTAGCATGTATAAATTATAATATTTCCTTTTCTATTTTGGCTGTCCAGAAGTTCAGAACCACCTAGTGCCCATATCTGTGCAAGGGTACCTCGATCTCAATATCTGCTTTCTAATACCTCTCACGGTTTTGACCTTCTACTTTGAGTTGTACTTGTCCTTGCCCTAATTTCATTTAATTTTTCTGTATTTTATTTTAAGTGTTTCTGTGAAATAAAGGGGATATAATTTTTAAGTAATTGAGAGTTGTCAGAAGAAAATCCTAGGTTCTTAAGTGCAGATTAGTTAGATTTATATTGAAGCTGCTATAACAACCAATTAAAATTGAAATGCAGTTATAAATGTATACAGTTGGATTTCTCAGGGTACATTCAAATGGGGTTGTCATGAGTGTGTACCTTTGTTTAACTTCTTATTGCAAATTGCCAAATTCAGTTGCAACCCAAGAGTGTGCAGTTTCACAAAATGATGGGCTGAAAAAGATCTTTATTTTGCCAGTTAAAAAAAAACATAGCCATGATTCCAAAAGAGAATCTCATCCTTCTCTGATTCTATAACATGATATATAATTAGAGCCACCTGATGAGTTAACACTGAGCTATAAATTTTAACTAGAATGTTAAGGGCTATAATTTATGCTCAGCTCTACCCATTTACAATTAGGAGAATAATTTTCATATTTACATTATTTATTCCTTGCTTTTTCATTGTGGTCAACAAAAGCAAATGAAGGATCATCATAGAATCTTCAAAAATACAAATTAAAAAAACAAATTAAATATACTGTGCACATTAGTTATCAAATCAAGTTAAACATAATAATGCACATGCTTTAAGAACATCCTTAGTTAAAAGAATACACATTCCAAACAAACCGTAAGCAAGTACAAGTTCAACCAGTAAAATTTATATACTGGAGCCACGCAGTTAGCTCAATTTAAGTAACTAAGAATTTTCCAACATTTTTTGCTTTTATTTTACTGAATTTCTATTGTGTTTAATAATATTTGAATAAGCGAATTTGCATTCATAATTTAGAAGTCTTTCTATTACATAGAAATGCTGGTTTTCAGGATGTGTCACACGTTTCCTCTTTAAAAGGAAGTTACGATGTTAATTCTTAGTATTTGAAACTAACATCATTGGAGGTGAACACTACTGACTGATTTATCTGTTTATCTCACAGGTCATTTGATACCATTATATTGAAATCATCTCTTCTGGTTTAAGGAGCTGTCTCCTTTCTTCTTTCTTCAAACTTATCTTTATTTCCTGTTGTTGACATCTTTAACTCAGTCCTATTCTTCTCTGCATCATTCTCTACCCTTCTTCTCCCAAAATCTTGACGCTGAAATGCCATTTGCCAAGTGTATTCTTGTGTTCTTAAAGCCTGTCTTACTCTCCAACCCATTTGCCATTGTCCCAGGTTACTGCTTCATAAAACACAACTTATCAACACCAAGACCTTACCTACCAATTATTAATTAGGGACTGAATGAAGCAAGTTTTCCATAATCAACTAATTGCAGAAAATACTGTATTATGCCAAGCTAAAAAGTTTTTAATGCAGGATTAAAAATATATATATCAATTTGCATCTCTAAGGAAATGGGAGATACAATAGTACATTGTAGAATTCTCTCTTAGGAGAGTATCCCCTGGGGCTAGAGTTTTATGGACAAAACACTGAGGGAAAACATTGTCTTTAGTTCCACTGGCCTGCCCATGTGTTGGCATTGGCATCGTTCCAGGGCTTGCCTTCTGACTTAATTTATAGTAATAGAGGCTATAAGACCACTTAGCAATAAAGAATTCTATTGTCAGTGTTATAAACACCAGTAGTATTTAACTGGAAGGGCATGGAAAAACATAAAAGGCCAATGAAATTGAAATACCTAACTGCATCCACCAGAGCAGTGGCTCTTTAAGTGTGGCCCCTGAAACAGTAATATCCCATCACCGGAGGACTCAACTACAAACACAAATGCTTGGCCCCGCCCCAGACCCAGTGAATCTAATACTCCTGTAGGGCCCAGCAATTTGTGTTTTAATAAGCCCTCTAGGGAAGTCTGATGATGGCTAAAATTGGAGAACTATTAAACTGGAGCCCAAGGATTAATCCTCTACTGTAGCCATTTGACTATCAGAAACATTCCATTATTTAGAACGTATTATTTATATGTCCCCTCCCCCCAAAAATGTTTAAGTTGGATTCCAATTTAGAAAAAAACATATATACGAACTATTTCTATCTCAACATTGAATGGCTACACTGTGGACTAAACAGTCTAGCTTTCAAGTGAAAGCCAGTCTCTCCTTAGAAACTGAAGCTTCCATGTGGTCGGGTGAGTGGTACTGAGAAGGAAACACCCCCTGTTACATTTCAGATGCTGGCAGATTATGCTCAAATCCCTATGGCATAGATACATTTTTATTCATTCAAATTTTGTTTTTCCCCTTAGCATTTTCATCATTAAAAAATAGATTAAAAATGGAATCAAAGCACAATGGTCCAAAAAAGACTACCTGGCTCACTCAGTTTTCACTGAATGATCATGATATTTAAGAAAAGAAGAAAGAAGAAACTCATTCCAGTCTCATATTTACAATTGCAAAGTTCTTCCTCTTAGGAATTCTTCTTAGAGAATTTCATCTTAAAGCAGACACAGTGTTATCACTTTTATTTCACCAGATTCAGGTCAAATAATGGAAAATCATCCTATTGAAATATATTTCAAATAATCAACATTGTTGGTTATTGCCTGAACAAAGATTTCCTTAAAAATTTTTAAATGTAAAAAGATTGGGAACAACTTCAGACCTGCAGATAATGGATACTATTTAAAAGTATAAGTAGAAGTCACCTAAACGCTCCATAAGACATAATTGACAATTTCTCCTCTACTTATAATCTATACATTTTTAACTAACATAAAAGTGTAAGATATATTTACTTTTCTAAATAGCGTTATCATTTAATAATACTCATTAAGTAAATATAACTATAATTATACTGAAGATAAGTGTAACTTAAACAGAATGAATTTCTAAACCATAATAACCTTGATCATTTAGGAAATATTAGGCTTTCTGAGTTCAGCTGCTTTGCTCAATCACAGAGTCTGTCAGACCCTAAGAGTGCCACACCACCCAACTGATCTAGACTCCCTTCTTGACGCTCTCAGGAGAAGTGAAGCGTATGCCCTTTCTGGATTTTGAACTGGACATTAATTAGCATTATTTCTTTTCCTCCTCTTTCTCCTCCTTTACCTCCTCTTCCTCCCTCCTCTCTCTTCCTCTTCCATCCCCTTCTCTCTCTCTTGTGCCTTAATTCAGCCAGGCTTATGGCACAGCAGGTACCTTCATCTATACTCCCTGAAATATAGTTTCCCACTCAGAAACCCTGTATCTCATTCAGGAATGTTGGAATATTCAGGAGCTACAGTACTCTGTCTCCTTCCCCACATCCTTCACTGACTCTGGCTGACTTACCATAACCTCCTTCCTCCCTGCTCCTCCCCTGAGCTTCAACACAAAAACAACAAACAAACGAAAAACACCAAGAGCACCACTCATAGAATACTTACTCTCTTTCTCACTTGTGATGGAGAATTTAATTTACTAGTATTTGCAGCAGTAAATGAAATGCACTTTACAGTGTAAACTTTGTTCATTATGGAAGCAAGGACAGAGAAAAAAATAAAATACCATGTTGCTCTTCGTAGCCAACTGGACCAAAGACCTGAGTGGCTTACAAAACAAACAACCTGTTCCTGATATTGTTGGTTAATTTGGAGACTTTAGAGAATGGGGTTTTTGATTTGGTAAGGCTCTCCAAAATTGCTTAATGAATTTCCTGAAGTCCACCCTAATCCTAGATTTATGCATCTACCAGAATCTGGTTCCATTCATCTACTTGTAATGGAATGATCTAATATGCATATTTAAGGTTCTCCTAAAGGAAAATCACCAGGAGGGAAAGGATCAGTAAAGAAATCACCTGCTGATTCTACAGACGTGTCACCTGTTCCCATAGTGCCACCACTACCTAAGCCAGGATCCGAAGAATGGGTCTACGTGGATGAACCGATTCCTGAGGTATGGCAGTTTAGATTGAAGCTTGTAGAAGCTAGCCTTTCTCTTGTTTTTAGTAACATTCACACCATTATTTGAACCATCCAGAAGGCCTTTTATAGCTGGTGATATGTACACTCATCAAAAAGCTGAGGTGAGGGCACGTGTGGTGATGAGCACTGGGTGTTATATACAACTAATGAATTGTTGAACACTACATCAAAACTTGATGATGGACTATATGCTGGCTAACTGAACATAATAATAATAATAATAATAATAATAATAATAAAAGCTGAGGTGAATTTTTGAGACTACTCATTGAATCCCATTGTATCCTCTCCCTACTCCTTCGAGTTTCTGAGTCATGCTTTGAACAGCTATTAAGTGCTGAAAGCAGGAGAACAAATGGGTTCTGTAAGGACCAATTTTCTCCCCAGGGACAAGCAGAGATGCAGTTTCCTGGAAGAATGACTTCCTCAGAACACATATCCAGCAAATTATAGCCCTCCATCCATGTTCTCATGCCCACATTATAATGCTTTCAAATGAAGTTTAACCTCTGACTTTTCACAAATAGAAGAAATTTTTTGAAGCTAACTAAACTAATAAAAGAACAAGTCACTGTCTGGCCTGAGAACTTTAAATAGATACACCAGAATAAGGCAAAGAGATGCCCCAGGTGAGCCCTGGAAAATCCCTTCAGTTCTTTGTTCTCTGACAACTGCAAAGCCCAGTCTCCACACAGGCAAAGTTGGTTGTTTCAATAGAAAAATCGTCTTAAAAAAAAATCACCAAGAATGGTCTTTCCTTTCCCACTTTTTTCAAAGACAAATTGCTCTATAAAAATGCAGCCCCTTTTTTCTTCACTGCAATCCTCAGTGAGTTCCTACTCTCATGAACTCTGAGCACTGACTGCCTGGGCCAGGCATTTGAGACCCAATCATGAATTTCAGTGGTTGTGCTGTTGCTATTATTATTGATCTTTCCTAGGGAAATGTCTTATCTCCCCAATTAGATTATAAACTCTTTGAGAGAGGGAAGGAACATGTGGGATAATTGATTATATTCAATACAGAATCAAGCACAACATAGATTCTTGATGAAGCTCTAATGATTTAATTAATTTACATTGATAAGGAAGTTAGAACAGAAAATATTTGAAAATGAGAATATTAACTAATATAATTGTAGATGTGTATAATACCACTCAGCCAAACAGAAGCTACTTATTGAAATAAAAACATTAAAAAACTTGTCATAGAATCAGAATACAAATGGTTGTTGGGAAGGAGATAAAATTAAAATTATATTATTTGGCAGGGTTGCGGAGTGAGAGACAAAAACGTTTAAATCTAATCCTTCACTTCAAACCTTGAAGCTCATGAGAGAAATAAATTCATACAGGACAAGAAGGAAATAGAGGACAGAAGTGAAAAAAATAAACATTAACATTGAGATTTGGCAGATCTTCTAGCAGTCATAATTCTGGCAGAAAACAGATGATAATTTAAGGAGAGTTGAATAAAGTATCAAAAATAAGGGAACATATAAGGATTCGATTATTACCCCAAACAAGGGATGGCTGGGAGTCATATGGCTTGTAGGCCTGAGAAGATGGGGAAAGGGAGCAGATGCTTGGAGGACCTCTGTGTAGAGAAGGCCATCTGGCAGGAGCTGAGGCCTTCAGCAGAAGGATATAGCCACACAGTGAGGCAGCAGAAGACAGTAGGAAAGAGAGAACCAGACCTCTTGTTCTTCCTTCTTTCCCATCCCTTGCCTAGAAGATAGAGGGCAAGGTTGTTTCTGGAAGTATAAGATCGTACAAGTTAGCCATCCAGGGCACTGAGCAGCCCAAAGAATGAAGAACAGGAACTTGTTCTGAAGGGACAATGGGAAGATATGCTGCACAGACTTCTACTTCTAATAACCTAAGTGAAACCACGTGGAGAATGTATTTTGCTACAACTAGAAGTAGTCTAAAGCCTTGAAACAAAGCAGCCACACAATCCACTCTATTTTTCCAACCTTAGCTTCTCACACTTTGGCAGGTAAGCTACAGAGCTTACTTGTCAAAGAAGAAGAAAAAAGACAGATGCCCAGTTAAATTTGAATTTCAGATTATCAATGAATTTAAGTGGGCCTCCTATACTTTATCTGGTAACCCTAGTTCCAGGCCTTCCAAGGACCCTCATATCTATCTCCCTCAGTAGGGATGTGGATGGAGAGAGAGGAAGGGTGGGAGGAGAAGAGGGGAAGAGGGGAAAAGGTAGATTGAGAGAGAGAGAGAGAGAGAGGTTGAGAGATTGAGAGAGATTGCTTTCAGATCTGGCTCTCCTAGGTGGAGGCAGCAGCCAAGTTCCAGGAGAGCCTGGGCCCTACCCCCTTTGTCAGCCATAGGAAGGGTGCAGAGAGAACGGAGAAGGCAGTCAGAGTGAGAAGTCTTTGCTTTTCAGCTTCTGGAGTTTTTGAAGCATATTTACTTTGGCTACTGATTTCCTATTATACTCAGTCTTATCCAGTGAAAAGAAGCCCACTTAATTGGAAAGTATAGATCTGAACATCTAGTCACATCACAAAAGTTCAGATGCCCAGGCCCAGAAAAAATTATGTCATAGAGACTGAAAGAACCTATACATATGAAATTATCAATAACTCATAGAAATCACGGAGGATATGGGAGATTCCAAAAGACCAGGTATAGGTAAATACATAAAATGTTTAATAAAAAGCTGATGGGATTTAGTATCATACAAATACTCCAGAAATTAAGCCCTGACAAAATTTGAGAGAAAATATTGAAAGTCTGACTTCTGAGCATGTATAAACTATAAAAATGACCACCCAGAGCCCATACAGGTTCACTAAGTCCTGCTGAACTGGCCCATTCCTTTTCCTTGACAGAAAAATTGAATAGATGGATCAGGAAAGTACCATAAACTTTGTATATCTTGAGTTCAAAATAGTATTTGAAAATTTCTCATGAAGTTCTTAAACAAATGAGATCTGTGAGCCGGGTGTTACTTCACTTAGGTCAATTGCTAAATGGTAACTCTCCATGCACAGAGTGTGAATTAATGGATTCAAGTCAACTAGGAGGGAGATGTTGTAGTGGGGCTTATTTAAAATGATCTCTAACACCATCCAGAGTATGATGAAAAAGTAGAAACCAGAGGCATGAACAAGGGGGATAAAAAAGGTGTTAATGTCAGAGGAGCATTAAAGGAACCATAGATGTTTAAGTTAGATAAATGCATTCTTCAAATGTGTCTGGGCATTAAATCATAGACTTTTAGAACTAGATGGAGACAGCCAGTCTCCTAAAAATTTAACTGATGATAAAATTGGATTCAGACGAGTCTACGTAGTAAAATTTGAGGGCCTGTTAAATGCAAATGCTGTACTAGATGCTGAGACTAAAAAAATAAGCAAGTTTCATCTTGAATCCCAGCCTACATCTCCCCACTGTCTTCAAATATCTGAGAGGCTATTATAGGGAATACTGTATGAATGTAGTCTGCCCTTCTCCAAAGGACACAACTAGGGCTGGGGAGTGGGACATATAGGAAGGCAAAGTGATGCTCAACATAAGGGAGACTTTTCTAGTAACATAGTTATGTGACACTGGAGGGCCTACCCTGAAATGTATCAGTGAGATCCTTGGAGGGATCATTTATCTCCACTATTTGGCATTTCTCAATTGGAAAGGAGATTAACCAAATAATCTCTCAGATCCCCATGTATAATTCCCCGAGTAAATAAATGCATAGCCAATAAGGAAATATTTAGTACAGAGAATTTATATTGAATATAACATGTATCTTCAATTTTATTTCATTTTGATTATTTCTTAGTTTTGGTTATTTATTTGTATCACCAAAGGTAACACAAACTTTCTAATTTTCATGGTACACACAGCAAAGATAAAACCACTTGGGCAAATTCAAAGAAATGACTCATTATCACCCTGACATGAACCCTAGATATTGCCCATGATAGGCAGTTTTCCAACCTAGGCAAAATATGACATCTATTTATTCGTTCAATAAATATTTCTTGAGTACCCATTATGTCCCAGACACTGTGGTGATTATAGGAAAAATGGTAGAGTGGTGACTAAAACAACCATTGTTCTCATTGTTTTTTTTTTTTAAAGATTTTATTTATTCATTTAACAGACAGAGATCACAAGTAGGCAGAGAGGCAGGCAGAGAGAGAGGAAGGGAAGCAGGCTCCCTGCTGAGCAGAGAGCCTGACATAGGGCTTGATCCCAGGACCCTGAGATCATGACCTCAGCCAAAGGCAGGGGCTTTAACCCACTGAGCCATCCAGGCACCTTTCTCATTGTCTTATGAGACTGATATTCTAGGGGCGAATGTGGACAAATGAACAAGCAGTTGCCATTAATGTCTTCCCTGCTATAATAGGAGAAAGTATGGGGGTTGAGATAGAACTCTGGAATGTCAGAGGATGACCTTCAAGACGTTTTGGATCAGGGAAGAATTTCTGGAAGAAATTTATCTGAACTGAGACATGAAGAAGTATTTGGAATAGAAATTAGCAGGGGGAGGAATGAGAAGGAGGGGCAAGAAGTTTCACAGAGAATGCTTTAGACAGTTGCGTCTGCATCTTGTTTTTCTTGCTTTATTGCTTGTTGCTTGATATTGCTTATCTTGTTCTGTATTGCTCTTTTGACTCAGTTCGTTGGAAGAATTGTCACTTTGAAATGATTAATTTTATGCTTTACCATTTAACAGGAAATACCTTCCTTTTTAGTACCTTACTGGGAACTAATAGAAAATTCCTATATAAACTCCATCAAAATGGTACTCAGGCATCTGAGAGAAGAACAGCATTCTGTGATTTCTTACTTATATGAAATTAGGTAAGTAAAGTTACTTATATGAAATACTTATAAAATGTTACTTATATGAAATATTGTCAGAAATACTTATATGAAATTAGGTAAGTAAAATCAGAATTTTGTAGTCTACAGGCATGTCATGTGAGCTCCATCTCATTCTCTTACTGTCTTACAGAACAAATTTCCAGCATTTTCTATGGCGTCCAGATCACAAACAAGATTTTGTATCTCAATGGCAGGCTGATTTCAACGCTCTCCCTGATGACCTGTGGGATGATGAGGAAACAAAGTCTGAACTACACCAGAGAGTAAATGTAAGGAAACCTGCGACCTGCTGCACCAGGGTCTTCACATACGTGAATATTGTACTGCAGAACCTAACTCATTCCCTTCTTTTTCTGTGAAGTGTGGGGGTGAGGAGGGAAATGGTTTGAACACCTACCTGCCAACTTTCAAGAGCAATGGCTCTTCTAAACTTGAGTTCAGAATGAAAACATGGTGGACAACACTTCCAGAAAGAGGACCCAAATCCAGCAAAGCAAAAGCATTCTTGGCATCTGTTTTGTAGCTTCCTAACCCCTTTGTTTGGCATTGTAACTACCTCTATGCCTGGCATTAAGCGCATGCCTACCTTGAGTGTGGTCATAAGGATGGATGATGTCAGGGAGAAGAGGAATGAGGGAACTTCATGGAAAACCTAAAGGGCAGCCAATATTAAAAAGATCCTTTGAGGGAAGGTACCATATCTTATACATCTTTGTATCTCCAGCAGGCACCATGCCTAGCACTTAATAGACAGATTTTCATAAGTTCATAAATGGAATCTATTATGCTGATGTCTTAGAAGAGGACTTCTGATGTCCAGGAAGCCTGATTTCAATTAAGAAATTAAAAACATTAAACTTTTAAAAATATCAATTCAAACAATAAAGTAGAGAAGCTTCTAATAAGAATAGTCAAGGAAAAAAAAAATTTAGAGATTCGGATAGATCCCATAGTTTTTGACTTTATAGTTATAATAATAATTGTTATAAATATAAATTATATAAATATATATATCATAAATTATAATTAATTACCAAATAGTGCCTAATTGTCTTATTGATATTCTCACTGGCCACATAATTATTTTTTAAATGTTTTGTTTCATTTCCAAGTGACAAATGTTGTTATTGCTTAAAACTTTGTCCCTTGCTTCTAATTCTGTTGCATTGTGATCTGAGAATTAGTTAGAGGTTTTATTTTAATTTAATTTAGTGATTTTAATATTTTAAATTTATCTAAATTTTTAAGTTGCCTGAAACACGAAAATTTTTTGTTTATATTCCATGGATGCTAGAAAATAGCATATAATCTCTATGTAGAAGGTTCAATAAGTTTTGGCCAAATCAACCTTGTTAATGTCATTAGAATGCTTTTTAGCAGTGAATTCTCCACAGAAGTATATTATAGAGAAACTTGAGAAGTTTTAAAAAGTAAACCTGCCTTTCCTTCAGGCCCTATGTCCAAACTTAGTTTTAGGGTGGGCCCCACATATCACTTTCATTTTTTAAAATGTCATAAGTAATTCTGATTGAAAAAATTACCCTTTGGGTATATTTTTATATCTACATAATCTTGCAAAAACTAATGGAAGTAAGTTAAAAATCCCTATGACGGTTACATTTCTATCCATTTGCCTTGCTTTATAGATTTCTTTACAGATTTTAATGTAGCAACACTAATAGCTAACCTGAACTTGGTACAGTGCCGGCCCTGTTTTCTTGCATCCTCAGAACAACCCTCTGAGATGGAAACTAGTAATATTCCCATTTTATGGATGACAAGATATGGTGAAATAAGTGTCAGAGCTGGGATCTGACCCCACCCTGCCAGGCTCCCCAGCCCATGCCCTGAAGAGTTCGTTAAACTGTTTTTCTGATGCAGCATTATTTGGCATGTGAAGAAACATGACACGCTACCTCTTCATGGTCTCCTATACTATTTACAGTATAAAATAACCATCTTTGCACCAAAGTACTTCTTTTGTATTGAATTCTACTGTATCTAATATCAATACTGTGTATTTGCCTTATTTCTTATTTGTATTTGTCTTGAATAAGTTTTGACTTTGACCTTTTTGTGTCATTTTGTTTTATGTGAGACTTTAGTAAGTACCATATAAATTGAACTTTGGCTTTTGACCCAACAGAAAACCTTTAAAACTTTTTAGAAGTGTTCATTTTCCATGATTTTTGTCTGCACAACCTTCACAATTAATAGCCATGAGTTTTTCTTTAATACAACCCATTCTGATTATTCAGGAATACACAATAATTCCGTAATTCTTGCCAAATGAAATGTGAAAACCAGCTATGCCTCTGGGTAAGCCCAGACCCTTGCTATACTTGGTCAATGTCTTTGTTTTTGGCTTATTTCATTCCAATTCTGAGAAGTTAATGGAGAGGTTCTGCTATTGCACTGTCCCCACTCTGCCATCGGAAATCTGAACCACAGAAATGTTAATACTTGCCAAGGCCTCACAGTGAGGCAGGAACAAAAAGAAAACTCTTTTAGCTCTCAAAGATGTACAAACTCTTGGTAAGCACAAGCCAGTATGCATTGAAAGTCTGCCAGAGCATTTGTGGAAACACCATGGAGATAACAAGATCAGCTCTAAAATAATGGTGTTTTGTGCTGATACTTAGCATAGGGCTATAAGAATGGCTGTGATATTTTCATTTTATGTGCAGTTCCCTGAAGGTAACAAATCAAAATGCCAAGAGTTCTATTAATACAATATCACAGAACTAAAACCCACTGTGGGCACTGGAATGAAACTGCTTGCATTAAGATGCCTGGCTCCACCACATGGAAACCATAGCCAAGTGGCTTAACCTGTCTGGGCATCAGTTTTCTCACCAGAACGTACTTCCTGGTTATTGTAGCAATCAGCAAGGTAATCCATGTAAATCACTTAGCACAATGCCCAACACATAATAATGTTCAATACTTTATTATTGTGGAAACTCACATTTTGATTGACTGTATATATTTCATTAATGGGAGATTTTATTAAACAGATGTTTTATTGCATGGATAATATGATATCCTTATAAAATTATAGTTTTTATTAACCAAGGAATTATTGTATGCTAAATAGTATGCTGAGTGCTTTATATACATAAGCTAATTTATTCCATATAGCACAACTGAAAGGTAAGTTATAAAGAGACTGAGACCTGAAATAGTGGTGTAGATTACTCAAGAGCACAGGCTCATATCCTGGATCCACCACCTACTCATTGTGTGCTTTTAGGAAGACAACCTCTCTGTGACTCTTCTGCTAAATGAACATTATAATATAGTGCCTCAGGTTGTTTCCAGGCATTAAATGAGTTGACATAAGGACAATGACTTATGTTCTGACACACTGATGCATATAGAAAGACCTCAGTTCATGGTAGCTATTGTCAGTTTTGTTATACATTTGGCAGACCTGGGATCTTTAAAGATTCTTCCTACTGCTGGCCCTTTGGTACAAACCTAATTTTTGGACAATCCTATCAAGCTCAGACAGTATTTCTTGGTGAATGAGATGTTCCACTCATGTTTATTGAACAAACTTATACCCTTGGATTAAATACAGCTGCATATTTCTTCACCAACAATACACCATTTCCCAAAAAATTCCCTGAAAGGACTTTTTTATTTATGTATTTATTTTGAGAGAAAGAAAGAGAGAAAGATAGCTCGAGTACATGGGGGAGGGAGAGGGAGAGAAAGAGAGCGAGCAGGGGGGAGGGGCAGAGAGAGAGAGAATCTTAAGCAGGCAGAGCCTGTTGAGGGGTTTGATCTCATGACTCTGAGATCATGACCTGAGCTGAAATCAAGTCCAATGTTTAAATGACTGAACCACCTAGAAGCCCCAGGACTTTTTCAACTAAACAAATTTTCTGAGAAGGGATTAGACTGCTACATAAAACATAGCCATCCATAAATAAAGTGAGCTGCAGTGGACTTGTGCTGGACATGAGCATATGATATGGTGAGCTGGTCTAATAAAGTAAGGCCTGGCATAGAGTGGAAGCAAAATAAATATTTGTTGAATGAAGGAATAAAATGCATGAGTGCATTAGGTCTAATTTTCTTTGGAGATATTTTTAAGACAGGCAAAGGATTCTAGTTTTATTACACTGCGACAATTTGAGCCGTGATGTAAAGCATAGCAGTGAGGTTTCTTTCTGCTCAGGATTTACGAGACCGCCTGTGGGACATCTGTGATGCCCGGAAAGAAGAGGCCGAGCAGGAACGTCAGGATATCATTAACGAGAGCTGGCTGCAGGACTCCATCATAATAAAGATGAACCATTTCTTCTCACTAATGCAGGTAAGAGCAGCCCATCAACAGCCCAGATTCTTGCCTCCATAGCAACGTCCTGTCCCTCCCTTTACAACTCCTTTGGGAGAGTGAGGGGCCCCTTCAGGCTCCTTTGACTCACAGCACTCTGCCTGGCCTGAGCTCCAATTTGCTGAGGAAGTGAGCTGAAATAAATCATTTTGGCCCGGGTCCAAACAAGCACTAGAACTGGGAGCATCCAGGTGCCTGGGTAGCTCAGTCAGTTAAGTGTCCTTCTCTTGACCTCAGCTCAGATCTTGATTTCTGGGTTGTGAATTCAAGCCCCATGAAGCTGGGCATGCTACTTTAAAAAAAGCAAAAAAACCAACCAAACAAACAACAACAAAAAAAAACTGGCAGCATCCCAAACAACCACCAACCAGCTTTGTGTCCAGGTGTCTTAGAACTATGGAGGGGCAGGAGAGATGCTGTCTATACTGGTTGTTACTCTGTCAGCCTCTCACAGTGGACACCCAAAGTGGCCAGCAGAAGCCCAGGAAAGCAGCTCTGCCACAAAGCATGGGATAGATTAACATCAGCAGAAATTTGATTCCAGAAAAAAAGTTTATGTCAGGATTGAAAAAAAAAAAAATAAAAATAAAAAAACAAAAAAAATTCACCAGAACAACCTCATTAACTTATATTTGTAGCCTATTAAATAAAAATTACAGTTGGTGAGATAAGACTTATTAGCCAACAGATAATAATAGTAAAGACTATTGTCAACAGTAGGAAAGAAAGCACAGACCAGGTCTGGCTACCCAGCATTGCCAGGAAAAAGAAGTAGAGTTTGACAGCTGGGGTGTAGTGAGCATCAGAAGCCATCTGTGCTTGTTGATTGGCTTTGCCTGAAGGAAAAAACAAAACAAAACAAAAAAAACATTCTCCTGTCTTCACCTAGTTTTACCACTGAGAGCAAGGTACTCTCAAGGAGCAAGTTAGGCTCCTCCCCTTCCAGAGGAACTGGCAGATAGGTGATGATGCTTACTTTTCAAAAGGATGGTGCCGGATACTTAGGAAAGACAGTTTTGAGTTCTAAAACTGGCAAGGAGCTTTTAAAAATATTTACATCTCAGGGGCGCCTGATGATCCTGGGATCCTAGGATCAAGCCCCGTGTTGCTGGGCTCCCTGCTCAGGGGGAGTTTGCTTCTCCAGGTCCCTCTGCCCTCCCCAACCATGCTCTCTTTCTCATAAAAAAAATTTTTTTAGAAAAAAAAATTTAGATTTACATCTAAATGGACAGAGCCAGGATTTATAAGACAAATTTTCTAAAGTAAATTAGAAAAGGGCAGTCAGAACCCCAGAGTTAGGAAGAAGATTATCCAAAGTTTAGCCAAGCTGAGGGGAATAGTAAGCTTGTGTTAGTCAAGCTGTGTTACGTGAGTATTTTTTCCGAAGAGCATAGCAGTGAGGGTGGAGAATGAAAGAGGGTATATTTTTCATTTTCAACCAATTGACTTACATGAGGAGATACTTCAGGAGAGCCGGATGTTTAGCTGACAATTCGAGCTAGCACACAGTTGGTGTTCAATAAAGTCTTGCTCAACCAATGACAATTAATGCTGATACTTTCAACTTTCAGAGGGACTAGCCCATGGTATAGGAGCAGGTTGGACCACAGGAGGCCAGAAAAGTCATCAGAAAGCTAAGACCCAGGAGCAACCTCACTAACTACCAGCTCTGGGACCCAGGTGTGGGTTGTACAAAGGATTAAAGTGAGCCTGCCAAGCAGCACTAAGCCACACTGGGTAGCATTCCTAGGGCACTGGATTGGGCAAGGAGAGATTGTCTGTTGGAACAGATGTGTCAGAAGCTTCTGGTGGGAATAACTGAAATCCAGTAGTAAAGGCAAAGGGAAGGAAATTTTTGTGAAATAGAATTTTTGTGAATCATTTCTTATTAGTCCAAGCAGTACATGCCTCTTTAGGGAATAGTAGAACTCTCACATCTCAGCAACACCTAGATGGAAGGTTCTTGTCCTGGAAGTGAATCCACATCTAAAATCAATGAGGAGGAAACAAGAGAAAGGACGGGACAGCAAATAAGAGCTGCTCGTTGCTAATTCCTTACTCCTTCCTCCGTATATGCCAGACACTGCTCAAAGGACTTTCACATAGGTTATATTAAACCTTCACAACAACCGCATGTGGTGACTTCTGTTATAATCCTCCATCATTGTTCAAATAGTTGAAGGCCCACCACATGGAACAACAAAGGACCCCATTCTGCACGGATTAATAATTCTGGAAAACTCATTTCAACTGAAATATTTAATATAGTGCTTACAGAACTTATACAGGAAATATGTAAAGGTCAGCTTGTTCCTTCTTGGTTACTAACATTCGTATTTGCTATTAAAGGCAGAACTGAACCGTTTCCAAGATACAAAGAGACTCCTTCAAGATTATTACAGGGGAATGGAAGGCAAAATCCCAATTGACGACATTAAAAGATTTACTCGAGTTCCATTGGTCCAACTAGATAATAGAGAAATTTTGGAAAGCCAACTTAGGTAAGGCAGACCATTGTGTTGCACTATAATTAACTTGGGCATAAAACTTTATGATTTTAAGTTGAATACCACTAGTAAAAATCTGAATCTGCAAATCCAAAATGCAAAAAAACTCCAAAATGAAAACTTTTCTAACTTCAACTTAAGATGATTAATATGCACTATTATCCAAATTATAGTGACTATTTACTCACTTTGCTGCTGAGGTATACTGTGTTTTATTATGAACTACTTCCAAAAGATTCTGCTGGGGATATTAGGGAATATAGAGAGTATATAAATTTTGAATTCTGAAAAACTTTTGGCTCAAGAGTTTTCAGCAAGGAATCATAAATCTCTACCATTTTTATGAAAGGTCCCAAGCACTTTTGTATGTGTATGTGCATGTGTGTGTGTGTGTGTGTGTGTGTGTGTCATGTAAATGAAAATGGAAGAGGTTGTGAGTCTTCTTTTATAGGTAAGGAAATTGAGAAATAGTAAATGTTCAGTTATATGTGATTATAACTTTATGAGGTAAAAGACTTGTCAGTACTTTTACATCAAATTCCCACCAGAGCAAGAAAATAATTATATTTTCAATCAAACATTTCCATCCAATACAAACATTTGTAAATAATTGCTTTTACAGACCCAGTGGGTAAGGGCAGGAGAAGGGCAAGATCCCAAACCCAGAGAAACTATGAACAGATAGAAAAACGTCTTTAAGAAATGGGTGGGGGGGTGCCTGGGTGGCTCAGTCATCAAGGATTTGCCTTTGGCTAGGGTCATGATCCCAGAATCCTGGGACTGAGCCCCGCATTGGACTCCCTGCTCAGCGGGAAGTTTGCTTCTCCCTCTCCCACTCCCCTGTCTACCCCCACTTGTGTTCCCTCTCTCCCCATCTCTATCTCTGTCAAAAAAAAAATCTTTAAAAAACATAAAAAAGAAGAAATAGGGAGTTGGAGTGGTGGTAATCCCAACTCTATAACATTAAGAGAGCAAAAAGTAAGAATAAAATAACAAAAGGAAAACTCAAAATCCTTAAAATTATATGAGTTAATTAAAAATAAATTAATAAAGTAACATTAAGAGTTAAAATAATATTTTCTCATGACCAATAAGGAGGTCATGAGAAAAATAAATGTGAAGAGAGAAAAAAAAGAGGTTAGATTTAAAAAATAATATAAAAGCTGAACATTAAGTTTAAATCTCCAAAGATATGCGATATGTATTGGAGATTGAAAGCAGTATATGTACTTTATTGTACAAGTGTGCTCAAGTCAATGCAGGTAGCACAAGTGGCACAAAACATGCATATATTGTGATTATGTTTTGAAGACAGATAGATCTGGTTTCAATCCTGGATGTTATTTACTAATTGTATGAGAATAAATTAGAACAATTTATTCTGGAAGGAAAGTCACCCCACCTCTCTTAAGCCTTGGTTTTCTTATTTATAAAGTATCTATAAAGTAGGGTGATTGTGAAGATTACAGAAAACGAAATCCTTAAAGCACTGGGTATCATGTCTGGGGATCAGAAGATGAGACCTAGTCTCAGTAACACTCAATAACTGATGACTATTATTAATGCATATTATGACAATAGCCTACATGAAGTATTTTTTATTCTTATATTTTTATATTTTTAGTAGTTTTTAATTTAAATTAAATTGATTAACATATAATGTATTACTTGTTTCAGAGGTAGAGGTCTGATTCATCAGTCTTATATAATACCCAGTGGTCATTACATCATGTGCCCTCCATAATGTCTATCACCAAGTTACCCCGTCCCTCCACCCCTCTCCCCTCCAGCAACCCTCAGTTTGTTTCCTATGATCAAAACTCTCTTATGGTTTGTCTCCCTCTCTGATTTCATTTTGTTTTAATTTTTCATCTCTTCCACTATGATCCTTTGTTTTGTTTCTTAAATTCCAGAGTATTATAGTTGTGAGTATTGCATGTTCTTGCTTTGCTTTATTCTCCCTATACCAAAAAGGATTTGAGATGACCTGAACACAATAAGATTATACATGAGATCTGAGACCCACTTTTTCTCACTCTAGATTTTCTCCATGTAGTCTCACCATGTCCCCATAATGCCCATAATGTAAGCAAGAAAACACAAGAAGGAAAGTACCGTCTTCTTGATACAAATACAAGAGAAATGTTTAATTCAGCAAGCTACTGAAAAGGACTTCAAAATTGAAAACAATAAAAAATTCCAAAGGCAATATGAACCATCAGAGCCATTAAAAGAGGCCAAGTTCCAATGTCTACAGTAGCAGTGCATTCTGTTCTTAGCACAAAATAGCAAGTCAGGCATATTGGGGAAGCTATTAAAGTTGGTTAACAGAATGAAACTGGGAAAAGAACAGCCAGTTCTTATTTTCTGCAAAACAACTGCGTACCAATGTCAACCTCAAATCACTACTATGAGTATCTACTGAAACTCTCAATCAGTGTATCAACCAATCAACTAACCAACCATAGTCTCTTTAAAATGTGTAAGGGAAACAAGCATACTATTAAGCATTTCCACATAGCTGTCTACTTTATTTCTATAAAAACAGGAACAGCAGCAGCATAATAGTAACAAATAATTGGTTTATAATTGCCAGTGACTAAAGATAAGCAATGATAGTAATAGTAGCAATTGTATATTTATATTATTTGAGGAAAGGAGCTTCAGGAAGTCAAGTGTCATGTCCCAATTCATGTATACTGATTGTGGCAGAGCTAGCTAGACCAGATTTTTTTCCAGTAAATGACCCCAAATTTTATTTCTAAATGATATGCCTCCAAAGTAAGGTGTTGGGAAATGCATGTTATACTGTATTAAACATTTAGAGATGATCATACAACCTTTACCTTGTTACACACATGAACCTCAGTGTCTCAGTGACTGACAATTGACATTACTTGATTATTAAAATGGAAATTTTCCTTGTGGGTAGATATGTACTGCATAGAAGAACCTCAGCACCTCAGGCTTCTGTAGGCACAGTACATTGTCAGAATGCCAAGTACCATAAGAATCAAAGAGCCAAGTTCAAGAAACCACATCTAGCATTCAAAACAAGACCAAGCTACTTGTTTGCTGGAATTCACAATCAGCTTTCTGGATCACCACTCTGTTCCCCAGCAGCTTGAGTCTGCCAGACCAAATACTTGATCACTATCATGGCTCCTGACTCTCCTCAAGTTTCAGGGAAGTCATGCTTGGTGCCCAGCCCATGTAGTGGGGGGACAACTTACACTTTGGATCACTGAGGATCGTAATAAGCATTCTGCCTTGGGGATCTCTTCCTGCTTCTCTTAGCACTTGAGATTGGGAGTCCTTCAGGGATAGAATGTTTCAGGGGCAGCTCTAAAATTTCTACATAGGGGCAGCAATATGGCTGAAAGAAGGGAGAGGGAGAGCTCACCTCTGAGTTCCCACAGCACTTTAAAAAGCAAATAGAAAGCTTCATCATCATTACTCTTAAGTGGGGAGGGCTGTTGGATTTTTTCCCCCACCCACCACCAAAACCTTGTGACCTCCACGAATCCTTCCCCCTTGCAATCCTCACATCTGTCATATCCTGCTTTATCACTGTCCACGTCAGGAAGCCAAATAATGCTAGTCATCTTAAAGGAGTGGTGCCCAGTTTTATTTGATTTGCTTTTTCGTGATTGATTTGTTCCTTGTCAGAAGTTGATGCCCCGGACACATTTCAAAATTGCATATCTTCAAGATTCCTGTTGTTTCATTTCCCTCTCCATTATCAATGAGAATTAAACCTAAAAATTATGTTTTGTTACTATTTTCTTCTAGTTTACTCTTGTTAATAAGACTATAAAAATTTGAATACAGGGGCACCTAGGTGGCTCAGTGGGTTAAGCCTCTGCCTTCAGCTCAGGTCCTGGTCTCAAGGTCCTGGTCTCAAGGTCCTGGGATCGAGCCTCACATCAGGATCTCTGCTCAGCAGGGAGCCTGCTTCTCTCTCTCTCTCTCTCTCTCTCTCTCTCTCTCTCTGCCTGCTTGTGATCTCTGTCTGTCAAATGAATACATAAAATCTTTAAAAAAATAATTTGAATACAGTCTTTTTTTTTTTTTTTTGAAGAGAGAGTATGGTGGGAGGGGAGAGAGAGAGAGAATCTTAATCAAAGCAGGCCCCACTCCCAACATGAAGCCCTACATGGGCCTCAATCTCACAACCCTAAGATCATGATCTGAGTCAAAATAAAAAATCAGTCATTTAACTGACTGGGCCACCCAGGTACCCCCTGAATACAGTCTTTTATAGTCTTTTCTTCACTTGAAGAGTTCTTCCAGGACAACTATGAAAGTATAGGTAAAAGCAAGGTAACAAAATTCCCAAAGTAACATGTCAAAAAATAAAATTCTGGTAAATGAAATATTTGTATTTCCTTTTTATTTGTTGGTTTTTCTTTTCAAAGAATTCCTCTAATTTCTCGAATATCCATATCCCCGGATTCAACTATATCCAAACCAAAAACAAAGGCCATACTGAAGGGCAAGATCGATTACTCGCTGGAAAATGTTGAGGCAAACTTTGAGGCAGATGAGAAGTTGTTAATGGACACCTGGCAGCAGGCTTCTTTAGCAATATCTCACATGGTAAGCTGTGCTCATTATTACATTTCCACTAAGCACTAACTTTTGTATATGCTATGAATAGAAAATTTACACAATGTTGTATAAAGCTATACCTTCAGGAACTTTTTTGTCTCGTTTTGTTTACTGAAAGAAATAAGAAATAAAACAATTCAGTCAGCAAATATATGAGCTCAAGAATGGAGGAAATCATTAGATTATTTTTTGTGCTGCGCCAAGGTTCCAAGTGCAGAGACCAAAAGGTTCCTTTGGGAAAAGTCAATGACATGGGTCAAGTATAATGCAGTAAGGGAGGGATGGGGTTGTGGCCTAGTGGAAATCACACTCCTAAAGAGGTATGTGCTACATCTCCCAGACCAAATACCATTTAAGAATGAGGCCCAGTATGGCCAGACTTTACAATTTTCCAGGAAAAGCCAGAAATTCAGATTTGTATGTGAAACCTACTGATTTTAGATTGTTAGAAATTAAATCAAATTTATAAAACTTTATAGAGCTAAGAAAAACACACATCTGGCCTGTAGATCTCTAGTTTGCATAAGCTAACTATGGGGTAAGTATTATCCTCATTACCAAGGAAAACGAGGATCCAGAAAGGTAAAAAATTTTGCCAAGGTCACTTAGCAGGTCATGTATCAACAAGGAGATCTGACCTAGGACTATATGAATTCAAAGTTCATGTCCTTTTCAGCTTCACTGGGAAACCAAGGGACAGCAATAGTCCCTGTGTTTAAGGGGCCCATACCAAATCAAAAGAGAAGGAAAGAGCATACAGATAACTTTAATGTAAGGAGAAGCTTCCCCCTGTACAGAAGGTGCACACAAGGTTTAGCTTGGAGGACCACTGTTCCCTCACCCTCCAGTCCTAAGTGCCCAAGGTGGTTCTGTTTTCATTCTGTGCCAGGTGTTCTTTGAGTTTCCCCAAAATATCCCATCCAAACAGGAAGCAGTGTCAACCTTCCAAAACACTTTGTGGAAGAGATGGAAGAAGTGGAAGAGGAGCTTACCTCAGAGTCTCAGAGGGAGGAGGTGACACTTCTGACTGGGTGTTTTCCAAGTCCCTTTCTGGCCACTCTACCTCCATGGTTCTTTTCTCTAGTTCATCCCACAACAGCCTTAGTGTTCTGTCCTCCCTTTCTGTTCTTCTTCTCTTCCCTTTTTTCTTCCTTCTTTCATTTTTCCCTCTCAAAAGTGATTGTAGTTGCCTTTCATTGTCTTGCTTCTTCTATAAAAAATTTTAGTGGGATTTTGACACAACTAAGAAAAGTGCATGAAGTAGAACTGCAGGGCTTGCTGAACACAACTAAAGTTACTAGTGGAACCAGCACATGGGAGAAATGGGAAAGATCCACACCTACCCAGTCCTTGCCCCTTCCCAGTCCTAATCCCCTGGATTCCTACAACGTGGACCCTCCACTTGCCTTTTGACTAACCATTCCCTTGATATTCATAAGTTTTAAGTTTATTATACCTCTACACAGTATACTTTAGCTTTGCTTGCTTTTGAATTTCAAATATATGGACTCATATCTTTTGTCTCTTTGTGTTTTCTTTTGCTCAACATTATGTATGAGATTAATTCAATGTTGTTGAGTGGAGCTGTAGTCCATTCCTTTTTGTTGTTATACATTGTTTCATTATATAAATTTATCACAGTTTATTGAACTAGTCTGCTACTAATACACATTTGGGCTTCCAGTTTGTGCCATTATGGATATCCTTGCTATGAACATTCTTGTACTTGTCCACTGATGCACATATGCACACACAACCTTTGGATATATGGCTAAGAGTGGTTGCTGTCTTCAATGTCAGTAGATGATACTATACATAATACTTCAGTTTGTATAAGTAATACCAGATTTTTCCCATTCACTGCAGTATTATCTTTGTCATAAATTAAGTGACCACATATCATAAATTAGTTCTGTTGCATTACTCTATTTTTCCATCCTTGTACCAAAACCACATAATATCATATCATTTGTTATCCAGATGAGCAAATCTTCCCACCTTGTCAGCTGTCCAGTGCATTTTGGCTTTTCTTGGCTCTTTGCCTCTCCATATAAATTTTCAAGTCAGCTTGTCAAAATTTACAAAAGTGTTGGCTGTAGATTTTTTCGATGTTATTTATCAGATTATGGAAGTTTCTTTACATTTCTAGCTTAGTGTGAGGGTTTTTCATAAATATATTAACAAATAATTTTCATGCATCTATTGAGATTGCAAAATTATTTTTTTTCTGTTTTCTATCAATAGTGAAATATCATATTGGTCAATTTTCTAATATTAAACTTACATCACATCCCTGGAATAAGCCCAACATTATAATGAAACATCATACTTGTTACATATTGCTGGATTTGTTTTCCTAATAATTTACTTAGGGTTTTTGAATCTGTTTATGAGTGAGAAAATCCTATAATTTGTCTTTCTCATACTGTCCTTGTCAACTTTTAACATTCATGTAATACTAGCCTCATAAATCAAGTCAGGATATGTTTCCTTTCTTTTTATTCTTTAGAAGAGTTTGAGGAAGTTGGAATTATTCCCTCTTGAAGTGTTCAGTAGCCCTATCCAAGAGGCCATCTGGGCCTGGTGAACTAAAACTTTTCTTACTAGGAGGTAATCTTCCTTATCTATAGTGGTTTTTTAGAAATTATGCTTTTAAATATTGTTTACACATTATATCTTTGTTCACTGTCTTATTTTTATCCTTTCTGTATCTTTTCCTGTTTGCTCTTTCACTCCTACTTACTTTTAGAAGTAGTGCATTATATTATGTTCTTTTACTGGTTACCATAGGTTACACCATAAATTGTTAACTTATCAAATTCTAAATAGTATTTAGTCAGTAATTCATGGTGTTATCTCTAGAGTAACCATTAAGTGAATTAGTGTGTATGACTTCCAAACTAATATAAAGAAAAACGAATAAATTTAAAATATTAAGTCCAAAATAAGAAAAGAAAGGAGGAGAGAAAAAGATTTAAGACAAACAATACAAATAGAAAACACCTAGTAAGATGATAGATGTAGACCCCAAATGTATCGATAGCTACTTTATAAGGCAAAATGATCCAGTTAAAGGAAAGAGATTAATTTATTTTGTTTAAAAAAGTATGTGATGCTTATAAGAACACAGAAATCATCTTCTGTTATTGACCAGAGAGGAAAATGAGGTAGTATGATGACTTCCAGTAGCCACCGTGGAATCCTAAACCCTTGACCCAGAGGCTCAGAGCTCCCCACCATGCTGGTACCAACTCATGAAAACTTCTCATAAAGTAACTAAATACTGGTTCCTACATATTTCATCAGCATTAACAATTTTCATGCCTTGGCCAATGTCATCTTTCTCTCCTAAAATATGTTCTTCCTTCCTTCTATTTGATTAAACTATATGCTTTCTGAAAGTCTTCAGAGGTAGTTCCTGCTTTGATTCCTGAGTTGTTGGTTGCTGTTTGAAGCCCTTGTCTTCTCTGATCATGTGCTCTTCCAATCCCTGTAGCAGTATTATCTTACCAAACATCCAGCTCTTCCTATCTAGGAAGATTCTAGGTGATTGTAATGTTAATCTCACTATTTTCCTAAAATAGTGATTGTAATATTTATCTCACTATTTTCCTAAACACTGAACACTGGATTCTAAGACTTTTTATACACCCTACACCTGGCAACATGCCCACATCTAATATGATACTAAGCTCTCAGCACAGTCTGACATTGGACTGCTGCTGTACCAAAGATGCTGAAGTTACTACTGATGATGATGCCAATGACCATGGTGATGAGTTTGATTACAACTACCAAGCACCAGAGAATGGGAAACCAAAGCTAGGAGTTTGAGGGGGGAATAAAAGGAATTATTATTCTTATGAGCTACATAATTTACAAGTCTTACAAATCCTATTAGAATTTCCTAGGGGAGATGACATTGTAGAATATTATATTATTGGAAAGAGCAGCACACAGCACAAAGAGCACTGGCTACCACTCTGGGTTTAGTTGTATGATTTTGTGGAAATAACCTCTTCCAGTCTTCAATTCCTTATCTGTACATGGGAGATATTCCACATACCTTTCCTCTCATGAATGGTTGGAAGATCCAATGAAATAATGTATGCTGTCTTGGAAATTGTAAATATAATAGATCATGACGTTAAAAATTTATTAACAATTGTACTATTTTCCTTGTGGACTTTAAAAACCACATAGAGGGTTGCCTGGGTGGCTCAGTCTGTTAAGTGTCTGCCTTGGGCTCAGATCATGATCTCAGGGTCCTGGGATCAAGCCCCACATTGGGCTCCCTGCTCAGCAGGGAGCCTGCATCTCCCTCTCCCCACTGTTTGTTCTCTCTCCCTCTCCCTCAAATAAATAAATAAAATCTTAAAAAAAATAAGTAAATAAAAGCCACATAGAAACAAGGGAGAAAAGTTTAGTTAGTACTAATCTAATTAGTATTCCTAATAAATATATTTGAATCCTGCTTTTGTGTCTCTAACAGACGTTTATGACCTTGATATCACGTGACCTTAAAGGGAATTTTAAGTTTCCAGTGAGACAGACATGCCTGGGCAAATGACTGTAGGGATAAACAGTGCCAGCAGGGATGAGAGCAACTGAAAGGAGAAAGTTTTAACGGGGGCCTTTTCCTACACAGCAGTCCCACCAACAGCTACTCGTTTAGTGTGCAATGTTAATTTTTAGAAAAACTTTCTTCTAATTAACAGGTATGCAATGATTTCAAAGAAATAAGTCATAGTTAACGCCCACAATGTCAAGACATTATTTCTAGAGTTTCTTTAGACTTACAGGTAGATTGCTGAATGTATTGTGAATTATGTTAAATTTTGAAAGAGGCTCAGAAGTCTTTGAGGGAAGTGGACCCAAAAAATGCAGATGATGATAATTATCATCACCACCACCACCACCACAAAGTTGTTTATAAAGGAGAAAAATCCAATTTTAAAGGGAATTGCTAACTTACTGTGCTTTGCAAAAACAGATTGAAAACTGAATTGCTTGCAATTTGGGGGGGAGATTAACAAGTCTGCTTTCAGCTTTACCAAGAATTTTAAAGCACAGCAGATATTATGAAATCCATTTTTATGGCTTAAGGGCATCTGATTAAAACCACATATGTACACTCACACAAAACTGGCTTGTTCTCTGAAATCTTTCTGTATTTCTCCAAAGTTCCACTGATCTTAAAGAAGCTGTGGGTAAGTTCCGTGGAATAAGATCATTTAAAAAGAAATTCCATCTATTAATAATCATTTCCTGGGCATTCCCTATGAGCATAGCAGGTGCTAAAAGCTGCTTGAAGCCCATTTGGAGGGTGGAACAACATTTAACATTCATAGAACAGTTGGGGACAGCTACATGCTGAGCCCAGGGGTATGAAGTGTGCAGGAACTAGGAACACTTGCCCCTAGTTCCACTTGCCCCTAGTTCCTGCACACTTGGCTGGTGTATCTCACCAGGGGAGAGGAGAGCTTATGACTTAGTCATCTTTCTACTCACCTCCATTCAACTTCCTTTTTCTCCTCTGAGCCCCTCACCTATTCCTCCCCAGAAATAACACCAGGCTTGGACACAGTAGGCACTTTAGTAAATGAATTCTCATGATCTCCCCATTTCTTTACCAGTTGGTTTATTGAGATTTAAGGTTTTCAAACATATGTTTCTCCTCCCTCCTCTGGGTTTGGCAGGTTTTCTTTCTCCCTTTTGGGAATCTTTTCTCAGCTCTCATTTCTGGGGACTACACCCTCAACTGCTCTTCACCTCTCCAGGGGCAGCTGGTTTTATTTCGAAAGGTCTGGCCTTTGAAATGCGGGCCCCAGTTGCACCAGCCTCAAGACAATTTTTCTCTGCTTCCTGAAGCACAGAACTCTGGAGGAGGCATGGAGGGGTCGCAACTGCACCGCACCCTACTCCTTCTTCAGCTACAATGAGGAGGCCCCGAAACTCATCTCTCACACCAGGACACTCCACTCACGCGAGTGAAAGGAGGGGGTAGCTGAGATGGCAGGAAGCTGCAAGTGCCCTGAGTAGAGGAAGCTGAAAAGTCATCCTCGTGAGCCCTGCGCCTTCTGGGATGATGTCTAGTGTTAGAGGAGAATGGAAGCCCAGAACGCAAGCATCAATGAGCCCAAATAATACAGGGCATGCAATCCAAAACTTGGTTGGGGAGCAGGAGAAATTCTGACCCATTTTATGTATAAAGCACAGTTATAGGTAAAATATGTGGACAGATGCAATTCTGCAGTATTTAAAATTTCATGGAGGGGCACTATTAGGAAAATCTGTCTTTAAAACTCTGTGGGGCAGTGTTTAATAATGATGATGATGATGATGATGATGATGATGATGATGATGATGTGAGAAACACTGGTATGGGGGAATGCCCTGGAAGAATGGTGAGTGTTAAATCCATAGAGTCTGAGATTAAAAAGAAAGCTTTTCAAAAGCATCATTGTGGAGTGTGGCGGTGGCAATGAAGAAACATAAGGTTGAACTGCAGTCAGGGCTTGAGAAATTGAGCAATACACAGACACGAAGAAAGCCACTTCTTGGAGCCTGGGCCAGGTTTCCATGCCAGTAAAACACTGAAGTGTGTCTTCTGTAAAGACTGGTACATGGCATGGTTGTTTACAAGAGAATGAGGCTTCAGTTCAACTGGGCTATGACTAAATCCACATGGCTCTCATATTTAAGTGTCGCATTCATCGAAATCTTGCTTGTATCCAACCAGGTGGCTGCTGAAATTCATCAGAGGCTCATGGAAGAAGAAAAGGAAAACCTGCCAGCAGACACAAAAGAAAAATCTCCTCAGATGGGTACAAATAAAAAAGTCAAAAAGGAACCACCCAAGAAGAAAAAGGCAGACAAAAAAGCAAAAGGTAGTCAAGGCTTTGGCATCCAAAAGTGCAGATGCTTAAACTGTCCTGGATAGAACACAAATGTCTAAGCAGGCACGTTAAGCTACTGTTGGTTTGGTTTGGTTCTGAGACCCAGGCTCCGGTGGTGTTAGCTGGCTAATCATACTGGGTTCCAACCAGTCTCACCTAACTTGTTTATCCAAATAGCCGAGCATATCCAAGGTAAAATAACCCTTAAGGACAGTTTGGAACATGCTAGAAGAACTCCAGATGGCACTGTGTAATCTGCAAAGTGGACACAAAAGGGGCTGTAGTAACTGAGAAGAGGTTGGGTGAAAAGCAATTATATGTATGTAAGTTTCAGGTTGAATTCAGGTTTCTGGTTTAATTCAAGCAAGTTCCTCTATTCTGGAGGCCTCCTGCCTAGCTCTGCCTCAGAGGCCTGAGGAGAAAGCAAAGGCAAGAGAAAACTCAGGCTGAGACAGACCTCCTGTCAGCCTTGGGGATTAACTCTGGCACAAACATTATGCCCCCTCTGAATGTCTTCACTTGCACATATTTAAGGTGAGTTGAGGCAAGAGAGGAAGAGACAGAAGCACGGGGGCAGAAGTCACTTCACTAGGCAGTTGCTCACGAGACACTTGTTAAGCACCCACTAGAAGAGAAGCATGCCACGATGGGGGCTAAGGACACGATGGTGAACTTCAAGGACGAAAACAAAACACAGTCCCTACCCTGATGGGAACTCAGTCTAGCCCCAGAGACAGACAGTTGATCCATCATTGTTCTTTAGTGGAAGAGGTGCAGGCGACCTTGAGCGCAAGGTCACCTCAGTCATTCTGAAGAGTGGGGAAACACTTCCCAGCGGGAGTACATTTAAACAGCCCTGAGGAGGAGTTGAGGAGGTGGGCATGCCTGGGGGTGAGGGGTGGCACTTGAAGCCAAGAGAAGAAGAGCACCACAAGGAAAAACACACCACTTAGTCCATCTCAGATGGTAAAATTGAAAGACATAAGCAGCATTTGGAGGACATGCTTCAATGTACTTTTAATGGATAAATGGTTGAGTCTAGTCCCTTAATTTTACAGATGATAAAACAGAAATTGAATGAGATTAAGCTCCCTTTCACCTGTAATTCATACATCTACTGTTGCAACTACATTTTTTAAAAAGATTTTATTTCTTTGACAGAGAGACAAAGAAAGATCACAAGCAGGCAGAGAGACAGGCAGAGATTGAGGAGGAAGCATGTTCCCCACTGAGCAGAGAGCCCAAAGTGGGGCTCGATCCCAGGACCCTGAGATTATGACCCAAGCTGAAGGCAGAGGCCCAACCCACTGAGCCACCCGGGCGCCCTGCAACGACATTTTATTACAGTTTCTTTATTTACAGTTATGTCTTCTTCACATGACTCGAACCCCTTGTGGTCAAACCTTCAAGACAGATTTATTGCACTAAGTAGAACTACGTAAAGGAAGCCTGCAGCTAAAATCACACTGCCATTTCTCAAGGGTAGATTGTCAGATAAATGCTGACAAATTCTTATTTTCTAATTCTCTTATATAATCATGGAAGTACTTCCAGTTAAGTACTACTGAAAAGATTGTTAAGTAGATTACAGATTCTTGACTGTGAGCCACATTTCAGCCATCTTGTGGATGTTGTCAGCTGGTCTTTCCTTCACGAGGATCTGGTACGCACTTGGCTAACACTAGTACCTCTGACGGAATAGTACTTCTGCAGCTGGCTAATGGCCTCCATGCTGTGTTGCAGTTTGCTGACTTCCATCGCCAAACTCTGCACTGCACCTTCCTTGGAGTCTGTAACTGTGTCTGTGCTCCCTGCACACCTCATTTTCCCATGATGCTACACAAAAGGGGCATTTTCACATGTGTCTAGCCTAGATAACACCTGGAGAATTCTCAAGGAAAGATCCATACTTCCCACTCACAGTCAGGACTAGGGTTGGTCCTTTCCAAATCCCAAGAGGTTTGCGGTAGACCTGCACATGTCGCTTGGTCCCCATTTTTGTCCAAGGAGCTGTCCGTCCTCTTGCATGCTGGCTCGCTCCTCCCCAAGTTCCACTGTGCTTTCAGGCAAATCACCACCGATGGCAGAAGTCACGCCTGTGACGGTGACAGCAGAGGAGATTGCCCAAATGGAAAAGAGAAAAGAACTGATGCTCAAAATCAAGGAAGAACACCTCGCTGCCCTGCAATTTGAAGGTAGCATTTGGAAAGAACTGAGATGATTCTTTTCAGTGGGAAACAGACCAGTAGAAAAATAGCTTTTGAATGGCTAAAGTTGTGTCGGGGGAACACAGAACAAAGGGATTGAAAAGTACAGCATTTCATTGGCTGTATTCAAGGACCACATGAGGGCTAGATTCAGCCGTCCTATAACTGTCTGCTGAGATCTCAGAAAGAGAAAATTTGGGAGGGGGCTAGGAGAACACCAGCAATACTTAACACTCTCAGAGAATAGACACAAAAGAATATGTCAGAGTCTGTGTGGTTTTACAGGGGTGGTTTTCTATGTGAAGAATAGTTGAGGCCTCTCATTAGGGAAATAAATCCCAACTGAAGGCTAACAGGCCCTGAAAGTGAGTTCTTGGTAACAGAGGCCCTAGAAGAGCCAGTCCGGGATCCATAATGTTCAAGAGCTTCCTTTTCTATAGGTAGCAGTGATTTTACAAGATATATCCTCCTGGCCCTTCCACTTGTCTTAGAATGCAACTGAAAATGGACTTTGAAAAAAATCAGGAAAATGAGCAAATGAGGCCAGTGGCAGTGGAGGAAGCAGCGAAGAAACATGGGAAATCTATTTTAGAACTAAAATCCACAAACCTTAGTGCGTGCCATGGGCAGCAACAGGCCCTGGAATACAGAGAATTTACCCTAGTTTGACCAGTGCTAAGAAAATACAATGGTGTTGCCATCCTGAGGTTCTTTAAGTAGGGAAATATCCAGAGACTTTGTATCTTCCCCCTTTTGAAATTCAGAGATTATCTATTTGTTCTTTCCCACTCCAACTTATCAAAGAACATAATGCTAAAAAGTGTAATAAATTTAAAGCTCAGTTTATAATAGTTTTGGCTTAAATAAATTGTCAAATGACCCTACCATGCATTACCCATTTTTTTCTCAGCGACATAGATTAGTTATTACTTATACTCATATATTAAATGTGCACCTACATCTTCACAAACTGAAGCATGATTGGTTTAAAATTGAATTCAGCTGATGAGAAAATGCATATATATATATATAATCCTTCATTTTCTTTTTAGAGATAGCCACACAGTTCCGGCTTGAACTGATAAAGACCAAAGCATTGGCTTTCCTTGAAGATTTAGTAACAAAGGTGGTCGATGTATATAAACTCTTGGAAAAGTGGCTTGGTGAGAGGTACTTGAATGAAATGGCCAGGTAATGTACCCCATGGCTTTTCCAAAGCGTATTTTTTTTTTTTAAATTCCTGGAGGTCAAAATTAGCAGGTTTTTAGGCATTTACAACTGTAAATTACATTTGCAAATAGAAATTTTGACCTTTTAGGGAATCAGGTATACATTTGTATTGGTTCCTCTCAAACACTAAGTCATGTGTCAAACTGTCCTGTTGCAATGTCCAGTTTTACACATCATTTATGAGTTTGGTTTTTAGGCTGCTTGATGAGGACCATAGTTTACAAGGTATGTTATAGGTAATTTTAAAATATTTTTTTAGAAGTACTTACTTAGAAGTACTTACTTAGAAGTAAGATTGTGTTTCATATCTTTCTAATGTTAGACTTATTTTTAGTCAGGGCTGATTAATGGGAGACTAACAAGTCCAAAACAACTGCAATGTTTTATTAGTGAGGCTGACTCCCTTGTAAGGGTAATACGCAGTTCCACTTTACTCTTCGGTTCCAAAGGTTTTTCAGACTTCTCATCTCTAGTGAGGGACAGAGAGTCTCATTCTCTTAATTCTCCCCTAAAAAGAAGCTCAGCAAAGCAGAAACAGCCCTCAAGTGAGAGTCAGGTAACATGATGTTCCAAGAGATGGGGATTCCCTCATTGTCCACAGATGAGCACCATGCCTACTTGCTCGGGGCCCCATGGCTTCATTTATAAAAGGAAACACAGCATCCAGCTATTTCAGAGGTTTCTATTAGATCTAGATTCTGGGAACACTACAGTTTGGAATAAACATTGGCTGGAAATTTAGAATTTGCTACCTACATAGAATACAAATGGCAAGCATTCTCAGAAACAACTATTGTCTGGAAGATAGTTGTTATGGTTTGTTTTCTATAATCCTTGTCTCATAACGAAAGTTCTGTTGTAAAATCTTCATCCTAGTTTTTTTAATATCTGTTGTGCTATATAATAACTAACACACACACACACACACACACACACACACACACCCCTCAACCTGGTAACCTTACTGCAGTAAGCTTAAAATAATTTTACTACTGGGTAGCCAAGTCTGTTATCGTTAGCGTCACAGAGCAGTGATGTTCAGTTCTGTTCTCTGCCTGCCACTTACAAATGAAAATGTATTTTCTTAATTCATAGCATTCACAACTCCCAGCCACGTGACCCTCAAGAGTAAATGCTGCTTATTTTTTTATCAGAGGCACTCCAATTTCTCAGATTTATATTCTGTGTATATATCTGACCCCTGAATGTGACCACAGGAAGTTAAAACCAGGACTTTTCAGCCCTGCTTTCTGCTTTGGTTATTGTACAAATTCTCTGGTGATAAAGGGAAAATATAGAGAGAGCTACCAGATCCCTCAGAACTCCAAATCTTGCTTTCCATTCCCTTGGCATTTTTAAATCTCTTCTGTTCCTGGTAACCTCCACTAGGTGGAGCACACCCATTTTGAGATCCTGGTTGTGGCTCAGTCTTGGTCGGCAGTGGGATGCCTTCCTCACTCAAGGGAGCAAAACTTAGTTGCTAACCATTGCCTTTCTCCTACACACCCCAGCGCACACACACCAGGAGGCATAAATGAATTAGATAATACGCACTATGTGGGCACTTGCTAGTATAGCATGCTGGAGTTGAATTCTAGGGTTGTCTTTTCAAAGAAAGCAACTAATACTATTTTTTAAAATTTTCAGTCTATAATATATTTTGGTGTTCCTCGGTTACATAAAAGTAGATTAAAAATGGATTTTTCCATCATGTCCTAACTTTATTGTAAACTAGAAACACAGTTCTTCCTGTAATACAGTAATATCATATTTATTCGTGTATAAAACTTCTCTGGCTTTTGAAATGGCCCTTTAATTAGGGCCATAACTATAATTCCCAGTGTAGGTTAAATCCATGCTCTGTGTGATTTCATATTAATAATTATAAGGTATGGAGTTACACGTTACTGGCTTCATGCAAAGATAAGGAAATTCAGGGAGCTTAAATAAGTTCCCAAGGACCTATGGCTGTGGAGTGTTCTGGAATGAGAGCTCAGCTTCCAGGGTTCTTTCCACTGCACCTATTATTGCTTATACTACATGATTTAACTAGGAATTACTGTTTGTAAAAATAGAAAGCAATTTAAATGTGTTTATATTATGAGAGTCCATTCTGACTTTGTGTTTTAAATAACATCAAACTCCTCCAGTCAAAGTTAGAGAAAAGTCACTCTTCCAGAAATCCATTATCAAATTTGATTAACTTAATAAGTTTTCCTGATTCCAAATAAATGTGTCAATCTAACAGTTGTATTTTACAGATTCTTCTGCCATATAACTTTATTCTGGTGCATGCTTAGAATGAAATATATCTCTTGACACAATCTTAACTTACACAGTAAAATATATTCTATTACTAATAAAACCATATTTGATGAAGTCCCTTTTTGTTCAGCTTTGTATACATACATGACCATGAGCTTTATAGTGAGCATATATCTTATTTCCCATCTACACTTATTTAATTATACTCTGTCTTTTCACAAAGTGGGTTTGAAGAGAATTGGAATTTGTAAACATGCAGATTGAATTGTCTACTTTAGCTATACAATGTGTAGACTCTTTGTTTATGTCTAGTAAGCAAACACTGTTAATCCAGTAGTATTTAGTGGGGATAACCCTTTGCATTTTTCCATTTTCAGTGTGGAAAAATTAACTGAGGTGGCTCGCTATCACATTGAAACATCTAAAAAAATTCAGAATGAACTTTATTTAAGCCAAGAAGATTTCTTCATTAATGGCGATGTGAAAGTCTTTCCAGACCCTCCTCCCCCAGTGCGCCCCCCACCTGTGGAAAAGGAAGAAAATGGCACCCTGACCATCGAACAGCTTGATAGTGTTCGAGATCAGTTCTTAGATATTGCACCTAAAGGTAGGAAAAATAATTATCATGAAAAAGCACAAAAAAAGTTTAGGACTCATCAGGGTAGCAGTCACCTGCTCACAAGTAAAATCAGCCCCCTGGGTTGCATGTCACCAAAATGAGCCCTCACTCTGCTCCAGTTTCTCACACATCTGCTTCATACAACCTAGATCTGAGTGAAACAAACAGGAGGAAACGTGACTGATCCTTTGGCAGTGTGGTGGTCTTCATTCCTGGTAATTCTCCTCTTCAGCCCATCCCTGCCCCTGGCCAAAAAGTTGGTAAACTTGGGTCTGACTCTGGCAGTTGAGAAAGACAGCATTTGGACATATGTCCAGTCTAGGGTTTGGACTAAGACGATGAGTTTGTGTTTCTGTCTCCCCTACTAGTCTGTGGAGGAAGACCAGGGAGTAGAGAATTTCCCCTTTCCCTCAATGCTTCACGACTAAGAATAGAACCAGGGAACCTGTCAACAAAATATTTGCTTAACTGATGAAGGTGTTCGCATGCATGTGCACATAATATTTTATGTTTTACATGAATTCTTTATTTCCTTCACATGTTATCATTATGACTCTGTAACATGTGCAAGTGCTTTCTTTAAAAATTCATTCTCTTTCTACTTCCAGATATTCTTCAATGAATTCCATCAATTGATAGCACAAGTAATTCAGACAGATCATATAGAACTATCATCTCATCTCCATTTTATTGGTCTGGACACTGAGTCACAGAGCAGTTTTTACATATAGTCATATGTCATTCAGGCCTCTTTGGATTCAAAGCTCTTGCCCCTTCTCACTGAACTAAGTCACCTCTCATAATCAGGTTTATTTTATCTCCCAACATCCATGTATTGGAAAATCATTACTTTTCCCTAGAGAATAGCCAACTGACTTTAATCTAGCACTAACACGATTCCACTTTCATGGTGAATATACTCATTTGTTTTTTTTAAAGTCAAGTATTTCTATAAATCTCCATTGAATCTCATTAGTCAAAAGGGTATTCCTTAATTCTAAATCAGAACATCTCCTGGCTAAGCCCAGCAGATGAAACAAGGTGTAACCATGGGCCCCTGGAGGACCCCCTTCCCTGGCACGCATCAGCTCATCTAACCAGCATGAGCGGACTCCACCTCCAGTACATAAAGGCACACATGACAACTGTTGATGGATACCAACTCCGGTTGGTGGTATTTGGGCAGGAAGGAAATGCAGCCATCAGCAGGTATCAAGAAATGGCAGTTTTATAAAGCCAGCCCATGAAATCCCTTCCATCCGACAGGCAGATTCTATTCTCTTCCCCACGGTGTGGGATTCACAAGGCCCTCTTATTACATATTTCCTTCTCGAGAGTTGCTTTTGCTCTTCATTATATCTACACTAATTTTTATGTTTAAAACAAAAAGATGCATATATAAAGATTCTGAATATGAAATACGCTTTGATTTAATCCTACACTAGGGTGATGAGAAGGAAATCATCCAATTAGCAGGTCAAAACTAAAAGCATTTGGGGGCATTTGAGTAGGTGGAAGTGGATTTTGAAAATTATCAACCACTCATAATCCCTTTTAAAAGGGACCTTGGTATTCATGATGACAGCCATAATACATTCTTGGATCCAACCTCAAAACCAGAGCCTCCATTTCAACTAAAAGTTTAAAAACAACAAATAGCAGCTGTAAGTTGGCAGACACACGTCTTAGAAGATTAACTCTACAAACCCTTGGGACTAAAGCATGTCAACTGATACATTTGTCTGTTATCTGAATATGGTATAATGAACTCAACAGCTTACAAAGTATGGTGGAAAGAGGAAGGAAAGGGGGAAAGAAAGGAGGGAGATAGTTATATATTTTTTAAAAAGTAGATGCAATAGGAAAACCACTTGCCCAAGGGACTTAGAGTGTAATTTGAAAAGGCAAGCAAGGAAGAAGAAAATATAAACTTCTATTTAATTTCTTTCTGGAAGAGCATATGAACTTTATAAAAGTGCTCAGGAATGCAGAGCAAAAGAGGATCAGTGCACAATGAGGTCAGTCAGGGGTGAGGGAAGGTTTGAGGGGATACTACCTTGGAGGAAGGAACTGGAAGAAGAGGGATTGATTGCAGGGATACAGGGGATATTTCAAGTCAGAGGAACAGCCCCAGGCCAGCATGGAGATTAGAGGCATGGGTGTGGATGTTCTGGGAAATGTCAGGAGTCTGCTTTGCTTCCCCAACCTTAAGAACCTCAGGCAAACAGATGAGGAGGCCTTCTCTGAGGAACCACCACCATCCACCCAAGCTGGAGAATTATCCCAGATTCAAGAATAACCATTGTAATTACTGCAAGGTTTACAAGGCTATACAATACTGTGAGATTGGGGGGTCTTAAGGGTTCAAAATGACTTCAGGGCTATGAGCAATCAGTTTAAATTCTTCATTATTAGCTCAGTTATGCTATATGAACACATGCACACATGCACACACACACACACACACACACACATATTCATTGCTTTTTAAGTATGTGTAAAACCTTAGCACGGTATCAGGTAGTCTATCAATAAAAAGAATGTTCATTGTTCTTATTCTTGCTAATGTTGTAAAAGGAAGACAAAATAATTATCATTCCATTTTCTTGCTCCCAGAGTCACAGTTCTGTGATGTTTTCTTTGAAGTCAGGCTGCAAATGCAGACATTGCCCCTCTCTGAGGAAGTCCAATAATCACCACCCACCCTTTCTCCCTGACACCTTTAGCTCCCAAGACATCCTCTGACTTTAGTCTTTCTTCCTCACTCTTTCTTCCTGTTGTCCACTGCCTTAAATGATACACAGCCATCCATCTTTTAAATGAACTCTTTTATCATATTCCTTCTGAGAAATGGAAAATAATCTTTTATGGCATCTTCCACTGTATTTACCTCAGAACTGTATAATTTGAAAAGACAAGCTCAGTTGAAGTAATCAGTTTTGAAAGTATGGAGCAACTGGTTGAATGTGGCACATTTCTAAATGTGTGATCCTACAGAACATCTTCCTTGAACTTGAAAATTACTGTTATTTTTAAGAATGTATTTTTGTATATTAAGAAATATGAGCATTTCCATGAACTATTTCATATATGCCAGTGTAACCTATGGTATCTAAGAGGCAACTCTCATGCTTACTAAAATATGGTGAAATATGATGAACAGATGTGTTTTTCTCTAGGAAAAAGCATACATGTTCACACATAGTCATTATATTACTAGGCCTGCAGGAAGAGGTTTTTAGCAAATTTATAAAGAATGGTCATATCATGAAGTTCCACTTTGGTAACTTTTAATTATGCTACATAAATAAAATTATTTATGGATATAAATATATATACACATATGCCAGAAAAGAAAAATAACCTTATGCATGATAATCATACAAGATCATGTGAAATGCAATGAAACCATTTATCATGCTAGCATTTTTCTTCCCACCCAGCAAAGAGCCACACTTGAGAGTCTTAGGAGCAGCTTAAGTTAGAGACAGCCAGTGAATCGGCAAGACATTCTTTCACTGACTGTCCCAGGAATCATTCCCACAACAGTACTCCCAGCACAAAGGGAGATTTAGTGAACATCTTCTGAATTCTAATAGCCAGTACTGGCATGGGGTCTGGCTCCATGTGTCAGGCCCCATGCTAGCCTTTCCATGTTGATTCACTTCTTACCCATGGCTGGCTGAGTAAGAAAACCCAGCCATGGGTAAGAAGAATCAGACAGCTCTTTTCAAATCCACCTTTTGTCAAATGATTGTAGTATGTTCTGGGGCAAGTTAATTAGCCTCTCTCAGTCTCAATTTTCTCATCTGGACAATGGGGTATATCAATAGAGTTGCTATGAGCTTTAAAATAATTTATGTAAAGTGTTTAGGAAGTGTCCGGCACATTGAATGTGCTATGTAAGTGTAATATAAGCCATTATAATTTAATTATATAGTTAGAGTAATATCATATTATTATATAATATGTAAAATTATACAATAGTGATTCAAACTATTCCAGTTATTACTCAAAATGTTAGCTCGGTATCCTGAAGGTACACATGGCACAACAGGCATCTATAGCATTACCCTAGAATATTTCCAGAAAAAAAAAAAATTAAACCACCTGATAGAATTAAACCATAAGGTATGTGGCCCCCCAAGGGAACATAAACATCCCAAACAAAAACAGTTATTTTGTGTAGCGCATTGAGCTCTGGGTAGGAACATCTTGTCTCTAAACATCAAGTGCCAAGCACATCAGGAAGGCAGTCTTTCTCCAGTGGAAGCAATTTGGAGTCTGTTGAAACTAGAACACTTTAGCAATGTTCCTCAGTCCCCACTTAAACCAAAAGAACTCCTTTTCTTTGTAAACCCATCAGTATTCCATGTAATGTCTGTAGAGATTTGGTTCATGGCTATTTTGGCTTCTGCTGAGAGGCTATCTGGGGAGAACACAGTCCAGCAAATTCCACCTCCTCTCTCCTTCTTCAAGAGAGGCAACATTTAGTTGCTAGAGGCTATGAAATTGTTCTAAAAACTCACAAGGGGCTCCACCTCTGAACCTCTTCCAGAAACCCTTAGGATCAGTGATTGGTCTCAGAGACAGAAGTTACAAACAGAACTCTTGTCTGTGGTGGCTAAGCTAGATTATTTGGCTACATGGTTTTTACAAGAATTCAGAGGAGGAAGTAGTTACTACTGCCTATGTGGGTCAGCATAGGGGTTAACCCAGTAGAGAATTTTCAACGGAACCTTCCAGGAAGAAGAGCTGGGGAAAGCAGGCAAAGGGGAAACTAGAGTAGACATGGAGATTTTGAAGTTGCATGACATATTTCTTCAAGGAACAGCAAACAGACAGCTGGGGCAGGAGACAGGAGGTGAGGACCACAGAGAACTTGTGGTCAGATTGTGAAGTCTCAAAGTGGTTTACAAAGGACACGCAGGAAAGGATTATCAAAGGCCTTTAGTGCCAGATGATGTGGTGAGTGGATTACAAGGAGGCAGAGACTAAGAGCTCAGGAGATGCTGCTCTGTATCTCTACAGAGCCTCTGCCAACTGAGAGACAGGATTAAGGGCATGGGGGTTGGGGGGAATCATTGGAAATTCTGTGGATCTTTCTAAGCTAGTATCTCTGAGATAACTGTAGAAATAGGATACTATATATTTGCAGGGAGGTAAGCCCCATATTGTAATCTGAGACCTGTTTAAATTAGTCTGACTTTACACAAATCAAACAATTCAGAAATATTTCTTAGAAAAGGTATGCTAGAGAAGGATTGATATATTAATAGGAATATGTCTCCAGGTGGTAAGCTCTAGGGATTACTGCAAAAAAGGAGTAAGGCCTCTGAATGTCCTGTGGTTCTCTCAGTGGGTGAACTCCTTCCGCTACAGAGATTCAGATCACGGAAATGCAGTAGTAAATTTAGAAGCCTCTTGGACATGTTAAAACTGTCTGTGGGTAGAGTTTCGGCTGCTTCTTCAGGAGGAAACACATTCTAATGAAGCCAGAGAATTTACATTAGGCAAATGAAAGTAAGTGCTCAGAATTCAAGATGATACCTTCTGGAAAATCTGTCCATAAAGCTAAAAACATAAAAGCTAGCTAAATCTGTAGTGAAAGTTAAAGTCCTTCCCTTCAGTAACAAGAGACTTCTTTTTCATATATTCATTCCTGTGTTTACCAGCATTGACATGTGGCCAGCAGGCAACAGTCTGGTGCCAAAGGCCTAGAGTGGGAGCCTGAGGACCCAATAGGTAGGAACCTAAATGAAGGCAGGAGGTACTAGTCACGAGAAGGCCCACTTTAAGCAAAAACAGTGATATTTAGGATTTGAGGGGAAAAAAACAAAATGGGGCTCTGTTTTAACAGTAACAACTGCAAAGAAAAAATTTATTAAAAAGCAAAATAGAAGCTAGATGAAAATTGGGTAAGAAAAGCAGCAGCAGATTGACTAATGTTGAAGGTTTCCAGGTAAAAGACATTAAAAGATATAAGATCATGGAAATCAGTTGGGAATGTTGATTTTCTTAAACATCTGCCAAGTGCTTAGCACTCACTTAGGCATTATTCAGTGTACGATCACACAAACATATATTCCACTTTTTCATTAAACTGTAAAATAGGACAATATCATCTAATGATCACTAGGGTCACAGAAGTTAAAGGAGGGAGGTAAATATGTGGTCCAGGCTGCCTGCCTTCAGAGAAAAACTGCATTTTAGGATGTTCCTTTGTATAATTTTAATTTTTCTGTCTTTCTCTCCAGATGAATATATATATTCCACGCTCTGACAAGTAGGTTTCAGAAATTAGATCTTTGGGGAAAAGAAAACGATGAGGCATGAGGCACTGCTCCTTGAAACCACCTAGGATGGGTCTCAAAGCCTGAAGCCCTTTCTGTAAAGGAACAGGTTGGCGCTGGTCCTGCCAGAGAAGGAGGGCCTGTGGTGGGAAGGAAGAGATGGCTAAGGCGAATCTTGTAGACATGCTGCTGTGCATGTCCTGTTACTCTTTCTTCTCACCACAGGAAGCAAATGTCAGCAAAAAGCAATGTCCCTCTTTTATGCACAGAGAACCAGATTCTAGAGTGAAGAAGAACATAGCCCCCTTTGTCCTTATGAGAAACCTGTAGTAGTGAAGTAGCTAACCATGGTGGCTATGGAGTCGGACTGGCTGCTAGTGATCCCCAACTCTATCACTTATGAGCACCATGACATCAGGCAAATTAACTGACCTCTCTGTGCCCTAGGGGTTTTTTAATCCATAAAATGACAGGTAATTAGTCTATTTTCTTAACTATAAAATGGGGATGATGGATTATGAGGATCTAATGGTATAAGACACTTAAAGCACTCACCAGAATGTCTGATGTACTATTTGTAAGCACTCACTGTATTTTTTTCTAGAAATAATGAGCAAGTGTGGGGCACAGAGATTAAGCAAAACAGGGTATATGTTGGTGATTACTGAAAATAACAATATGGAGTTATTTTAAAGGCAGGGATCCTCCAGATGATGTGAACCAAGTCCCTAGAAAGCAGAAAAGGCTGCAGAAGCTTGACCATTACCTTCCAAGGAGGAATGATCAATTTTTGAAAATCTGGCTAAAAAAATACCCTTGGCTTATATATGATGAGATACTAAATCTTATGTTCTGTGGCCTGTGCCGTAAGCATGGAGTGAAGTCAAGGGGAAATCAAGTGAGTTTTTCCTATGGCACTGACAACTTTAGGACAGAATTTCTCAATGCACATCATCTCAGTGAGGCTCATGCCAAAGCTTCACTAATGGAAGCAACAAGTGTTTCTCCAGTGAACCGTGCCACCACAGAGCTCATGGTGACAACCATGAGCAAAGTCACCCTTTGGAGAGTAGAGAACTTGTTCAGATCATGCCACGCTATTGCCAAGATGGGACGTCCCCTCAAAGACTTCATCTGGATGTGCAAGTTGGATGATATGAAGGGGGTTGATATCGGCCCGGCATTCAGAACTAACAAATCAGCAAGAACCTTTACATATTTTATCGCTGAAGTGGAACGGAGAAATCTAAGAGATAAACTAGAACAAAGTAAATTCTTCTCTGTCCTCAGTGATGGAATCACAGACAGTTCAACTGAGGAAACTGAACTTGTCTATGTGCAGTTTGCACATGCAGGAAAAGTGCATTACCAAATTGTTGGGGTACAGACAGTAGAAAAGAAGGATCCTTTGGCAATAAGAAATGCCATTGAGAAAATTCTAGAGAGAAATCTTCAACTTAAGTTATCGAACCAAGACTGGGCAAAGAAATTGGTTGGTTTTGGAAGTGATGGCGCCCCTGACTCAGAGGGAGAAAACAATGGGGTGGCCCTGCTTTTGAGAGAAATCCAGCCATGTGCGCTGACTGTGTACTGCTTTGCACATCATCTCGAACTATCTTACGAGGCAGTGTTCCAGAGAATTCCCCTATACAATGATGTCAGAAACCTTCTTCACAGCATTTACCACTTCTACCACAGTTCCCCTCTTCTCAGGAATTCTCTGATGACCGCTTTCAAAAGCCTTCACCTTCAACCTGTGATGCCTTCTCAAGTAGGGGGCAGGAGGTGGCTTCAAGAATTACAGGCAGCCCTCCAAAACTTTCTCAAGGGATATCCTGCAATAGTCCAGCAACTGCATTTGGTAAGTAATTTTTGACATACCATACTATTTTAGTTTTCCAGAGTGACAGGGAATATTTTTATGGAGCAATCTAAAATAACTTTAATAAAGATAAACCAATATTTTATTCCCAATCTATGTTACAGGCAAATGAAGACAGAAGTGATACCAGTTATCAGAAAGCCAAGGAACTCCTACACTTCCTTCTCCAAGCAGACATTGTTAAATTCATCCATTTCTTAGTGGATGTCATTAATATACTTAGCATTTTTTCCCGTGTCAATCAGAACAGAAATTCTTCCATTGCTGACATATTTGCCACATTAGAATCAACACTGGAAATGCTCAGAATATATCAAACAAGGTGAGGAATTGGGGAATGATCTGGGGTCTATCAAATGTAGACAGTATGACTGGGGACATTATTTGCCAGGTACCTTTTCACTTAATTGTTTATTTGGGTAATTTTTTTTTCCCTCCCCAGACCAGGACCAAAAGAACGTTGGGTAGATTCAGTCAGACACTTTCATGGTAACTGCCTGGGAGGAAAGGGAGACATTTCTGATGTAAGAAGCACAGTCTTAACACATCTTATCAAGAGGCTGCAAGGCTGCTTCAGAGATGCCAGCCAGGATGTGGTGAAAGCTACCATGATTGGGAGCTTTAAACTGTGGCCTGCAAAGATAAATCGAGGTACTCTATATGCACTAATTTCAAACCTATTGTTCTTTGACCATCTGTAGGTTTCTTTCCTATCTGTGACTTTTTCTCTTGTATATCGATGGCAGAATTTGGAGAAAAAGAGGTATCCATCCTGATTGCCCATTATGAACCAGTACTGGAAGCTGCCAATGTGGAAATTGATGAAGTGGACACTGAATGGAGCATGTTGAAATTAGAGATATATGCTAGGTAAGCATAGCTGACATTTATAAATATTTTAATGAAACTTGGGAGTCTCAGTCTTTTATATTTTTCATTCTTCCCCCCTACCCAGATTTCAGAACATCCACAAGTTGACCTGGGATTATGTGAATTCAGTTTATTTACACAAGTATCCAAATATCCTGACATTAGTGGACCTAGTGCTGACCCTCCCTGCAAGTTCCGCAGAGGCAGTACGTGGCTTTAGTCAGATGAAACTCGCCAAGACACAAATGAATGCCAAGATCAAGGCTGAAAGTATGACGGATCTCCTGATAATCCAGTTGAATTCTCCAGACATTAATAACTTTGACCCAAGGAAAGCTATCCATTTATGGAATACAAGAGAACCATCTTCCACTGGTGACACAAGACCTAATTCTGCCTGTTCATCAAACTCAGAAAGCCATTATGAAAGTGATTAGTAATCTGATAATGTTGACTTTGTTATTGATCAAAGTAAAAACAAATTCTTTTTAATCTGAAATTTAGAAGTAAAATAGTAATCAGTCTTCATATCAAACACAGAAGGCATTTGGCATCTTTCCAGACAAAGCAAAAATTTCCTGTACCTTTCTTTAAAAAAAAAATTTATTTATTTGAGAGAGAGAGAGGGCATGCACATGAGGGAGCAAAGAGTGGGGAGAGCGAGGAGAGAGAGAATCCTGACACAGACTCCCCACTGAGTGTGGAGCCCACCCAATGTGGGTCTCTATCCCACAACCCTGAGATCATGACCTGCGCTGAAATCAAGAATCAGCCACACCGACTGAGACACCCAGGCAATCCTTCCTGTACCTTTCCAAGTCTACTTCTACATCCATGCATTCTTTCACGTTTTTTTAGATGGAAGTGATACTTCTAAGCAGTGGTGTTATTTTGATGTCATCTTTTGCAGAGTTTTGCTAAGGGTGACCAGACTATGATTATGGTCTGAGTTCCCTTTGGCCTGGCATACAATTAACATCTTTCCTGTGTAATTCTAAATGACAGCTACATTAGATAACTAACTTACTGCCAAACTGAAAAAGAGATTGGGGGGGGAGGGGCGGTCCATGAATAAAATTTCTAAGTTTCTCTGTTTATGTTATCACATTTTATGTGAAAGTCATATCACTATGTATCTTGGCCATGTAGGTGACAAGGTCAAATATTAAAAAGTTTTCACATTTCATGTTAAGGTCATCAGATAAACAATTGCTATGTAAGCTAGAAGCATTATCTTACAACACTTTGCTTGCACCATAGCTATTAAAGACAATGGAAATATATTGAAACTCTACAGAATTTTTAAATACTTAGAGCCTCTTCATGGTTTCATAAAATGGATTTTATTTATGGCTTCATCTTGAGGAACGTGAGTGATTATTTCTAACTTGTCTAGAAGCTAATGTGGTTTTTACTGAAAATAAAGCTCATCTCACTGAACATTCTACCCCCTGGGAAAGTGTTTCTCATCTCTATAAAATTGGATACTCAGGTTCAGTCAAAAAGGATAGAGAATTTATTTCCGAACGACCTGTTGGATGGCTAGTCATATCAAAGGAAGAAAGATTCTGCTCTTGCCACCCAAAAAATTAACTTCCAAATCTCAAAATTGTATATTTGGTTTGAACTGCCAACATTTTAAAAGAATTCATGCGTTTTCTTAAAGGTTAGAAGAAATGTTAAGATTCATGTTGGACTTTTATAATTGTTAAAAATTCAGATGTAAAAAGAAAAATTTGAGATGCTACGTCTGTGGTTCTATTTCTACTCTTTTTATTTCTAAACAAAGAAGAATAGCTCTATACTCTGGACCTGAAAGACCTGAATACGTGTAAGGAGTCTCTCCTGACTCTAGAAGGTACTTCTGTCAGAGGGGTTAGACAGACATTTTTTAAGGTGCTTCATTTATTTTGTTTTTCTATTACTTTTTTAATGCATGCACATGCAATTTGAAATGAGAGACAGACAAAAACAGACTTCTCTTTTGGACAGGGTAAAAGAGATTAATGTATAAGAATAAAGCATTTAAAAGGTTGGTGACCTTTTATGAAATACTTTGGAATATTGAGCCAGTTAGATTAAATTAAATTATCACTTCCAGTACAGTAATTTAACAATTCAAGTCTCCCTGCATTTACAAAAACAAACAAAAAAAATCTCTTCTGAACCAAATGTAAAATGAGGATACATGTGTAACTTGATTACAGTGGTGATTTGTATGCATTTGAAACACCTGTATCCCATACTCACCAAAATATTTTGCTATTGTGCTCTACTGCAAATAGGAAAAATTACAGGTTTTTTTTCTTTAATTCTACTAATTCTACTCTGAGCAAAAAGTCAAAGGAAGATTCCAAATTAAAGTGTAAGTTCTCAGTATTTTTCCCAGTCTGAAATGATTTATTACTCAGCAAAAAAAGACATTCTGACTTCACTGAGACACAATAGTGAGAGTGCCTCAGGAAACTGATTATTATTCTCATGTTTTCAAATGTCTTCTGTTCTTTAAAGGTTACAGTTTTAAATAATATGAATAAAGAGATTATACAAATATCTATTTTTGTTCTGTTTTAGCAAAAGAAACAAAATCCCTGTCACATAACATAATTGGAAAAATATTTTTCATTATACTCTAGGCATAATAGGACATAAGGCATTTACTGACATCCTGCTGGATCTGGTAACCCTGAACCTTGGAACAAACAACTTACCTAGTAGTTGGATGCACCTCACTCAACCTGAAGTAAGCCTCCATTTTGTTTGGGTGTCAAGACTCTGAGAATTCTTCTGATTTGATTAAGTCAATAGTTTTAAATCATCAGTACTTGCAGTGTCTGACATTCAGGGGACAATCAATAAACCTGAATGAAGAACAAATGAGCCTGAATGTAAGATATGCCATGCATGTGTTCAACATTGGAAGAATGCATGAGGACACTGACAGTCCATGAAACATTATAGAGCTGGGAAGGCTCAGCCTGTGAGTTTGTATCTCTTACTTCTAGAGAGAGTGATCATGACTAGTAACAGTAGATGATTCTGGTGGTTCTTGCTTTTCAACATAATCTGTTCTTTAAGAGTGTACCAGAAAACAAAATGGTTGTAGTATTTCTCTACAGGTTGTAGAGCCCTTGTACAGCCCCTTCTAGAATCTTCATCCTCCCTCTGTTGAAGAGTTAGAGTCATGGAGTCACATGTGTAAATTTGTGGTATAAAACAGTAAGCAAAAAACTCAAATGCCAAGGAAGCAAAAAGTGAAGAGTGTCTAGGTTCTGTCTAGTGTGGATTGGTTGGTAGAACCTGAGGGAACAAGCCTGAGAACTGACTCTCTTCCCCAATATAAACTCCTCCTTCCTTCCTCTAAATGTCTCACAAAGAAATAGGAACTGAGAGAGTTTCACAGTAGAGTCATACAAACATTCCAATGACATTTCCTGTTTTCTTCTAGTTGCAGGAGTTAACATCTTCATTAATAGTAAACTCAGAGTTTGTGGACTGGCGGAAATTCCTATTAGTAATCTCAATGCCCTGGATCATCCCCATGGAAGAAGAGCTCCTCGAGACCCTGCAGAGGTTCAAAGCCGTGGATGAAGAGCAGTTGGGCACCATCACTTTCGAGCAGTATATGCAGGTTGCTGCCAGGGCCTGGTGGTACTACTACTACTGGAGTACTTTTTGACCTAAAAGATGTATTACTCACTGATGTCACATTGCCAGGTTTGGGCCAATGTTCTGCTTCTTGGCTGTCCCTCTCTGGGCACTCAGAGGCAGTGCAGACACTGTCCAAGTCCCAGGTGGAAGTCTAGCTTCCATCCCCAGGGAGATGGTCTGGAAAAAGTCAGAGCTGCTAGGAGAACTAAGTTCTGAAAGAAGTCACATCAACTTCATTGTTCTTCTCCTAACTCCTATACAGCGGTCCTTAACCTTGGCTATAAATTAGAATCACCTGCAGAGCTTTAATACATCGAATGCCCAATACCCAATGCTCTGAGAGTAGTAACAACAGTACTACCCAGGGAAATGAACATAGGGAAAAGGGAAGGGCTTTTTTTTCCCCCCATTTGGTCATGAGCATGGTGAATGATGAGAGATTTTTTAACAAGTTGAGTTTGAAATGTCTGTGAGAAATGCAGACAGAAGCATCTAATCTGATACAGCAGATGCAGAACAGATTGCAAGTCACTATCATGTAGGTAGTGACTGAATATAAGAATGGACAAGATACCTGAAGAAAGTGTAGAAAGTCATGAATAACTTAGTAACATGATACCTGGCCATTGGCCTGGGCAGGTAGGCTATATAACAGGTAATCTTTTCCAGAACCATTTTGGTAGAGTACAGAATCCAGATTGCAGGAGATTGATTAAACGAATAGGTCTCTAGGAAGTGAAGATAAAAGTCAATTCATTTTTTAGAAGCTTGAGCAAGGAAGGAGAATGAAACCCCATAACTAAGAGGGACTGAATTACTTATTTTGTCTCTACTAATTGAAATCATGTTATTGCTCATCATTTCACATGGCTGATAGATGCAAAAGATGAAAGTGATTATAAGATTTTAATTTTGAAATAGGGTAATACTCTTTAGGTGCCTGTATCATGTGTATATTTCAAATTGAAAGACCACATGCCTTCCTGCTTCTCTTTCTCCTGGTTTCTCTTTTTGTCCTTAATTAATGGATGGCATACCTATAGACAGCCCCGATGTTCCTATGCTTGTGCTGTTGAGCCAGAGGAATTAATACTTGAATATGAGGAGGTTCCTCCAAGACTGGTCAAGATAGGTGCTTGGCTGATTGGGCTTTGATATATTTGTTTCCCAAGTAGAAGAATTTATAGATACTACTATCACTGACCTCAACTTAAAACTTATGAAAATGATTTTGTCTGAAAATAAAAACAGCAGAGCAAAATTTACTCTGTTTTCATCATTGCCTTCAGATTTTAATAAGTGAGCACTTGCGAAATCACCAACCTTCACTACAGTATGTGCCAATTACCACAGGATATCAATTTAAACATCCTTTTGTACAAACATGAGATGAACAAAGGACGCTGGCAATTTTTACCAAAATGCTGAGCCAAAACCAGAAAGCTCCTTTACCCAAAGTATAAATTTCTCAGAGAAAGTTGGCTGCTACATTTAAAAGGAAGAAGTACTTATTTGAACACCTCCTGTGTTTGGGGAGCAGTCGATTTCCCAGCTCAGCACTCTCTCCCACCCACCCAGTTCCCAGTCCACAGGAGCCCCAGGATAGGAAGGCCATTTGGAAAAGTCCACTTGGTCATCCCACATGACTTTCAGAGATTTCCAATACTTGTCAACTCTTTCTCTCTCTCTCTCTCTCACACACACACACACACTCCAAAACCAAAACCAAACCAAAACAAAACAAAAGTTATGTATCAAAAGTCAAAACCACTTTTAGAGCAAAATTTTATGAGATTTGTAAAAATGCTACATTAGAACAGTAAGATAGCATAACACGCGTTGCTGAAATGGAGTTCTCTGGGAGAGGAGAGCTCTCTACACTGCTTTTTATTTTGTTTGTCTTTTTCTTTTCTTTTGACTAATTGCAAGTTCACCACAACAGCCACTTAAGAGTGTGCTGATTTCCCCAGCTTCTAAACTGGAATGAGATAGCTGGTGAATTCAGCTGGGCTATGTACCTGGGTTGAGCTTTGAGAACATAAAACCTGTTTACCCTTAACCCTCAACCCTCCTGCAGCTGTCACACGCTTGCCTCCATGGTGTGAGGAGACTGAGCCACTCCTTATAGAATTCTATGATAGTGAACTCTCAGCTCACCTTCTGTCAGTGAGAATGCATGTGATTACAGGCTTAATGAGTCAGATGTTCTGGGATCCAAACAACACAGCACTCATTCTTTAAAGAAAAGTAAAGCAAAACAAAACAAAACAAACAAACAAAAAAAACTTTAGCCATGATGTGGGAAACAAAGGCAGAAGAAAAATTATTAAATTTCCTTACTACTTACAGCCCATTGGCAAGTCCTTGAAATAGGCAGAGTGACATTCCTCTGGGGACTCAACTGTCTCGATGTTGACACTTTGCTGAGGGCAAAAGGCAACATTAGCCCAACCCGCAGGACCCTATAAGTCTACTTTAATGTATAAAAATTCCTTTGGAAACTTCCTTTATCTCTTCTCCCAAGATACATGTTGGCAATCATCCCCCCAAGTATATAACCCACTCATATACATCTAAAGGGTCTCATGACTGAGTTTTTACTAAACAAACAGTAATAAATGATCTTCCCTAACAATAGCTAGCCCTCACAAGATCCTGAAAACCTTGTTTCCAAAACATGTAGGAGGCTTACACTATCCCTAACACCCTCCCAACTTGAAAGTATATGATGGGACACTTCTTATAACCCCGGTACAGCACTTTCTGCCCTGGGGTCCTGTCCCCGTGCTTTAATAAAACTACGTTTTTGCACCAAAGATGTTTCAAGATTCTTTCTTGGCCTTCAGCCTCAAACCCTAACATCTTTCCTATGTCAGGCCAAGTTTTAGCAACAGAGCATGAGGGACATTTCCATCTTTTAAGGAAAAATTGCCTAATAATCCAGTGAGGCATGATATGGCCAACAGAACTTTTATCAACTTAAACCCTACTATCTAGGTTCAAATGTAATATTTCACATTGCTAAAATTTTCACAGATGACTTTTTAAAAACCATAGCTTGTTTCCAAGTCAGTTTATTTTTTTTCCTTTCTAATGTGGCCTTCTTGTGTGAAAAATACACAATGTTCTCATTTATGCAATCTTATGTTTTTAGTAAACTAAAATGAATGAATCCCCTTGGTTTTAAGGATCAGGGAAATTTCCTGTGTATTGAAACAATTAAACATGGAATTGAGAGTTATTTGAAAAATGGAAGGAGGAATTGGGCTCCAATCTCTATTTCTTTTTTCCCTTCTAACTTCTTTTATTATTTCCCCCTTTGTTCCCAGTTTTCAGCAATTTGATTATTGTGTTCCTTGATGTGGTTTTCTTCATGTTTCTTTTGCTTGGTTCACTGAGCTCTCGAACCTCCATGGGTTTTGTAGTTCTTGTCAGATTGGAAAATTTTCAGCATTTTTTCCCTATTTTTTCTGCACACCTACTCCATCTCAAAATCCAATCACATGCTTATTGTCCCATGGGTCACTGAGGCTTGGTTCATTTTTTTTTCTAGTCTTTTCTCTGTGCTTTACTTTGTATTCATCTCTATTCCTATGTCTTCAAGTTCACTAATCATTTCCTCTGCAGAGCTGAATCTGTTATTAATACCATGAAGTGTTTTCATTTCAGATATTAAATTTTTTGTCTCTAATAGTTCAAGTTGATTCTTTTTCATATGTTTCATTTCTCTCTTCATTATGAGCATGTTTTTTTTCCTCTATCTCCTTGAATATATGAAGTATACTTAGAATAGCTGAAGGAACATCCTTCTCTGTTCATTCTATCATCTGTGTAATTTTTAAGTTTGGTGTTATTGATTGGTGTTTCTTCTAACTACAGGTCATATGTTATGGCTTTTTTTTTTTTTTGTATGCCTAGTAACTTTATATTGGATGCCAGATATTGTGAATCTTATATTGTTGGGTGCCCAATTTTATATACCTTTAAACATTGTTGGGCCTGAAGTGGCATTACTTGGAATCACTTCTATCCTTTTGAGGTTACAATAAGATTTATAAGCGTGGGTCCAGAGTGGCCTATAGGTGAGGGCTAATCTGGTCCCACTGCTAAAGCAATTATCTCTGAGGGCTCTCTCCAGTGCCTGTGTTTGAGGAGATCCTTTCACTCTGCTTGGTGGTAACATTTGTGGAATCTTCCTCTCAGCCCCATGTGAGGCTCAGGAATTTTTCAGCTTACTCCTCTCCTGGGGTTCTTTCTCCAGTTTCTGGTACCTTCCACAGACACACATCCACAGATTGGCAAGTCAAGATTTATGGAGATCCCTCTGTGAATCCCTAGAATTTGCTCTCCCACTCAAAACATCTCTAGTATTCTGCCCTGAAAATTCTAGCCAGCTTGGCCTGTCTTAACAACAGATTTTGGCCACAGAAAGACAACGAGTCTCTATTTGGATGACTTTCCTGGCACTGCAGTCTGGGAACTCCCTCCAGCCTGAAATATTAGTAGGACTCCTTGGTTGCTTCCTTTAGTTCAAGAATTATCCTGTGTTGCCTATCATCTAATGTCTGGAAAATCAACTTGCAGATATGTTGTTTATTTTTCTTGTTGTTTAAGGCAAAAGAGTAAGCCTGAACTTTGGTGCTCCATCATATCCCTTACTTATGTTCCTCATCTCTCTATTCTCTCATAAGTGGTACTTACCCCTTGCAGATTAGCTATTGGGCAAGGGTCTCCTCCTGATTAATGCAAAAGCACATTCAAAGCCTGAGCCCATGCTGGGCCTTTGGCTTCTTCTGAGTCTTCTCTTTCGTAGGGTTCTACATGGCCAGCATCTCCTTTATCCCAAATAAAAAGAAACCCCAGTTCTCACCTTTGGGAGCTTTATCCCCTTACAAGTTACTCAAAGCCATTCCAGCATTCTCTCAGAGCATAGGTGATCCTTGGAAGGAAAGAAAGCATAAAGCATAGGCCACAGTCAGGTTAGGCAAGCTAGTGGCTTTTGACAATAGACAGTCATGAGAGTAGGTTGTCACTCTGGAAGATGGTAAGAGATCTAGACCTGGAAACAAAGTGCGTATGTATATGAAGTACTTACCACATACAAAAATTAAGGTTGGAATGATATATTCTTTAAACCCAAGGAATTTATACCTGATATTCAACAGCTGACATGAATGGCAACATCTAAAGAAATGGACTAAATGTCTATTGTGTGGTATAAACAAGTTAAATTGGAGTTCAGAAGCAAGATCAAGGAGGGGATCTCTAAGGAGTTGTGATCAGAACAAAGCCTAGAGAGATGTCCAGGTTTACATGAGTGTACAGGAAGTTGCATCTGATAGGAGGGATGATGTGAACAGAAGAGCAAGTGTAGGAAATGGTTCCAGGCAGAGAATATAACAAATTGAAGTTTTGAGGAGATTGATACGGTTTCATGGTACAGGCTGAAATAAATAAGAAGGAGACTGGAAACAAAAATGACCCATAACTTACTGGGATGGCCTGTGACAGAAGAAAGAGCCTCTACCCCAAGGTGGCAGGAGTAGAGATGAAAGAAAGGAAGCGAAGGGAGAGATACTGCCAAATAGGAATCAGAAGATTCAGTAATTGGTATCACATATGGGCTGAGAAAAAGGGATGTCATTAAAAAGTAGGCCATTGAACTACTGAGTCAGTCAGTCACTCACTCAACAAAGATTCTTCCAACAATGTGCTCCAGCATCTCAGCTGGCTCTGAGAATAGATAGCCACATGGAGAGAACATGTGGAATGAGAGCTAGTGGTATGAGAGAAGACACCACCAGAATGTTGTCATGCATGCAAAATCTAGGACAGTGACTTCCAAACTTCATCACATGTTCTGACAACTAAAATACAGCTAGCATCCCCAATATGTGAATTTTCATTTGTAAATTATACATGTGTACTACTGCACTAATACATTTTTATATTATCAAATTTTTAAGAATAAAAATTTTATAAGAATGATATCAAATATGTGTAAATGGAAGTTCTAGGATTTTCTCCTGCATCCCCCATGGTCTTTGAACCCTATTTTGAAGACCTCTGCTCTAGACAGTTGAACAAAATGGGTTCAATCCCTGTGGCTTTTAAAGGAATGATACTTTAATTATTTTTATTTTTATTTTTATTTTTTTGTATAGGCTGGTCTGTGGTTTACTAGAGATGAAGATACAAAAATTCCAGAAAATCCTCTTGAACCCCTGCCATTCAACAGGCAAGAACACCTTATAGAGGTAATTACTGAGATCCTTTAAAAAATTTACTATTACAACACTGGTAATTTCTTTGCCTTTTTCTTCCACTTACATAATTTGTTTTGGATTCCATTCCTTCAACCCCCATTCCTTTGCTGTATCCCCAGAATATAGATTTTAATATTCATAAAGTTGCATCACAGGAAAGTTCTGGAGGGAGGAGACAGAGATCAAAATCTTAGACAGAGTTCCACTGTTTAACTCCCTGTGTGATCTTGAACATTTTCATAACCCCTTGGGTCTCACTTTCCTCATCTGTCAAAGTAAGCTGTTGCTTGACACATTTGTCTCTGAAGGTCTTTCCAATTCTAAAAGCTTAGGTTAAGAACTGTCATTTTACCAATATAGTAATCCCCTCTTGGGATACATCCCAAGACCCCAAATGTATGCTTGAAATTGTGGGTAATACCAAACCTTATATGTACTGTTTTTATAAGTGAAACTTACAAATTAGTCACAGTAAGAGATTAGCAGTTATAGCTAACAATAAAATAAAACAACTGTAACATTATTCTGTAATGAAAGTTATGTGACTATGGTCTTTCTTTCTCAAAATTTCTTATTGTGCCGTATTCACCCTCTTCTTGTGATGACGTGAGATGATCAAATGCCTGTGAGGAGATGAAATGAGGTGAATGACATAGGCGTTGTGATGTAGTGTTAGGCTACTAGTGACCCTCTGATGATTTATCAGAAGGAGGATCATCTGTTTCCGGACTGAGGTGGACCACAGTGGACCGTGGGTAACTGCAACCACAGAAAGTAAAACCACAGCTAATGGGGACTACTGTGTATGTTTTTGTCCATTTCTCTTTGATTTTGATTAACTTGAACAACATACCAAGGGTTGCATAAGCATTGCCAATGACCCATCAGATTACTATTATCAATATTATTATTGCCAATAATGGTATTATTAGCCTCTATCCCTAAGCCCACAATAGAAAGCAGGACTAAGGTAAAGTACTCTGGCTTCAGTGTAAATGTTTAAAACATAAAAATATACGTAACTCAACCAAATTCAGCAGGATATGAAAGACATTGCATGGTGGATTTAAACAGCACAGGAAACTAGGTGTGTCGATGGTCCAATTTCAGCCAGCCTTTAGTTTAAAAGTGCAGTATAAAATTGAACAAGACCCCAGTTATACCCTAAAAGTGAGCAGTTCCCTTCAATTGGGTGCAGAGTATCAGAGCACCTATCCCATGATAACAGGAGAGCAGGTAAGAAAAAGGGGTCAAGGAGTCACCAGAGTCCAAGACCTGAGACTGGCAGGCGTGGGGACAATTTTTTGTCTTGGTCATGGTGGGAGTTTTCAATGTGAAACTGGAGGTCCTAGACCAACCCCATAAAGCCTTTGGAAGGCCATTCTCTGTATGACTTTGTAAACAAATCTGCCAGCAATAAACAGGTTCTTCTGTGAATAAACTGGCAGTCTGACTATGTCAACTCAAAGCACTTTCCTTTTCAGCCAGAAGTTTTAGCAATGTCAATCAAGGGCAGAGCCCTTTGGTTGTTCACCCAACAGCTAATATCAGCAGCCAGACGGTGCCCTGAGACGGTACCCTGACAACTGCTAGGAAAGGACCATTGGTGCCAAGGAAGGGAGTGGCTGCCTCCTACTGGTGCCCAGACTGCTGGAAAATGACTTGCAGGAACAGAACGAAAGTTGGCAGCAGAGGCAGGAACATGAAGCCTGAGAAAGACGCGGAACAAAGAATGGCTGGTGTGTGTATGTGTGCGCCTCCGGAGGACAGAAAGGAGTGGTGTTTTCCACTCCTCACTGCCTCAGACACGGGATGCTCAGAATTACATAAGTCTCAGTGCTCTTAAACTGGGATTCAAAACACAGATTCCAATGCTTGCAAGCTTCAAGGTCTTGAGGAAGTTACCTAACCTCTCTGTCAATCCCTCTCTGGCAAAGTTGTTGTGTCAAGTGAGTGGTATATAATAAGCCCTATGTAAGTGTTAGCTAAACAGAAGCTAGCCATGCTAACTATAGTTGGTTGAAGAATGGTTAATGGTTAACATGTTAAAGAAAGGTGTGAAAAAAAGAAAAAACAACAAAACGAATTTACCCTTTTGGTTGTAATTAGAGTAGGAAAGACCAAATTGGCGGGGGAGGGTGGGAGGGTGAGCAATGTCCCATGGAGAGGGAATTCTGAGGGTCAGGAGCCCTGGGCTGTCCCCAGTTCTGCCATGACTCACTGTAGGAGGCTGAGCAGGTCCCTTCACTCCAAGGGACTTTGTACCTTCTTAAGAAGAGGGTTTGAACTATAGTTTCAGGTCCCACCCAATTCCCCAACTATGTCACTTGTGCTCTCTGTGACCCAGGGCCCACCTCTGAGCCACACTGGCAGGGGCCCCTGAAGACAGACCGTTAGCACTCCACAGGCTTGAATGACCCCAGAGTCCCAGACACTGGATGGAAGGACCCATTGCATCCAAGAAAGGAACCCTGAGACATGTTTATTTTGCAATCACAGTGTTGTCCCCTGACATTGACAGCATACTTCATGATGACTAACAAGTCACAGGTCATGTCCTGGCTTTCCAGCTTCCCATACACTCAATACCAAGAACAACTATTCCAGTATTTTAAAATCCTCAGAAATTTGCTGAGAAAAAGCAATTTAATTTTTGCCATATTCAAATTCACAGGTGTTGTCTTAATCTCTCCACAGCTTCTGTTCTTGTGGAATCCTTCTATTATTTTGGGCTGGTAATATTTGTTGAGGCCAACTTTGAAATACTAGCTATTTATTAACTGATCCCAAATGACTATTTCCATCTTAAACCTCCCTTGCAAACCTCATACACAACTGCCCATTTGATATCTCCATGAATATTCTAGTAGATATTTCGAACTCTCCATGTCCAAAGCTGAATACCTGAATTCCCAGCCCTGCCACCCCAGCATTCCCATCTTCACCCAAAGCCCCCTCCCTCTCAGTCAGTGACAACTCTGACCTTCTAGTTGCCAAAGTCCTACAGCTCACCCCCAAATCTTCTCTTTCAAACCCCACATCTGATCCCTCAGGAAAATCTGGTAGTTCTATCTTCAAAATATACTGAGGATCAGACCAATTCTTCTAAGCCCCGTGGCCACCACTGGAATAAGCCACAGTCAACCTCACCCGGATGCCTGCAACTGCCTCATGATGGGTCTTCTTGTTCCTCCCTTGTCTTGGTTTAGATTACAGGTGGATCGTAACAGCCTCTACTCAACCTTCCCATAACTCTGCATGTTACTCAAAGGAAAAGCCCAAATCCTTAAGTAGCCAACCTGGCCTTGACCCTTGTTCCTCTCTCCCTCATCTCCTGGTGTTCTTCCCTGGCCCATCTGCTTCAGCCACACTGGCCTTACAGAGTAACCGTGTGAGGTGCACCCCACCTTAGGACATTGACTTCAGCAATTCCTTCTGCCTGTAATCCTCTTACCCAAAGGTACTCCTTGGTAACACCCTCCAATCTTTGTTGAATTTTTACCTTCTCAACTGTGAAATCTCCCTCCCTCCTCACTCTTCACTCCCAATTCCTCCTTTCATGACCTACTTTCTGTGTGTGTTTCCATAATCCTGCCTAATTTACCTAATTTATTTTATATATTCTTTATTGTCTGGCTTCCCTTCTAGAAAGTAAGCTTTTCAAGAGAAGACATCTTTATCTCTTTCTTAGTGAATGCTTTTTCACCACCTAGAATAGTCCATGTCTAATACATCATAGGTGTTCAATAAGTACTTGCCAATGCCTATTCTTTAGCTCACAGTTTCTATGAATCAGAAATCCAGACATGGCTTAGATGGGTCCTCCACTTGGGGTCTCACAAGGCTGAAATCAAGACATCAGTTGCAATTGAAATCTCATCTGAGGCCAATCCCAAGATTGATTTCAAGTCTGGCTTCCAAGATGAGTTATTGGCAGGATTCAGAGCCATGCAGTTACAAGGGTTGAGACCTTCAGCTGTGATAGGCTGTCCGTTATTCCCTACCACATGGCCCTCTCCAAACTGGACATTTTGATGCTTCATGCTTAGAAGGAAAACATCTCTCTGGCTTTAACTGTCTCCCTTAAGGCCTGGGTCCTTTTTAGATGGTTTACCTGCTTAGGTCAGGCCCAATGGCAGCCTTTGTTTTGATTAACTCAAAATCAACTGATAAGGGACCTTAATTACATCGGCAAAAATCTATGTAAGATGACCTACTCATGAGAATGACTTTCCCATCACAGTCACAAGTCCTACCCACACATAAGGAGAGGAGATTATACAAGATATACATGTCAGGGGGTGGGAACCTTTGAATACTACAATATTGTAAATGATCTTAGGAACACAGTAAGCCTTATATTTTATGAATGTTCTATCCATTGACTTAAAATCAAGCCTGTATAATTACAGAAAGAGTGCAAATATCAGCTTATTTCATTCTCGCACATCTTTTTTTGAGATAGAATATTTAGCTGATTTTTTTAAGGGAAATAATGATGTATTCCTCCTGCATAACACTTATAAGAGCAATTCAGTGGAAATCATAATGAAGTTCAACAACTCCTGTGAAAGAAATGGAAGATAGGCCCTCAGGGACCCTGTGGTGATTATCTGTCAGTCTCCCTCTCAATCTCCCTTCTACTCCTAGTCCTACTGGCAATCTCTGAAGTAATGAGAGGCAAGAGGGGATGAAGAACACAAAATCCTGAAGGAACCCACCAGCTGGATCATGAAAAAAATCAAAGGATGCCTTACTGTTGAAGAGTGTTTTTAAGCATCTCAATACAGCTCTGTGCTTGGCTTACAACAGACTTACAACTCCATTAACTTTGATAAAAGTGACTGAATGAATGAATTTGCAGATTCCATCAACCCCTAAGACTCTTTCTTGCTTTGTAGCATAACAGATTCCATGCAGTTTCTTATCAAAGTGATTTTTATTTAAATTTTATTGGATTTGTCAAGTATCAGAAACTTATTCTTCCAACTATGTAATTAAATTTATTCATAGTTGTAAGGATCATGAGTAATAGAGAATAGCTTGGTATCTATGGATATAAGCATTTGAACATTTGCTTCTCAAAGTAGAGGCCAGGACCAGCAGCATTAGAATCATCTAAGAACTTGCTGTATGTACAGAACCTTACACCATTCCAGAACCATCTACTTAATCAAAATCTAAGTTTAAAAAAAGATTCTCTGGGTCATTAAATGTACATGTTTGAGAAGTACTCATGAAGGAAGCCAGTCTCCTCTTCAAGCAGGGCCATGGGGCTGGTTAGATACTTAAGTGTGACCTGTGAGTTCCAGGGTTTGAGCTGCTTTGTCGGGCCCCAATGGATATTGAATTCCCACACACTAACTTCTCTTACTGCTAGATACACAGGACCCTGCATATAGAGCTGACTTCAGCTCAATCTTCTAGTGTCAGAGAGATTACAAAAAAAAAAAAAAAAGGTATATTCAGTGATTAGCACACTCTCTCCTCCAGTATGAATCCAAGATGGAAAAAGTCACATGACTGTTAAGAAATTAAGTATGGAGTTCAGAGAAGTGTTGGCAAGTTGAAAGATTTTAATGGCTAGACCCCACTCACCACAGGGAGATCTACTAGAAGTGTATTTAGGAGTCAGAGCCCAGTTTGTCAGAGTGGTTATAAGGATACACAGATACGTCCTTGCTCTGTGGCTCCCTTTACCTGCTTAAAAGGTAGTCCCACTTTGGAAAACAGTGTGGAGATTCCTTAAGAAATTAAAAATAGAGCTTCCCTATGACCATGCAATTGCACTACTGGGTATTTACTCCAAAGATACAGATGTAGTGAAAAGAAGGGCCATCTGTACCCCAATATTCATAGCAGCAATGGCCATGGTCACCAAACTGTGGAAAGAACCAAGATGCCCTTCAAAGGACAAATGGATAAGGAAGATGTGGTCCATATACACTATGGAGTATTATGCCTCCATCAGAAAGATGAATACCCAACTTTTCTATCAACATGGACAGGACTGGAAGAGATTATGCTGAGTGAAATAAGTCAAACAGAGAGAGTCAATTATCATATGGTTTCACTTATTTGTGGAGCATAAAAAATAACACGGAGAACATGGAGAGGAGAAGGGAGTTGAGGGAAATTGGAAGGGGAGATGAACCATGAGACACTATGGACTCTGAAGAACAATCAGGGTTTTGAAGGGATGGGGGGTGGGAAGTTGGGTGAGCCTGGTGGTGGGTATTATGGAGGGCACATTTTGCATGGAGCACTGGGTGTGGTGCATAAACAACGAATTCCAGTACACTGAAAAGAAATTTAAAAAATTAAAGATTAAAAAAAAAACTATAAAATGTAGTCCCCACCACCTTTATTAGCATATTTTTTCTAAATATGTTGATACCATTGATTAGCATACAATTTTCTTTAACATTAGAATTTTGAGCCTCACTCTTCTGTATTTTAACTTAGCATACTCTTGATTTAATACCATTCATTACATATTATGTTTACTGATGTTACACTCAGAAAGTGGCCTTATTCTAAAGCTCCTGAAAGGATCCTTCATTGCCTGTCCATCTACTGTTTACCCAATTTAAGCCTTTTAATCTTTGATTGAAATTCTTTTTGTGTGACAGTTTTTCTTTAGGCTATTTGCTGACCATGAGAAGGATCCACCTCAACTTGACTACACACAGATGCTGCTTTATTTTGCTTGTCATCCAGATGCTGTGGAAGGGGTCTACAGGGCTCTCAGTGTGGCCATCGGGACTCATGTCTTCCAACCAATCAAAACTCCTCCTGTTATTGTAGAAAAGGTAATTGTGTTTCAGAAATGGACTAGCATTGGACTCTGGAGGGGATCGCCAGGAGATCCTAAACTTCTAACAACAGAGACTCTGTTTATTTCATCTCTGTATTTTTCTGGGTACCTAACACAATACTTTACACACAGTAGGTCTTCAATAAAGCTTTACTTAATTGGATTAAGAACTAGAGACCCAGTATCAAAAAAAAAAAAAAAAAAAAAAACAAAAAAAAAAAACCTTTGTAGTAAAATCAAAATTTGCTCAGTTTCTTGGTGGAATCCAAGTTTGTTCCATAAAAGACAGCCTTTATTTTACATGAAGTGCTGATCCTTATAAACGAAAAAGAAGTGGGTATCAATCCAATCTATCTGTCATCCTATGTGGAAATTCTATGTGAAACAAGTAGACATCTCAGACATCCCACATATATGTGACACTTGATAGTGTTTCAGGCCAAAACTCAGCCACCTGAAATCCATAGGTACCTTGCATCTCCTGCAGCCAAGGACGAAGCAGCTTAATAGGTAATAAAACCTCATACTCCATTTTGAGATTTCTAAAGGACTGGCTTTCCCTAGCTTTTTGGGATGAAAAAGCCTCAGAACAGGGGGCTAACTAATGTACTTATTAGGTGCCAATTTGCATGAATTTTAGTATTCCCCAGACCTTTTGGGGGACAGAGCTGTGGTGCTCATAATGGAGCACGTTATGTCCGTCCTTCTTTTATGGACACAGAGGAGAGAAAGGCACTGCCCAGCCCAAATCTGCAGATGTCCTAGCCACACTTGTTTGTCTTTCATACATGTTTGTGAAAACAGAATATGCTGGATTCACTTAAAAAAAGAAAAAAGTGCGGGAAGTTTCTGTGACAGCTTTCACATATACGGGGAAACAGACACAATTAGATGTAACCCTGAGTCTTGGCCCTGAACAAATGGATGAGAGATAGCTTTCCCTCCTATTAGGGCCAGAGTGAGACCAGACAGGTGCCCAGTAAGCTGACCCCTCAGGCCTTTTTGACCTGATGTGCTGTAGAGGCTATTTCAACACTTACACAGTGACAGAAAGTACATCAAAAGTGTTTGTTTCACTCAAGAATACTGTCTCCTTAAATAGTATTGGAAGGCCAGTTTCAGTTTTCCCAAATAAATAGGGTTAGATTTGAACTGCCTTTTTTGGGACTGCATTTGCTACTTCCCCAGGGTGTTCCTATCTCCCGTTATAGGTTGGGCCTCCCTGAGCTAACTGGAACATTGATCATGGCCTGCCAGGAGTTCTCGGTCAAATGTCTGTCCTCCAGGACAGCTTCCCTGACCTTCCTGCCATTTATTTCTGAACATTCTGTATTTCTTTCATGGTCTCTTCACAATAACTATTTCTTCAGGTCAGCTTCTTTTCTAGACTTCAGGCATCCTGAGGTCAGGGAGGGGTCATCTGTCTTGTTCTGAACCTGCCACAACCCTGAACCTGAATTACTCGCACTAACTCAGCAAAAATTTCATTGAGTGAGTCAGTTAATTAATAATTGGGTTTGTAAATCATGCCCTCTGCATAGCCCTGTGATCCGCAAAGGATACAGAAGAAGCCAGATTTGCTCCCCTGAAGGGACTTTGTCTAATTGCCCCCATCTGTGCAGAAAAGAATGGGAGAACAATGTCCCAAACATGGAAGGAACACAGTATAAATAACAGATTAACATGGTCTTACTGATCAAAAGCAGTGTTTTTCCCACCTCTTTATTTTTGTTTTTGCTATTGCTTCCCCTGGAATACCCTTCATCTCACCCTGAAGGGTCCAAGGCCTTCCGGTATCCAAGGTCTTTTTCAACTACGATATGAGTCATGAAGCTTCCTCTGACACTCAAGAACAACACTGAACACTCTCAAGTGGGCCCCCTTATATTCAGATCCTCCCTGACACGGCTGAGTACCACTGCATGCATGCATGTGTTTATTCAACAAATATTTATCCAGATTTTCTGTGTACGAGAAACCACACTTGACCTGGGGATAAAATAAGTAACATATAAAATACATCATATGGAAATAAATGCTACAGGAAAAGAAAGAACTTAGGGAAAAATACAGAAGTTGGGGTGGGTTGCAATGCTGTGAAGAGCTGCAAGGTAATTGCAATTCAAAGTAAAGACAGCAGTGGATACCAAGCCCTAATTCCAAAGACCAGCCATTGTCATTGGAGAGAAGTGAGCTGGAGGAGAGTAGTAAGAACAAAAGGTGAAAGGGAAATGGCTGTGAGGCCACTGTAGGGACTTGACTTTGACTCTGCCAAGAGATGAGATGAGAAGTTATTGGAACATGGCCGCCTGACTTAAGATGTATGGAAATCTCTCTGGCTGCAGTGTTGAGAGCAGACTGGAGGGGGGCAATGGAAGGAAATAAGAAGAACTAGTAATTCAGTTTTTCTGTCTGTTGAATCCTACTGCTAAGTTATTTCTACCTTGAGTTGGGGACAACATGTTAGCTGCTGCATAGCAAGTGTTCTATCAATGTTTGTAAACATGGCGGAAAAGAAGGGAGGAAGAGAGAGAGGAGAGGAATAGAATCCTGTTTGCAAGATAGAGAGGCGGAAAGCAGACATTCCCAGCAGAGGCAATAGTAGGATCAAGGAGTCTGCAATGAGCTGGAAAGTCCAGGAAAAAGGAAGCATGTGCTAGAATTGTTGCTATAGCAACAGACAGCTGCCTGAGTGAGTAGCAGCCAGGCCAGCTAGCACAGGAAGCCTCTGCCTCTCCTCTGTCCCTAAACCACTCATTCACAGAAGCTAGTGCCCCACCTGGAAAGCAAGTACCTGGAGAGCTGTTCTCCAGAGTTCTTCTAAAGCCCAGGGACACTGCACAGGAACTGCTCCATAACCACTGCACCACACAGATGGAACTGGCCTGAGAGGCAGGGGACAAAGAGCACACCTGTGACACACCACACACAGAGGCCTGTTCCTGTCTAGGGGTAAACCGTGGGAGCTTGAGCTTTTGAAATACAGAATCCACCCACCTCCCTCATTCTTGCTCACCCCTTGTTCTTACTATCCGACCTCCAATTATGCTACTCTGTTACTGTGCCCTTTCCAGCTGTGTTCTAGTTTCCTGGACAACCTCTTCCCAGGAAGCCAGATTGAGCCTGCTCAGAAATAACACCTCCAACGGATCCACATTCACTCCCAAGACATTAAATCAAATCTCTGCTTTTGCTTTCCGCATAAACAACTGGAAATCTCCCAACAGTTCATTCTTCTTTACTCCATTTCTATGACTCATGCTGTTATATTCAATGTGGCACAAACCTGTTCAAATCCATGGCTTCTTGAGTAATTTAAAAGAAGTTCAAGAGCAAAGCATTCGTAAGTATGCACTAGTCCTAAGTGCTGAAGCTCTAACTAAGCTGACATTTGGAAAGTGGTTCATTCTGGCCTGCGTGGTATGGGGTTATGAGTAGGAATTCAGTAAATTGTAGGCGTGAAACTGCCACATTTTGAAGATCTTGTTAAAGCATCTTGGTAGAGCATTTGAGATGCTGGGGTTTGAAACATATACATTTTCATTCCTTCTTACTCTTTTGACACTTTGCCCATATTAGTCCCAAGGACTGACCTTCTGTTTTGCCTCTGAGAGGTGGGACTGAACTGATTGAATGATAGCTATGCATGGCCAGGCATCATTCTGGGGACACATTTTTTGGGAGATCTTGAGCCTTCAAGAGGTGGCCGAGTGTGACATCGTGTTTGCTAGCACCACAACCTGTCCTGCTGCTCAGATGCTAATGTGACTCGGAAAGAGTTTTGATTCCACTAGTAACTGCTCATTCAGAAGCACTGGCTTTTCTTCAAACTGGCATGGCTGATTTTGTTCATACACCCACATTCAAAATTGTGATCTTTCAGAGATGTCTGTCAGAGAGAGCCTCTTCTCTCTCACCCTCTACAGTCTCACCAGGATGCTGATCTGGCACCTTGGGTTCCCATCTCAGCTTCCGCTCACTCTCTGCCCTCTCACTGAACCACTAAGTCTATTCTTTCTCAACCCTATGGAGAGAGAAAAAAAAAATAGCAAAAGCATGCACTGATATTTGTAAGGATTCTTCATTAAAATTTCGAAGGTTTAAATGGTTGCCTTTTGGCCACAATTCATTTGTCCCATGATGATTATACTGGACCTCTGAAAAGTTGGTCCCTCTCTAATTATGGATATACAAGGCTCTTTCTGTGTTTAGCTTAGGTACCACCTGCTCATCTAATCCGACAAGTCATTTGCTCACCCACAGGTTCCGTCTTTATCATGTCCATGCAGCATTTATACTGCAGTCTCAGTAGAAGTCCATTCATCCTGCAACACTCAGCAAGATGTTTGACATCTTGACTGTGTTCGTTTCATGATACGAAATGTTTTCTTGCCCTGGAAAACTACTGATAAGTAGCCAGTGTGATGATCCCCAAGCTTCATAGGGGGATACAAAAATGCCAGTTTCACATTTCTGCAATGTAACATTTCAATTGTTTAAAATAGAGAAGAATTTGAATAGATAGATAGAGATATTTATACTTAATTCCAAAATCTTCACCTAATAAAGCATTCTCTCTCTCTCTCTTTCTATCTCAGATTAGATTAAATTCCCAATTTACCAAAGGATATAGAAACCCAACCTACCCAGAGCTAAAGCAGATGCAACCTGTCTTCATTACACTGCTCACAGCCCCTACCAATCTCCTAAAGGGACTGACAACTATCAGATGCTTAATTTACTGCTGTATTATAATCCTTTTTATTAAACCAGGGACTTTTATGACTACGTGGAAAGAATTTGCATTTACATGATTAATTAACTTGCACTTAATGCTTCTACTGAAGTGAATATTTATAGATATTGGATCCCTCCTTTTATTTAAAGCTTACATTTAACTTTTTCTCCTTTCTTGGGATAAAGGAGAATCAATATTCAGGTGTTTTCTGACATCTGACCCATCAACATTCTAAAATCGCCCATTTTTCTATGGCAAATGATCAAATATCAATTATCTCATCAGGAAACACACTCACCTAGACATATTTATTACAGTAAATACAACAAATACAAATCTGTAGAGTATTTGGAAAGTATAAAAATAAGTAAAAAAGAAATCACCTGTTCCACTACACAGAGGTAACCATTGTTAACTCTTTACTGTGTCTTACTTTTTTTCACTAATAAGCATAGATATATAAGAAAATGAGGATCCTAGCGTATTTATTATTTTCTTTTGTTTTCTTTTCGCACTTATCCTGCGAGTGTTTTCGCAAGTCACTAGGTAGTCTTCTAAACCACAATTTTCATGGCAGTATAGTATTCCATGACAGAAATATACTATAATTTTTGTCACCATTCCACATTTTTGGAATTGCAGATTTTCTGTGTTTACTGTAAGTAATACTGAACAAACATGCATATATAAAAGTCTTTGTGCACATTTCTTTAGAGTCAATTCCTAGACCTGTAATTACAGGGTCAATAGGTAGGACTATTTTTCAGGTTTTTGATAAATATGAAATTATGCCAGAAACAATGTACTGTTTCCCATACTCACAGGGCCAGTACCTGACTTCATGGCTCTTGGACATGTTTCAAGGAGCTGCCATAACAATCCCACTGGACTTTCCACATTCAATTTGTATTCTCTATTGCCTTCCACTGTTTAGTTGGATTTAACCTCTAGTATAAAAACAAACATTTCTGAAGCCCTTAGAATCTATCAAGCTTAAGTAATTACCTTGTCACAACCTTTCCACTATAGTCAATTTCCTTTAGAGCAAATCCTTTAAAAATTGACATTCATATACAGAAGTCTGATACCAGTTCTGCTAATTCACTAGAGTTTCCATTTATGGAGGAAGCTGAGGCGCCTGGCATGTATGGAGGTAAGACACACCCCACATAAGGCATCTGTAATCTACAGACAGAATTGGTCTAGAATCTTGACATGATCTCCAGTGCAGCTAGCACATTCTCTTCTATACTTTGTTTGGCTAGGTTGTGGGAGACACCATCATTTCATTGCGTGAAAAGTATGTTGCAACATTGGTGTGTGCTAAATGTCTGCATTACTGGAAAGACCAGTTCAACTTCATATTCTCTTCATTTAATCATGCAGACCTCCTCCTTGACTGATATGAGTCCAGTTGAGGAATATCCTGAACTCGAGGGAAATTTTGTGAGTGAGGAAGGGGAACTAAGAGAAGATGGGGAGAGAAAGGAAGAAAACCCTGAGAACGCGAACACCGAAAAGATTTCCATGGAAAGACTACTCAAAGTGTTCCAAGGAGGAAAAGAAGTACAGGATCCTAACCGATTTGCCAGCCACCTACAGATAGAGAATGCTTACTCAGAGGTTGGTTAGATTCTTTCATAAAAGGGGCAACCTGTCCATAAGAAAAGTCATCCTCAAGTTTTAACCTGGTTTCATGGAAGTGCTCTCAAATGTATTATGGTATAGAAATTGTGGAAAATTCCTTTATTAAGTAAAGTAAGTTTTTAACATCTGCAGGACTGTAAAGTTAACTTCATTTTTTTTTCTTCTTTAAAGAACTTCGTCAAAGTATTTCAAGACCTAGGTGCCAAGAATCTGGAGCCAGTTGAAGTTGCTGTTCTTTTGAAGCATCCTTTTATTGAAGATCTGATTTCAAATTATTCAGACTACAAAATCCCAGTGAGTATTAGCCAAAGGTGTCTTAATTCAGTTGATCTCAGGATCAGGACATGGTGGGACATCTCCAGTGTGGACTACAGAGACTGGAGGAAAGCTGGAGCTGGCCATACCAGGGTCAGGAGAAGCTAAGCTGGTAACAGCATCAGCTCAGACAGGCCAGCCCGTGATACACAGAGGGCAGCAAGTTCAGGGAGAGTAGAAGTAGCTAGCAGTACTATCGATGATACTGCCAGCATTATCAAACTGCCTCATGAGGAATGGGGCTACTTTGGACCTAAGACAGAAGGCTGGAGTTGATGAGATTAAAGCTGGGTAAATGGCAATGTTCATGTTCCAGATCATTCCAGCCATCTAATGACTGGCCTATGACTGAAGGGTATGGAGAACAGAATCCCTCTTTGCCAAAGAGAACTAAGGAGACCATGATCTTCAACCAAGTGCCAACAGAGTCACTGCACTCTCATCATGGTCACATTGTCTGTGTTGTGCATATGGTGACAGTGCACACAAAAGACTGGATGCCAGTTCCATCAGCAAAATACAATGCAAGATGGAGAAACTGAGTACAAAACCCAGAGAGACTGGACCACCTCAGAAGGAGGGAAAGAGGAAAAGAAGAGCTGTACTCCAGAGCTCATAGTAACCCAGCCATTCTGTACCACACATGCTGAATCTGCACCCACTGTGGCCATGCCTGGTCCCCAACAGCAAGGCCTAAGGCAGGCAGAGGTGGACTCCCTTTCACAGTGGGGCAAGCTTACAGCGGCTAACTGGCTTCAACTCCCTTCCATACCAGTTCAGTCATATGAAACCTCCTTATCAGGCTCTGGCTAGGTGTTTATTGGACCATACAGGGTTTGCTGAGTTTAAGATAAAAGCACTTTCACTTTGATCAAATGAAGGTGATCTAAGAGGCATTACTCCTGACTTCTCAGTGATAACCTTATATGCCCAGAAATGAGACTATTCCGACTTGAATATCTATAGACCTAAATTGGCTTGTTCCAAATTGCTGATCTTTTTACATAGAAATTGTATTATCTATGTTGGTAATTATTGAAATCAATTTTAACAAACTAGCAGACTCTTATCCGGGAGGCAAGTGTGATTGGAGCATTCTGGAACACAGGCTCAGGAATCAGAAAGTCGTGGGACTGAATCTCAGGTATACAACTTACTGGATACCTGACTTTAACTTTCTATTTGTCCCAGCTTTCTTATCTGTTAAATGGGAATAACAGCCATTCCTGTTCAATGGACTGCTGTGGATTCCTGTTCAATGGAATTAAATGAGATTGTGCAGAAGGATGCACTTGGAAAATACTTCAGAAATGTTGGCTGTCACAGTAACTCTTCACTACTGAGCACTTATTACTGAGGCTAGTAATGTAAGTTTCCATGGGAGACAAAAATGTGTACAAAACTCAGTTTCTCAAACAAATTCCAACTTTTGTTTGCAAGAGAATTTTTATATGCAAGAATTACCAGCAAATGATATAAAGTATGCCACCCAAGCACAACATTCTAAGAATTAAAAAACAGGACATTTTTTGTTCCAGAAGCTGAATCTTCAAAGATGGCCAGGACTGTTAAAAATGGAGGGACAGGAGAGGACATGAACGTGAATTTGCTGTTGGGGTGGAGAGAGGATAGCCTCACAGGAAAAAGGAGAGGCCTATGCAAGGCTGTGAACGCAGGACTGCATTGGAAGACGGGGAGCCTGTAGGGGTTCTGAGCAGGGGCGTGATGTGACATCATCTTCATCCTGCAGTGTTTCTTTGTCTCTTCACAGTATCATATCATTATATCTCTACCTTTAATAGGGCTCTTTAAAAAAAGAAAAAGCTGTGTCTCTTTATATAAATAGGCCAAAATAGCTGGAAACAGGGTTAGCATTCCACAAGCATTTACTGTTTGCCTCAAAACTAGTACATTACATGTCCCTTTCCAGTTCCTTATATCGCATATTTTTACTAATAAAGATTAGCCTTCTTCCCCACTTAGGAGGAGGAGGGTATAGGTCAGTGTGATCCTAGAATTAATGGAAACAGAAGGCACCAGAGCTAGACAATAAAGTGGAGAGGATGGTGAGAGAAGATGGGGAGAGTGGGCAGTTGTGGGGATCTCCCCCACTTTTGTTTTCCTCCGGGCCAGCATCATTCTGTATAAGGTAGGTTCCAGAGCTATATGTTGGAATTTATCTTATACTAATTACCAAGAATGAGTAAGAACATAAAATGATGCCACAATTATTTCCTCCCCTAATGGGAGGAAAACTCCTTACAAAGTGAGGCGATTTGGGAACATATTTACTCTGGCCATACTAAATATGACTAACTTGTAGAGAAGATTCTAGTCAGCATTTTCCTGAGAAAAGAAAACAGCCAGTGGCTGACTGGCTTCAAGAGGCAGCCCCTTGAAAAGGTATTCTGACTCCTAGGGTAAGCTGGAGTCCCTGGGGCTCTTTTCACTTATGCATTTCCTTCATTTCAGAAGGAATCTGATCAACTTGCAGTACACCTCACTACTGACATTTTGGACAGTGTTGTCTCTCTGCACAGGACTGTCTCCAGAATGGCAGGATTCTGGGCCACCACCCACTCTACCTCAGGGGCACTTGGACACACTGACTACCAACACCATCTCTGCACATCTCCCAAATCTCCCTGGTGTACAGCATCCCTTTGGCTGGAGCCGGCCAGCATGGGGTGCTGACCTCCAGTGAGTCAGTCTCCCAGGACCAGGATCTCCTGATGCTCTAACAGCAGAAAGAGAATTAGCCTGTCTGTCAGCAGTCGGTCTGTCCACTCACTCCTTCATTACCAGAGTGTTTCTGTAGAGTCAGAGGCTTCACGTCCCTCCCTCCTTGTCCCCACCTCTCCTCCCTGGTCCCCCACCTCGAATCTGTGAGAGGACAGGGGACTCTAGAAATGGGAATCAGAGAGTTGAGACTGTAACCTAAAAAGCCTAAGTCCTGATATTCTAAAATAAAAGAGCTTCCCTTTCCAGTAAGAAGTTCTATTCTCATTTTCACTGAGCAGAAAAAAAAAGAAAAGAAAAGAAAAGAAAGATTAAAAATAAAGGAAAAGAAAAAAAAATCTCTGAAGACTCAGTTTCTGTCAAAGCCATCCTGTCATCATTTCTGCTCCAAATATCCATGTGCAAGTAAATAGATCACATTTTAAAATGAACTTTAACCACAGTGATGTTATTTGAAGATCTTTCAAGATAAGTAGAGCAAAAGCTAGAATGTGGTTTTTCAGGTTAAAATGTTGTTTGCTGTTATAAACAGTGGGAAGTGAAGGTTGTTGCTTGATAGCTCTGTGTTTACAAGGTTTGTGTTTGGAAGCAGCAACGTTTTAAAATATATATTTGAAAAAAACTGAGTATTCGGAATGATTTTGCTCTGTTTTATTTTTGCTCCTATTGGGAGGTGGCCTGGCTTTGTGGGTGAGAGAGTGGGCCCAGGGGCCACACTGATGGGTTTCACACCAACAAACTGTGTGACCTTGGGCAAGTGACCTCATGGTGCCTTGGTTCCCCCATCTGTAAAATAGTGTTACCATACCCCCATAGGGCTCATGCATGGATTAGATGACTTAGTACAAATAAACGCTTAGCTCAGTGCTTGACAGGTAGAAAGCACCTGATAATAAATGTTAGACATTATGATTATTATTACTCTTATTACTAGTACCGATTTGCTGGTAGTTGCAGTGTCCAGAGCTATATGAAATTATATGTGGAGAAATAAATAACCTGGCATTCCTGAATTCAGTGCCTGCTCTTCTAAAAGAAAGAGAAGGCTTTCACTGTGCAGTGCCAAAATGACAAAGAGTCCAGATTGGTGTCCCAGATATCCCTACATGGCCACTACCCATGGGGAAAATTCAGATTCAGATTGTGTTGGAATTCACAGTCATTCATTTAAAGTCATTTATTTAACTTCTATTTTCATATATCTGATACAAAGAAGTCACTTCAAGTAATGTTCCTAAATTATTAAGGAAATGCTTTGGTTAAATAAATGTGACAAGATCAATGAGGGTACTGTAACTGGGTTCTTAGTAAAATCAATTAATTTCCCATGATGAGTATATTTACAAATGTAAGTGAACAAATGATTTTCTATACCAACCTAATAATGTTGACTCAATGTAAATTATTTTTAGCAAACCTTTAAATCAAGCATATATCCTTGAAATTAAGGTTTCCATTCAATAGGAGATAATAATAAAGCTTTTAGTATTAAAATCCAAATACCACAGGACAATTTCTTATAAGCAAATGAGTTGGGACCCCATTAATTACATGAGGACAAAATACAAATTATTAAGGATGAGTTAAAGGATTGTTCATCCCACTGTACCTTCAGGGTATCTGACTTTAAAATATTCTCCAACCTTCTCCTTTATCTTCATAACAAACTATGATTGCTGCTTCGGTGGTTTGTGTTTTCAAAGCACCCATTTCAAACATTTCCAGACTCTCATGGCTTTTCTCCATTAACTGTTACTGAAAATTTTGGCCTCTGACCTCAATGGCAAACTTACCCAGGGCTGGCTTAAACATCTGGAGCTTATGGTTTTGTCCATGCTGCAGAGTATCAGATGATCCCAGGTCGGCTCACTCCTTCATCCCCAAGAGATCATTCCGTCCGTAGTCAGCATTAGTTGTCCTAAGTACACTCACTATTCAAAGGAGATGTGTTATTAACAACTATGGCAGGTAGGACCAGAAAGGTCAATGGTGAGCAGCTGTTCTTTTTCACTTAGTTCATTCAGGTTTGACCTCTGGCTGCAGGAAATCTGTATTTTCAAAGAACAAGATCTCACAAGAAAATGATTCACTATGATTCTTGGTAGTGACTGATAATAAGCAGTGTGTGTCACTCGGCAGGGGTCAGCTCAGATAGTGAACTAACTTATGTCTTCTTGCGCAAAGTGACCTCAGTCAGATTGAAACCTTTGGAACTCAGCTCTGAAGAAAAGAAACTTACATTATTAAAACATTTCCCTAAATTTGTTGGGGGGGGGGAGAAATTGCATATATATAATTCTACATTTTCCATGTGTGTTTGTACCCCTTCTACAACTTGTTGATGTTTTAAATTTATGTTTTCAGTGTCTGTGATGTAAAATGTAAAATGCTGGTATTTTAAATGGATGAAAAACAGATCTTCTATTTCTAATATTGTTTTTCTTTAAATGGAGAAATGAGACAATCTCCCCTCCAAATAATCTGCTGGTCTAAAATTCTACAAATCTGTTCACATGACAAATCTTGGCATTAGAATTTTTCTTTAATACAATATGAATACAGTTGTTCATTTATTACTAACACTTTGGCTTGTTCATTATGTGCCAAACTCTGTGTAACTGCTTCTTACAAATGTTATTTAATTTAATAAGATAATTCTATTTATTATTAGATTAGAAAACAGAGGCTCTAAGGTCTTTGATATCTTTCCAAGGGTATAGCCAGTAAGTTGCTGGGTGACATTTTAACTAAATAGGGTACTATTTTCTTAAAGAAAAAAAAAAATAAAAACAATTTACTGTTTCACCACTCCCATATATTAGGTGATCATTAATCCTAAATCACTTATTAATATTTGTTACTTCTCTTTGTTTCTCCTCCCTTAGGATATTAAAACAATTCTCCAAAGGAGTGAGCATGTACAAGGAAGTGATGGAGAGCGATCTCCTTCGAGACTTACAGAGGAAAAGAAATGAAGACAAGAGTGTGATTTAGTATAGAAATGACCCCTACCAGATTATGAGCAGCAATGAAAAGGGGGCCTTCCTTAACTCAGAGAATATTCTATAATAAACCTTAATTACAGAGCAAAAACCCAAAGTAAGAAGGAATGCATTTTGAAGTGATTCTGAAAATAGACAGCATTGGGCAATATGTTCGAAAATAAACACACACATAAGTCATGAAAATTCCCTATGAGATGTGGGGAAACAATAGGCAAATATAGTGAAATTCCCCCCAAACTCCACATCAGGGAACTACTGATAAGTACATTTTGTCGTTCTTGCTCCATGTGCAGTAGAATGTCAAGGTCCATCACACCAGCCAAATGAAGAGAAGGCTGCATCATCACCTTCTGGTACAGCCACTTCCTATCATCTATTCCTAATTCTTTGCTAATAGAATACAATGTTTCCCATATAGATGGATATATTTGCACAATTATATCTTTTTATTTGTATAGATTAGTGACTCAAATTCAGGGATACTTATTTCAAGAGAATGTTTTCTTTTTAAGTGAGTGATAATGCATTCTCAGTGGTGGATCTTCTGTGAAACTCCTGCTTGGTCTCCATCCTCTCCCCGGCTGCTCCTTCTGAGGCTCTCTGGTGGCTGGATTCTCCTCTCTTTTATTCAATCTCCAAATGTTGGAGGGCTTCAGAACTCAACCTCCTTCTGCATGTATAGTCAGTCCTTGGATGACTCATCCATTGCCATTACTTTGTGGGTATTAATAGAAGCCAACACTGAAATTTCTATTCCCATATCCCCTGGAATCCAAACTTCACTCACACTATCCATTTGATTATCATGCTGATGGCTTATAGTCATCACAAACTCAACCTGTCCAAGCCAAGAGGGGGAACCTTTTATGATACAAGTGAGGTCATGTCACCCCTCTGCTCCAGCCCTCTATCAGCATCCCATCTCATGCAGCATCCAACCCAAGTTCTCACCTTGAGCTTACCCCTTGCTCCCTCTCCGATCTCATCTCCTGCTGTTTTGCCCCTTGCCCACCCTACTTATGACAGATCCACCTTGTTGAACCTAGAACATACCTGCACATTTCTGTCTCAGGTCCTTTGCAGGTACTTTTTTCTCTGCCTGGAATGATTTTCCCCCAAATATCTGCATGACTTGTCCCCTCACTTCCTTTAAGGAGCCTGTTTATATGATACTTTGTTAGGAAGGTCTTCCCTTAACACATAACAAAACAGAGCCCAACACAACACAATTTTTTTTCTTATTGTATTTATCAACATCTGACAAACTACATGTTTACTCTTTTGTTTGCCTATTGTTCCAATAGGTTGTAAGATCCATGTAGTCAGAGATTCTCTTGTATTTTCTTTATTACTCTGCTCCAGAACCTAAGACTAAAATCATAACCAGCTTCAGGTTCTATTGATTCTTTTGTGCAAAATGTGTGGAAATATCACTTTAGATTGATCACTAAAACAACAAGCAATCTAAAGACAATTTCTATTGTTAGTAACACTTATTTTTCTTTCTGGGGAGTGACACATTTCCTTAATTTGCCTCTTATGGGCTCCATTGTCAGAACCCTTGTCTTCAAAATGATGGAGGATTGTGACCTAGAGGCATAGAGATGGAGAAGAAATTTTGCCAGAGATTTCAAAATCCAACTTAGCTGATTTGCATGCAATTCTAGTTATTACGAGATAATTCTAGTTATTCCAGAGAAGGGAGGAATATCTGAAAATTGAGTTCAAATAATTAAAATATCATGATGAGGACACAGGCAATAAACTAATCCACATTTCATCAGGGACTGAATAAGACAAGGCAACATTACTTTGTAATAGAAAAAAAAATTAAAAGCAGAGCTAATGGTATCCCTTGCTCTCATAATATTCTTGCACAACATTGTTAAATAAGGACGTTGCAGAATCTCTCTCCTGAGGCCCATTGACTCATCTAAGCAGTAGGAAAGCAACCACCACATGAAAGGTCTTGCTGGTGGGTATTTGCTACTATGTCACAATTTCTTAATCATCATCAGGACTAAGCAGATGTTGTGACTGGGCATTACCCAGAGCTGTAGGAGGAGCTCTCCTACACAGGTCCTGGGGCAGGCAAAGTGTGGAACTTCACAATGAAATTGGAGGCTGCATGGGATTCTCCCAGACAAAGGAATAATGTGCTAGAACTCGTCTACTAGAGGGCCTTTCAAGTCTTATAATTGCAGGAAATGCCTAACCATCTTCAAATCATTCTGATGTTGCTTTTGCACTAAATATTGCTATGTCCTCCAGCTATTGCCTTTGTGAGATGGAATTCTCTTATCTTGGTGGCTCTCTTCTGGATATCACTGTGGCCTTTACAGGATTGTTCATAATATTTTTGGGGAAAAAGTCAACAAATATGGACTATGTGCAAGAACAAGTGAGTCCAGACCCAGTAGAGGGACACAAAAGATTCATCACACGAATTATTTATTATCTCCCTTCTTCAATGGACTGTTAGCTACAAGAACTGCTACCCCTGTCTATCTTACTGATCTCTGTGATACAAAACATCCACAAAGACATTCAAAAAGGGATATAAGATCCAGGCCAACTATAGTTACGGTTGACACAGTGTTGGAAGAGAATTGAATTAAATTCTATTCAATAAGAGAAAGAAGACCCAATAATAAGGTTAAGGGACTAATAATAGCTGCTAATTTTGAAGGTTTACAATGAGGCAGGCACTCCACAGAGAGTTTATAAGCATCATCTCTGTTAGTGCTCGCAACACTGTGAGATAGGTACTCTTAGGATTGCCATTTGCATAGAATGAAAATTACATTCAGAGAGATGATTAACTTACCCCAAGTCACACAGCTGGTAAATAATAGACTAGGCACTTGATATTAACACCAAAAGCCACCCTCTTATGTGGTTTGCTCAACTTATGTACAAATAACCAATCACACAAGCACAGGATGGAGGAAGTATGGCCTAGCTGTTTTTAAAAATAAAAACAAGGGTTTTGTTCAAAGCAATTTGACTAATTAGTTGTGTGATATGGCCCCTAAGGAATCGAATGTCCTCAGAGCATTAGTGGTTGTAAGGGAGATGCTGATTTTCCTCTGATCTGCCATGGTCAGGCCTCAGCTGCAATTCTGTGTGCCATTCATGGTCACACACTTTAATATACAGAGAGCCTATATATGCAGAGGAAATGATTTTTTTTTTATTCAGAAGTGAGGAAATTCAAACACCTTAGCCTTAGGCTTGAGGAGAGAAGCTTCCAGCTTAAGGAACAGAGGAGTACTCTCTGCGGTCCCCAGGGATAAGACAACACTAGTAAATGTCGCAACATGACAGATGGCAGCGGCTGCTAGCTCCTGTTGCTAGAAGAATTCTGACAGAGGTGGAGTACCAGCTGGCAGAAGAGTCGGTTGCCATGACAGGAGTACAGAACTTTACCCCTTGTCCTGCTCCTACTGCAATTCTCTCTCTATTGAATCATCCTCTCAGCTCTGCTACCTCAACTTCCATCTCCTCAAAGGGCCTTTTCAGCTTGGTCTTCATTATGTATGGATCACACCTTTCCTTAGAGCACTTTGACTATGTTTATCCCACTGTTTTAGCACCCCCTATTTCCTTGCACTAGAAGCCCTATCCATAGAGTCCAATGCTATACCTGTGTCACTAAGCTGTTATCCTCCCTCAGCCGGCTGAAGGCTCCTTAAGGGAGGATTACAGTGGGAATAAATGGGCTACGGACATTGGATGTGGCATTTGGCAGGATGCCCCACGCATCTCTGAGGTTCTTTGAGAAGAGCTCCGTCTTCTTACTTCTGATTCTCCACCCAGCCCCCACCCCCCAACCCTCATTCCCTCTAAATGTCAGCACCTGCTGTTCTCCTGGTCTTTGACACTCAGAAGTTGAGCTGAGTCCTTGCCTCCCAGTTGTCTCTCCCCCTTCACGCTGGAGTCTTATTGCTCCATATAAATGCCTCTCACACCTGTCTTCCCCTTTCAGTTCCCACAGTCCCCAGGCTATTTCAACAGCCCTCAAAATCTTTCTTCTAGGCGCTTGAATAGCTCTCAGTTGACCCCCTACTTTCTTTATCTTCTTCATCTTCCCTTTTCTACCCCAATACAGCCTCTACACTGTTCCCAAAATAATCTTCCTGAAACTCTGCTTAAGCATGTCACACTTTTGCTTTAAAAAAGTTCCCTCTGACCCCTTGCTGTCAAAGAAATTCCACATCTCTTAGAATATTATTTATAATCTGACTTTTTCTATACTCATCATCTTTTTCTCACACTCACCTTCATACAACTTCACTCAACATAACATCTAATTACTAGATAATAAATACAGAATGAAATAATGAATGAAGAGGGATGTCTCCTTTTACTAGAAATTCTAAAAGGTGAGAACATCTTTTAGAGTAAAAAATCTTCCTGTAAACTTTTTCACCCTTTACATTAGATCTGTTGAGAGAACCGATTTCATCTTTTTAGGATTATTTGTGTGTGTGAGAGAGAATGTGTATAGAGGTGGTAAGAGGGCCCTTTCCTCCTCCTCAGATGGTTCCCTGCAGCTCTGGAAAAGACAGACTGAGAGACATCAGAATACATCTCCTGGAGGCTGACTGACTCATGGAAGCTAAGAAGAAGCAATAATTTTATTGTAATCAGCTTCTTTGAGGATCTGGAGCCTAGTCTAACCCTGAGCAGGTGGGCCCAACAGATCCCATTGTCTGGGTTCATCTAAGCCCCTCCCCCACACCTTACCCATCTTATCTAAACAAAGGGCCCTCACTGCACCCTGACACCCTTTGCAACTTAGTCTGTCTCCTCTCTTATTTTACTGGCATATTTGACTTAATAATGAATTTATGTTGCCTGTTGGAGTAGCTCCTTCAGCCTCCAATGGTTCTCACGTTTTCCGACACGGACTTAGGAGGGCATCCTCTGCTACTAGAGACATCACCAAAGATTCTGTTGATCTAGGGATAAACAAATCAATGAG